AAATTGGCCGTCGCTGTACGCCTGGAGTGCAAGCTCGATCCTGCCTTCTTGCTGAGTTCTATCTGCTTGCGGGTGTTGAGGCATTACGTGTCGAAGTGGTGGTGATGGTTGCCAAGAGATTCTGCGACACTCGGTGGTGTGCGACACCCGGTGGTGGAATACGTTAGTCGAAGTAGGCCAATCACTTCTCAGAATCTATTGTATGCGTTAATCCGAAATATCTTGGCACATTGTTTCGCGTCTGAACTGCCCTCTGTTTTTGTGCACCTACCTGCGCCGCAACAACAGCGCAATAAGACCAGCTAAAACTTATAAAATATTATCTCCTTATAAAATTAAGCCTATCTTAAAGATTTCGCCTTGTCTTATTACGTTGTTGTTGCAGTGCAGGTAGGTACAAATTGCAACTTTTGCGCAGACCTTCGCGCTCCAGCTACATACTAAGGGCGCTCAAAGAAAAAGTGGAGAAAAAGGTGTACCAAGAGCGACACACATGTGCCAAGGAAACTCGGATTAACGCATACAACAGATGCGCCGGAGCATTCATGATCGCATCGATACGGCGCATGAATAGACGGATTCCAATAATAATCTAGAATGAATGCTATTTCTTGAACTGTGGTGTTAACCGTATCTCTTGCATTATCAACTTCTCGGCCCTCGAGCGGAAAAAGCAAAATGCTAGTATTCGGGCCGGGACCGATTACTTAGTCAGCCGCATCCATTCCCACTTTTTTTCTATCAACCCCATATGCAATATTCTTGCCCAGAAAACGGTACGCCATTGAAATCCCGCAGGAATATACGGAAACGGAAATAGAGAAAAGCGGATATGGCGGGTTTCGATTTCGCAACCGTGGAGACGATTGAGTTGACGGGCGTGTTTGACGCGCATGTGCATTTGCGGGATGGGGAGATGGCGGAGTTGGTGGTGCCGACGGTGAGGGAGGGGGGTGTGAATCAGGTTTATGTTATGGTATGTTTTCTTCTCTTACTTTCTCTACATCTCCCTGGGGTTTTCCCTGAGAAGGACGCTTGTTTATTTTTGGAAGGGTTGTGTTGGGTTGGGAAAGAGATAATTTGGGTCTCGATTTTGCCGAGATTTCGAGTGCATCTTTGCTTGGTGCTCGGCCCGTGGATTGGTTTGGGGCAAGAAATGGCTGTGTTGGTATTACTATTGCGGTGTCATCTTTTCTGTTTCTCCTGTTAATTCCTCCTTGTTTTTCTTTGTTTGCCACTCCGTGTCGCTTTTCCTTTTACCTAAACTTTCGACCCTCCCCTATAACCCCCGTCAACCCGACCTTATAAACCACTGTCCAAGAGTCCCACGTCGATAACATCGGACTAACTCTCAACCCAGCCCAATCTGGTCCCACCAATCACGACCGTGGAGCAATGTCTGGCGTACCGCGAGAGGCTACGGGCCATCGAGCCCAATGTCGACTACCTCATGTCTTTGTATCTGCACGAGAGCATGACACCGGAGACGATTGTGGAGGCGAAGAAGGCGGGGGTTTGGGGGGTGAAGAGTTATCCCGCGGGTGTTACTACTGTAAGTCTTGTCGAATGAGTGTGCACCAGTGCAGAAGTGACATGCGAGTCCTTCGAACTACACACATGCACCTTAGCAAGGCGCCGGTCAAAAAGACCGCATGAACTAACCCCACCAGAACTCCTCCTCGGGCGTCGTCGACTACGAATCCTTCTACCCCATCTTCGCCGAAATGGAGCGCCAGGACCTCGTCCTCAACCTGCACGGCGAAGTCCCTTCCACTCCATCCCACGCCCCCATCACCTCATCCTCCTCGGACCGCGCCGTCACCGTCCTCAACGCCGAACCCGCCTTCCTCCCCACCCTGGCAAAACTGCACTCGCGATTCCCCAACCTCCGCATCATCCTCGAACACTGCAGCACCGCCGCCGCCGTAGCAGCCGTCCGATCGTGTGGCCCCACCGTCGCGGCGACCATAACCGCGCACCACCTCTCCCTCATCATCGACGACTGGGCCGGCGACCCGCACTGTTTCTGCAAACCCGTCGCCAAGACGCCCGAAGATAGGGATGCCTTGCTCCGCGCCGTGGTGACGTCCGAGGGGAAGTTCTTCCTGGGCACGGACTCGGCGCCTCACGATGTAAGGAAGAAGCGCGGGGAGGATAGAGTCGCTGCGGGGGTCTTCACGCAAGGGTGGGCGGTGGGGTATGTGCTTGATGCGTTGGCGAAGGGGGTCGAGAGGGGGGTGGTTGCAAAGGAGAAGGTTACGAGGGAGGTGCTTGAGGGGTTTTTGGGGAAGTGGGGGCGGGCGTTTTACAAGGTGCAGGAGCCGAGGGGGGAGACAGTGGTGTTCACAAGGGGGAAGGCGAGGGTCGGGGAGGTGGTGAGGAGGGAGGGGTTGGGGGTCGAGGTGGTGCCGTTTCGGAGGGGGGAGGTGACGTGGGGGGTTGAGTGGAAGTGAGGAGGGAGTGGAAGTAAGGGAGTTGGGCTTTGGGAGTGTAGAAGGTGGGGAGTCGTTGAGTGTTTAGGTGCTGGTATGTGAGAGGCGAGGTAGCCTCAGCACGGGAATTTGAATGTGGGGATGGGAGTGGAAGATATAGGAGAGAGAGTCTCTTTGCGACTCAGCTTTCCGATTGCGGTTACATTATTCATTGCGTCCCATGATGACCCAGACCTGATCAGTTCATGCCTCGCCTAGGTACTTTGTGCTCTTGAACTGACCGAATATGACCATTGGACACAAAACTCCTGGCAATAAGCGCATGTATCCATGCCCGTACATTGTTGAGACTCTGTGAAACCACGAAATGTGCGTGTGGCGGTTGGTTCTATCGCACCATCGCAGGAACTCTTCTCTGTCATAACAACCCGTGCCTCAGCAATCATGCAGTTGCAATTGGCAGCAAGAAGTAGTTGAACGCCTAATCTCCGTGTCGGCGACGGATAGCTAAGTTAAGACTCTATGTACGAGTGAGGCGCGATCCGTTCCGTGAGCGTAGCCATTCCAATCAACCAAACCTGCGATTGGCTCCTTTGAATACATTATTGCGGCACAGTAGGGGGAGGTAATATCAATCCACTAATTCGGTTCGCATGGCGCCGGGGATTGTAATCGGTCTATATAATTTCAGGCGTGCATGTAGCTGAACGGCGCAGCCTTTGAGTGCTTGCCTTCTCTGCACAAAATACAGGTAGCTAAGGCTCAGTTTCATCAATATCAGATATGGACACCCTACCGCTTTTGCTGTGCCACCCAGTTGTATTATCGGTGGACACGACTGCACTTCAATACCTCCCGATTGGAGCCACTCACCAGGATAAATTCAACCCAGTCCACCTCGTCGAAACATCGCCGCTTCGCAATACCCGGCATCTAGCTACAGAGGCTCACGATGGGCACCGTAATCATCACCGGCGCCAATGGTTCGCTAGCAATCCCAACCGCAGCCCATCTGTCTTCACACTATACAGACCATACATTACTTCTCACAGTCAGGAACGACTCCAACCAGGATCCCAACACCGCCCGCCTACGAACGACCCTAAACCGAATCCCCAACGCAAAATACACAATCCGTAAACTCAATCTCGCATCCCTAGCAAACGTCAGAGACTTCGCCGTCACCATCAAGACCGAAATCTCCCAAAGCACATTGCCTCCCTTGGTATCCATCATCTGCAACGCCTATAGCTGGAGCATCTCCGACGGCCTGCAATTCTCAGAAGACGGTTACGAGAAGACGCTTGCGGTAGGACATCTCGCGCATTTCGACCTCCTGCTGCGACTCGTGGGGAGTTTCGACCTCGGGTCCGCGGGACGAATCGTCTTCATCTCGAGCGATGCCCACTGGCCGGGAAAAGCTTCTCTGGAGGTCTTCCCCCCAACTCTTCCCCAGGATCTCGAGCTCCTGGCTAGACCGGCGCCAGATAAGGAGGACGAAATCATCGGGCGCGGATTTCAGCGGTATGCGCTGTCTAAGTTGGCGAGTCTGCTTTGCATGTATGAGATGAACAGAAGGCTTGAAGCGGTCAGTTTTCTCCGGCTTTCCAAAAACCACTCAACAACACTGACAACGTCCGTCGTAGACCCCATCCCTCAAGCATCTCTCCGCCCTGGCCATCGATCCAGGCTATCTCACGGACTCCAGAACCCTGGACAAGGGCGTGCCATCAACGTGGAGGACCTTCATGCGCGCCTTCAACTTCCTGAATCCGGTGGTTAAGAAGCTGCAACCGAAAATGCGACGGAGTCACGAGGGTGCTGTTGATGTGGCGAATGTGGCTGTGGGCGAGGCGTATGCGGGTGAGAAGGGGCACTTTGAGATGGGTAGGAGGACGGAAAGTTCCCCGGAAAGTAACGATGAGGTGAAGCAACGGGCGGTTTGGGATAAGAGTGTTGAGTGGTGTGGGGTTGGGCAGGAGGATACGGTGTTGCAGATTTAGGATGTGGGATGTAGTAGCGTTTTTGGGAGGTATGTAGTCACACTCCGTTGAGGTCTGGGGCTCTCAACAGTCAGTCTTTCGTAACGGTAGGTTTCAATTCTCTATATTGGGTGTCTGGTTGCTGCCGTGTCCTACTGTTCTACATACAAGGTGCGCTATTAGTAGCTGTAGCTGTAGCTGCTTGAATTCAAGATTGGAGCTACTCGACGGAGGTACTTTCATGGTCATTTATTGCGAAAATTTCGCGTTTCCAACTGAATCGGGACCCCATAATCTCGCGGCCTTGTACTCAACATACACCACCCCGACCTCTGCCACTTCACTCCTTCCACTCACCCTTCTACGCTTTCGACAAGAGAAAACCGTCATTCTGCAAGACTTGAAATACGCGCCCAGGATCGTACTTTTGAGCGATCTCCCGAAGCCTTGACAAGTTCGCCTCAGGATAGCTAGCGAGCGGATTCTGGTCCCGCGAAGCGTCGTTCATGTATATGGTCTCCAGGTGAGAACCACGAGTTTTGCCCAGCTTATACCATGCTTGTTCGGCTGAGATGCCGACTCCTCGTACTCTTTCATTATGCGCTGGATCGGTCTAGTCCATGATAGTGGTCTACCCTGGATAAGCATCTGGTCAGCTGGCTCCTCCTTGTTTTGGAGTGTTAATGCAGACTGCGCCCTTTAGCTACATATATGGCCAATAAACCAGAGCTGCAGTATCCTGCCGGGAATCCACAAGTCCCTCCCCTTGCCTCGATGCTCTGAAAACACGACGGGACCGTAGACGTCGCCAACAACGACCCCCCAGGTTTCCAACACATCCACAGCCAGATTCCCTTAAACCAGAACGCCCTCTTGCGATGAAACTCCAGATCCTTCCCATTTAGCCGGATCCATTAAGCTGCTAAAATAAAAAACTGTCTAAGCGCGCCTTGTTCCACCATGAGCTGTCGACTACGCCGCAGGTCTACCGTTATCGTACGAGTGAGGTACTGCTTGCCGTGTCTCAGAAACACATCATGCATATCATATGCAGACGGAGATGAGGTTTCGCCTCAGTAATACATTTTCCCATGTACATGGTAGGATACGCCTGCTGGCCGCAAGCAGGACGTTGCCCATGTTGGGCTTTAGGGCAGGCAGTGACTTCACTGCAAGCTGGATGCGTTGTACAAGATAAGTGGTTGAGCTTGTATCCTTTCAGTTGCATTCGAATTTAGTTGCCTGAATACCTTAATTTTTCCCGTACAGAAGCACCGATCGTCGTTAAAGTCGGAAGACACATCTTAGCGCAGTTGCCATATGGTGTGTACGAAGAATTAACAGCGCTCCCGCGAGTTTTCCAATTTATATCTCCCTGGCTGCTCACGATTGCACAAGTCCTCAGATACCTGTTCTCGGCCAATCCATGTGGCGAAATATTAAAATCAAAGACCTCAGTCAGAAATTCCATAGTCGTGCAGGCATTCGGGCCATCTACAGCACCGGCAATCTGCCGCTGAACAGGAGCGCAGCTGGCCAGGAGATAGGTCTGGTGATTGATATAACCTCGAGATTGTGTTAGCCGATTTTGGCTTCGTGATCGGAAGACACATGGAGGATCTCACCATATCGCCTCCGTCATTGGAACACCTCAAGCCGATAAATGGCCATCATCAAATCCCCGATAGTTCAAGAGTGCCAACTGAATTTGTCCGAATGGAAAGAGTATATGCCACTGGAGCGCCTGAAATAGTACTCCCATTCATGCTCATCCGTACCATAGGATCGGCATCCTGGGTTAGCTAAACTGCTTCCGCGGGGTCTGCCGAACATCGGATTCCGGAGCCTTTTTGCGATGCAACGATATGTTGTATGCATCCATATTTTCCCAAGGCAGACTGAGAAACTCATGTTTGTTTTTCCACCGTAATGATTCCTCCTTGAAGTGCTCGGCCTCAGCGGGTGGAGGCGGTGGATCTGTTATCTTTGTGATAAGATAGGCAGTTGATGCCTCCGCTAGACCGTAAATCATGACGCCGACCAAAGGGATCTTGACGAAGACAAAGAAACCAAGACCGAATCCAAACAAAACGCCAGCACGATCTTTGAACCATATCTTCTTTTCTTCCTTCGAATACTTCACGCGGGCAAAGTATGGTTCAAGCTGAGTGCGTTAGCAGGGCATTGACGAGTAGGACACCGACTAACCAGCTCGCGCATGAGGCTCCTAGAAGAGAAATAACTCTGCAGGAAGGTAATGATGTATCTCTTCGGTAGCAGAAGGGATGTTCCGAAGATGACCAATGCTGGCTGCGGCCCTACCGCCTCACTGAAAGTATAGAAACTGGCGGCAGGCAAGACGAACCGGCCAACATATGGTAAGTAAGATAACGCCAATACGGCAAGGGAGATTGCAGCTTTCCGGCCATACCGCTTTGCGTAGGCCATGAGTGCCCTCCTCAACGGCTTCTGACCTCCTTCAGATTTGGGTGAATTGTGTGATGAATACATTTGCAGATTCGGATAATACATGGCTCGGAGATCGGCAGGATCATCTGTCTTGTGTTTTTGTACGTACGTGTGATCGACCCAACGAAGCGAGTCCATGAAACTGAGGATACTGTTAGCACTGTTGAGCTGGAGGGAATATTACGGTACATTTGGTCAAGCGTCGGGGTGAGGTAGCCCATGAGGGTCATAAGAATGAATGGCACCTGGAGGACAGAGTTCTCTACGAAGTGCATCCCATTCAATATAGTATCATCCCATTGTGCCTGCTGCGTGTCCACAAAGAACGAAAGCACCCAGAGCAATACGCGCACTCCTATAATCTGGTACTGGCTTCAGCTTGTTCTTGGATGGCCCATAGGTTCGGAGTCCTACCGGTATTGCAACTATAAGTCTTATTATTATTCCAGCTGCAACGGCTAAGGCAGCCTGGCGGTAGTGCCTCGAAGTGAAGAGGTCGGGATTTTGCAGAGCACGGTGGACTACATGTACAGTGCATTAGCAACATTCTCTCTTCAAACCCTGGAGCCTCGTAAACTGACCTCCCACAAGAGTAAGCTGGGCTCCCCGCAATATGGCATTGGGGTCGAAATTAGACATGTCGTGCCTTTGTATTCGCAGTGCTGACGCTGTACGGAGTAGATGTCGATCGATGTGCACCACCCCAGAAGAACACCAATGACGTAGCGCGGGAAGCAGGAGCGAACGCCCCACGAGTTCAGCCACAGCTTGGCGGGAACTTCACGGGACTGCGGTACGAGGCAACCTCTCGTGTGTCTCCACGCATCTCAACCCCTTTCGCCCGCCATGCTCCAATGAACCTATCGCCATGCCACCGCCGGCTTCTGCTGCAGCGGACCCCACTTCGGGCTCCAACCTGCGGCGTTCATTCACCCTCCCCGCGCGCATAGCCCAAAGGTCCCAGTCCTCTTCCCCTTCCACTCGAAGCGCGGATGGCATCGAAACACTATTCACATGCTCCTTCTCCAAGATTGTCTCCTTCACTGCATCCACGCAGCGGCAGGCCGCTGAAAACCTCGATGCATCCTCTTCGATTCCGTACAGATCCTCCACCGAGCGCACCCTGGCAGTTGGTAAGTAAGCCCCAAACCGAGGATACCGCATAAGCTGATTTAGAATGCAGGGCCGCTTCGAATCTACCGCGTGACCAGTTCGAACGTATCATTTCTGAACTCGGGCAATCTGCTCCATACCATCTTCCCGAGATCGCAGTGTTGGTGTGTAGACGGACAGTCCATCTTTGTGCTTCGCATTCGGCAGGACTCATACTACCGGATCGAACTACCGTTTGATTCCGAGGAGGACAAGCAAAAGGTCGAAGAGATCAAGGTAGTCTTTGCACAGGTGTTGCAGTACGAGAAAACGCGATGCCCGTTCACGAGCGGATCCGACGATGATCGGCCAGAGCGTCCAATTACCCCGCCGCGCCCACGCTCAAGTAGACCTGCTGCAAAAGCAAAGAAATGGTTGTTTGACAAGACCTGGATGCCCGAAGACGGCTCGGGATCTACGACTCCGCTGCCGGAAGGTTCCGACTCTGGTACCAATGCCACCTATGAGGAAGAGGATGGTGTCAGTATCTTATCCGACAGAGATGAGTCAGTGACAGAGTCTCCCGCAACACCTGCTGCTTCTATTCTGCCGGAACGTGTTCGCCTCCCATCTGTGCGGGAGCGAGCCCAACAGTTTCAGGGCTCTCGATCAGTAACTGCGCCACGGGAGTACCGAGCATCTTCCCTTCCTCGACAGGCTATGTCCGGAAGCTCTCCCTTCGTGGATACCGAAAATGTATCATTGAAGGAAGAGGACAACTTGAAGGACTCCGTCGATACCCTCAGTCTGTTATCAAGCACAGACTCTTTCCTCACAGCGACTCAGGAAACCCCTTCCCCGCAATATCTGGATGCTGAAGCTGAGCTTGTCAACCCCTGGGCTAGTGATCCTCTTCAGCAACGAGAACCCGAGGAGGAGAGGGGTCGGGAACGCCATCGTCGCGGTCCCTCCGAAGTGACCGTAACACGACTTTCATTGGAACAAGTCGCGGCACCTGCGTCACCAACGCTGATAGAAACCACGCCCTCCGTAGTGACGCCCACGACTGACGCTCATCCGTCATCAGTGCCATGTACACCACCCCTTATCAACGATTCCGACGAGGACAGTCTGGAGCTGGATATATCCACTCCCCCGGACGCAATCCGGATGAAGAGATTGACAGGAGCGTCACAAAAGCGGGCATTTTCACCGATGCCAAACCCTCACAACATATTCAAGCCTCCTCCGAATCAAGCGCCAAGCAGCCATCTTACAGCCGCACTGGTCAGGAAGACGTGCGAACTCATACTTGGCCCACCAGCTCACTTGGTCACCCTCATGCTTAAGATTGCCGCACGGATCTCTGAGGGAGCTTTTGGCTTCAAAACCTACCGTATTCGTCATACAACTGAGAAGATCCCTTGTTCATGGGAATCAAGCGGAGACGAAGATGAGTGGGAAGACGACTACGGAATACCGTTGCGGACTCTTGATCATACGACGCACAAGAGAAGGCAATTTTCCACGGAGACGGATTAGTTGGGAGGTTCTCGCAACTATCTTTGCATTTTGATGATACCACGCATTTTACCATCCGCGGCATTGCATAGAGCGGGTCAGGTCACCTGCCTTATGAATCTGAGCAGAGCACATTGTATGATATGGGAACTACTTGATATGCCTTTGTAATAATGTCCTTGAGGCGGTTGGACTTTATTTTGGGAGCTAGTTGTGGTTCTTGCACGGGTTGAATGCAATGGCTATATATAGGACATAGGACCGTCAAGGCAATAGTACTGCCGACGGCGGGAATGAATTGAAGGATGATCACACCTGAAACAGCAATATCCCTCGATTAAATCGATCGATTCCTCTGGTAGCAACCTGGTCATCCCAGTCCTAGTCTACGAGGTCTAGCAGAGCTGATGGCCCGTGCACATTCATCTTCGAGTTCTATGCTTGTCCCTCGAAGTGCCCTGTGATATCAACCATCGTAAACCTGCATATTTGATATAGGCGCGACCATAAATTGTTTCAGGATTCACAATCACACAGCTCCATTATCCAATTCGGGTTCGGAATGATTATGGGGCCAAAACCTTGTGTGGCTGGTTCCCAGCCACCAGTATCCAGCCACCAAGTCAAAAGCTCTCTTCGTGAGGTCATAAAGTAAACAAGCTTGAAAACCGGAGCAATCAAGATTTAGCTGGAGGCAGGGAAATTTTTTAAAGGACGCATTACCAGCGGATTGTGTGTCCCGGCAACCTGTCGCTACCGATCCTCTCTTGTGCAGCTATTTGTTTTCTGCGTTGTGTTTTGTGCCTTCAGGACAACGACGCTGAAGAGGTTGGGATAGGGACGTGAAGAGAAGGACCTTGAGCGGATCCGGAGGTCACCAACAGTTGTCGATCAAACCTCCAACCTTCTCGTGGAGACCGGACCGAAAATGTATACATCACGACCCACATCGACCACACCACCTCCAGTGGAGTTCCCCAGTCACGCCCGCCACCTCCGACACCCACAATCTCGACCCCTCCCACCACTCCCTGAGCCATGCTACGACGACGGAAACGATGACGACGACCTCGAGGAAGAGATATTAGAAGATCTCATCCCCGCCCCGCTCTTCAGCAGCGGTAGAGCCCGCACCCCCAACAGAATCCACGAAGCCATTCTCGAGCTGGAGAGGTCGCATCCACACATCCATACTCGCTCCAGGTCGTCGACAACCGCATCGATCCACTATCCTTCTTCCTCCTCACGGCCATCATCCCGGCTCTCGGTACGATCAACCACACCTTCCATCTCATCGCCTTCCCCTTCTCCGTCTCCGTCTCCAGCTCTCTGCTTCCGCTGCTCAACACCTACCGTTCCTGTACCACCGGCACCGCGAGGTCCTCGCCTCCATCGCTCACATTCGCACGCCACGGCGCCAACGCCATCGTGCTGGGCAGCGCCAACGAGTCCAGCATTGAACAGGGCGTCGACGCCCGAGCCTTCGGACCCGGGAGGTAGGCCGCTATTGAGGAGGATGTCGACGCCGAAAAGGTCGAGCTTGAGGTCCTTGTGGAAGAAGGAGTCGGATGGTAGTTTGAGCGGGGGGTATGATGAGCGGACGAGATGAGTGTTCTGTCTTCTGATTTGAAGCAACTCGCTGTACGAAGTTTCGAAAAGGGAATGGAGTGTTTGATGAGAGAATGCGACGCTGTAATTGTTAGGACGGGAATATAGGGAAAACGTCCGTTTACGGAGGAGACGGCGATTATGATGTATCCTTGTAATGAGCAACAACTTAAGAGGCGTTGACTATGTACCTTCTAATGACAGATCCATATGATAATCGTCTTTCTACTGTGTTTGCTGAAGTGATGTAATAAGTCTGCCAGAGAAACTTCTGGCGCATCTCTTGAGGTTTCCGCAGGTACATATAATTGACTTTCTAGCCATTGTCTACCTTGACCGCGTCCACTGGTGCCTTTAAACGGAAACACCAAAACTTGAACAATATCCTGATGCTTTGCCGTCTTTGACATGAAGCCGTTATATAACGACCCACCATGCACACATCAGGGAAAAACGAAGCTCACTTATGGGCATCAGGGGCAAACCGCCCGAACAATATCACAATGAAGCCAATCTTATCATGCCACCGCAAACCACAGCGTCGTTGCGCTATAAATCTCAATGCAAGGTATCATCCCCAAACCTTACCCACGACACCCACGACACCCACGACACCACCTCTACCCAATCGTACAAATCACCTTCCCCTTCGTCCTATTCTCCTCCATCAATCTATGCGCCTCCTGCACCTCCTCCCACGGCAACACCTTCTCGACAAAAACCTTGAACCTCCCATCCCTAAACCTCGGCAACGCATGCTCGACCAACCGATCCCTCAACTCCCCCTGATACGCCTCGTCCCTACTCCTCAAACTGCTGCCCACAAACGTAACCCTCTTCCTGATGAAGGCGCTGATATCCGTCTCGGCAGGCAACTTGGTCCCGCCCATGAATCCCAGATTCACGATCACGCCGTCGCGAGCGACAGCATCGAGGTTCTGCTGGAAGTAACTCGCGCCCATGAAATCGACGATGATGTCTACGCCTTTTCCAGCGGTTGTCTTCATCACCTCCTCGACCCAGTTTTGCGTCGTCGTGTTGAAGCACGCCGTTGCGCCGAGTTGCTTGGTCACGAACTCGCACTTGGAGTCCTGGCGGGCGGTGGCGAAGACGGCGGAGGCCGAGTCGGCGACGGAGAGTTGGATGCCGGCGATGGAGACGGAGGAGGCGCCGGCGTGCCAGAGGATGGATTTGCCCGGGGTGAAGTGCGAGAGTAGGTATAGGGCTTGGGTGGCTGTTATCCAGGTCTGAAAGGAAAAAAGGTTAGATGATGCCTATTGACAAGTACAATGAAATAGGATGTCATGATAGAGGGGAAATGGTACGCTCAAGTACAGAAGAACGAGGAGACGTCACAATAACAATGAACAACGGAAGTGAAGAACATACCTCCGGAATCCCCGCACATTCCTCCCAACTCAACTCCCCAGGCTTCCTCACCAGCATCTTCGTACTCACAGCGATAAACTCCGCATACGCCCCTCCGTACGCTAATCCAAACACCTCGTCACCGACTTGGAAATGCCCCGTAGCCTCCTTCCCCAGCGCCTCGATGGTCCCCGAAAACTCCACGCCGAGGATCTTGGATGCGCCCGGGGGCACGGGGTAATGGCCTTCGCGTTGCAGGAGGTCCATGCGGTTGAGACCAAAGGCTTTGACCTTTACGAGTGCTTGGGTGGGTGTGTAGGCCGGTTTGGGGACGGAGGTTATGTGTAACGCGGAGATGGGGCCGGCGCCGCCTTTGATATCTGGGGTCTTCAGTGCCTTGATTCTGGAGAGTGTATGCTCAGAGTAACAGACCTACTGCTCGCATTGTGTCTCCCATGTTTATGTGATAAGCTTGTACGCGTGAATGTGGGTGTGTAGATTGCGATCAGGATGTTCTATATGCGAAGTCCGTTCTATCCTGATTCTCCTGTAGATTTGATCTATCACTTGTACAAATCGCTCAGCGTCCTGTGATGGTTTTGTATTTCATAAGCTCATTGTACAATTATGCCTCGGCGCAACGTTGTATTTATAATGACGACAGTGGGGCCGCTGGTGAAGCTAAAGCGGGGCATTAGGCCAGGTGAGCAACCAGCGTTCGTAAATCTCGGGGATATGAACGAGAATAAACACGTTCTTGATATATCATACCTAGTCGTATCAAGCGAGACATACCAATACATGATATCCCTCGAATCATACTAGTATAACCCTAGAGCGCAATCCGTCCTCATACGTCTGCACGGAATGAAACCCACGGGTACGAGACATACATATTTCCCACCTTGCCCAATACTCAGTTCGAAAACTTCGCTATGCATTCGGAAGGAAACATCGCTAGCGCATCTCTCTAGACAAACAACGAGTTCTCGTCCTTGATCTCGTACTGCTTGAGGATCTGCGCCAACTTGTTCGCCTCACGAGCATAGTCCAGAGTATAAATATTCTGGATCTGGTACCGCGGCCTGTTTGCAACGTTAGAAGAGGGAACAAAAACACCGCAGTCAGAAACGAAAACTCACTTGGGCTCATTCTGATAGGTCTCCAACTTGCCGCGAACTTTGAAACTGAACGTCTTGCATGTAGCTTCCTGCATCACAGTCGCAAACTTCGCTTCGTCTTCATCCTTGAGCGCCACCGCTTCGTTGGCGGACATTCCCACAATCATACGTCCGGCTTCGTCGAAAGCATTCAGCCAAAGCGAGCCAGTATGGTCCGCGACATTGACCGACAGGATATATCGGTACTCAGGCCTGGGCCACTTGACCTGGCATTTCTCACACCACCATTCGCCTTGATTCTCGTCAATCACCTTCTTGTTACAGCCCGGTGTCTGGCATGCTGGGTACGCAATCGTCGAGTTATGCTTGATGAAGACGACTGTCGCCTTCAGTGTGAAGTAAGTAGGCGTATCTTGTAGGTAACTCTCATCTTCAATGACGGTTGCGATGAGCTTCGTGTCGTTTCCGGCATTCCCCGCACTCGGTGCCAAATTCTGGTGAGTAGAGAAGGAGGCATTTTGGCCGACTGCATTGTACCACCCCCTCAGCTTATGTGCCTCATCAATGTCCGGCTCAACGGTCATAGAACCAGAGCTCTGAAGACTCAGGCTCCTGCCGCCAAAATCAGACACTTTCACACCTTTGAAGGCAATGACTGAGTCCAGGGGGACATCGAACGACCGAGCTTGGGCTCCCCAGATAGTGAGCTTGACTGAAGTCTGGGTGTCGTCTGCAATAGTCAAATCACGCTTCTGGTGATCCTTCTGCGTGCTCTTTGACGTTATCGTGTTGACCTCTCCCACCTCTTTGAGCACGCCGATGGTGTCGATGATAGTGTCTTTTTCGACAGCGTCCAGATCGCCAATCTTTGTGAAGTTGTACCGGACTTGGGGAGCGTTTTCTTGATCCTCGGCCTGGTCGACGGTTAGTGGGCCTGGTATAAAGGCAAAGGGCAGTTCAGCTCACCTTTTCTACCTCAGTATCCCTCTCAAACTGCAGTTCGTAATCGTTGGACAATTTCGAGAACTGCTTCTTAGCCAGAGTCACCCTGCAGGGAGCCGAAATATAGTAGACGACATCCTTCTCAAAGATGTTGTAGAGCTTTTCGGCAGTGTCATTGAAAGCCGTTCCCCTGATCTCGCCTGTGTCATCGAGCAGGTTGACGTTGAAGAGCTTTCCCTCGCCACGAGCGTTATGCCATGGTATCAACTCCGATTTCGCTGTGCAGCGAGCCCGAATCGTCCATTTGTGTGCATACGGTGAGAGAGACTCGATAGGATAGAGATGCGGATGCGTCGATGTGCCCTGGTTGCCGGGACGGTGCGCGATAGTCTGTTGTTGTTGCGCGGGTTGTGCCGGCTTATTACCATAGAAGTTGCTGCCAGAGATTCCAGCTGGCTGAGGCTGGGGCTTCTCGTCCATGAGATCCTTGAAATCGAGAGCCTCGGGCGTGCCGATCTTGTCAGGCTCGCCATACTGGTCAAGCACCTCCAACTCCGTGATGATCAGAATCCTGCAGGATAATTAGGACACGTTAATAGGAATCCAAGCTTCAGTCCGTGCTACATACTTCTTGTCCTTGACCTGCTGCGGGCTGTACTTCAACAACCTCACAATGGAGCCCTTCCTCAGCTTCCCGGACGTGATAATCTCATTGATAGTCGGGACAAGCATCGTCTGAATGAAATTCCGGACGTCGCTGAGTACAACACGGTACCGCTGTACCGGATTCGCCTCGTTCTGCTTCGGCTCCATGGCTTTGATCTGCACGCATTGCAGCACGGGATGTTCGACGAAGCAGCCTTTCGGCTGGAAGATGCTCCTACAGACACGTTAGTGTAAACTTCTCAGATAGAAAGTTGTGCTCTGAGAAAAAGATACCGAATAGCACCCTGCGTAATTACTTGATCAGCCATATCCACGCGTGTTGTCAGTAACTTGCGGCGAGAGTGAAGTGGTTGTGGCGTGGAGAAATCGAAACGACAACTCCAGACGCGTCGCGTCGTCTTCTGCCGCGCATCACGTGAAAAGCCCCGCACTAGCCTCAATTCGGATCGCTATTTGCAGCGTCGCCTACGTAATTGGCTTTCAGCAACGGTTAACGAGCTCAATAGAGACCCCAGACAGCATCTTTCAAAAACACTCGACCAAAAAAGAAACACCCAAAACACGCAATGGCCCAAGAGGAGATTGCGACGCGAGCTCCCGAGAGCGATGCGCAGGAGGACTCTACTGTGACCACAGAGCAAAGCACCCAATCTACTCCTCCCATCGCAACGCCAGCTACAGTCCCAAGCATGGGTGTGAGGCTTCCATTGAAGAGACTCCATTCACTTCCAACCCAGCTAACCTTCCCCTCAGGACCACTGCACCTCCGACCGACCGACTCCCTCCGGAGCCCTCCCCTCAGGTGTTCGTCCCCTCCTCCCTCCACGCTTCCACACACCCATCCTCCCACTAACGCCCACCCAGGAACTCACCACCCTAAACAACGTCCCCGTCTACATCGCCAAACCAGCCGACTACCCGCACTCGCCCTCAAAACTCCTCCTCCTCCTCACCGGCGGCACAGGCCTGCACTCGCCCAACAACCAGCTCCAAGCCGACCAATTCGCCTCGCAAGGCTACCTCGTCGTGATGCCGGACCAATTCGACGGCGACCCGGCGCCCAACGCCGTCGACATGACAAAAATCGAGGAGACGACGTCGTGGCTCGAGTCGGTGAAGCTGCGGACCGCAGAGGGCGTCAAGGCCTTCATGATCGATATGTGGCTGGCGCGACATACGCCGGAGAAGGTGCTGCCGTTGTTGAGGAAGGTGGTGGAGGGGGGGAGGGAGGAGTTTGCCGACGCCGTGGCGAATGGAGGAGGCATCTATGGCGTCGGGTATTGCTTTGGGGCAAAGTATATACTCGTGCTGGCCGGGGAGCAGGCAGATGCGGATGCGGCGCAGGCGCCGAGGGATGAGGAAGAGGGGCCGGTGAAGAGGGAGCCGGTGCTGAGGGCGGGTGCTATTGCGCATCCTACCATGGTTTCGGTGGAAGATCTCGAGGCTGTGAGGGCACCTGTCTTCATTGCCGCGGTGCAGGACGACCCTTTATTTCCGGACGAGGAAGTCCTCACTCCGGGACGCAGGGCCATGGAGAAGAATGGCGTAGAGCACGAGATACAGGTCTTCTCGGGCGTACCTCACGGTTTCGCTGTGCTCGGAGACTACGACGATCCGAAGATCAAGCAGTCGCAGCAGGAGGCGTATGCGCAGATGTTGGCCTGGATCCGGGAGCATTAGCAGTGGAAGAGTTCCGGTGGCACTGTACTGGTGCATGCAGATTTTTATACCCTCAAAATGCGAAGGTCGCATGATTCGATTCCTTGAATAACGCCTTGAAATGCATATGCCTGTGGTCTTCTCGCTCGCCCTCTTCTAACCTCCAATGCCCGAGCCCTCTCATATATCCTATATCAACTCCACATCCCCCCTCTCCACAGCAGCCCTCACACCCCCCCATCTCACGACCCAAACATCCCCCCTCCGCATCCTCACTCTGGCCCCCTCCCCCCCCCCCTCGCTCCAAACCTCGCAATCCCTCAGCGCCCTCGCAAAAACCGCACTCTGCGTATCCGGCCGATCGATCATGCTGACACCGCCGGTCGTATCGTCTAGTTTCTGTAATGGGGCCGGGAATTGCGATAGGAAGGAGGCGGCGTAGTGGGCGGACAGGAGGGATTGGTGGGCGGTGAGGTACTGTTGTTCCGAGGGGGAGAGGAGGCGGGGGTTCGTGGGGAGGAGGGAGAGGAGGTGGTGGGGATGGGCGTCGATCTATAGTATAGTCTCATCAGCATATTCAAACAATCTTTACTTAGAGTTGACCCAGGGAAGACAGGGCCTGTACACACCTTTTTTATCCTAGCGCGCAGAAAACTCCGCACGAGGAACTTGAACCGCTCGAGCTCCGTCTGCACGATGATGAGCTTGAAGTTGGTCTTGGCGTCCATGTCGCCCGTCTGCTCTTCCACGAGCTCAATCTACAAGCAACCCCTCGCAAAGAGGCGCCAAAGTCAGCGAAAATTTACCCTCGCAAAGATCTACGGGACTCCCGGCACCGACACCCAATCCCTTCCAAAAGCCCTCCCATCATTCCCTGGAAAACCATACAGTGTACATACCTGCTTCCTTATCCGCCCCAAAACCCTGCCCATCAGATTCTCCGGCCACTCGAGAATCTCCGGAGCGCACCTCTCGGCGACCCACGCGCGCGTCAGTTCCTGCAGATCGCGCTGTTGCTGGGGTATCGCGCCTGCGGAGACTTCGGCGAGGAGGTCATCAATGTCCATTATTTCCGAGGCGGCGGTCGCCATTTTCTATGTTGCGCTGCTGCTATGAATTTGGGTTGCTAGTGGGAGTTGTGGGGCAATGGGCGTTCGTTGTATGCGTAGCGGAGCGTGGAAATGTTGGTGCGGTATGATAGGGTTGTATGGTGCACAAGTAGTGAAGAGCAATGGCGATGCTCGGTGGGAGGATGAGGGCCAATCAAAGGGCAATGTCCGCTCGATGTAGATAGACTAAGTCGGTGGAAAGCAGATCTGAAGGGGAATATATAGGAAATCCTAGCCTGCAGTTAGGCGACAGCAAAGGCGCGAAAGGATAGGTGAGTGAGTGAATTTGTTGTGAACAGCCAGCGATACAGGAACTCGAAAAGCTTCTGGAACGTTTCTTCTTGGCAGACGCGGGGGCGCGGGATCGACGTGACACGCGACACGCGATGTGGGGTGCACATGCGGGGTGGCGGGCCATGCATCGATCAACCGCTAGCCCGAGCACAATCTGATTGGTTGTTGAATTCGATATCGATCGTCCAAACCGGCAAGCTCAGACCTTCAGAGTAGACATTCACCTTCACCGCAAAGACTTCATACGTCAAAAAAGACCAGATAACTGATAATGATTGATTCTCTCTGAACAAGGCTAGCACCACCGTCCATTCCACCGCATTACGACGAGGCACCTGTTTCCTCTCCACCTTTCTCTTCCCTCAGCTTTTCCGCAAAATGTGCTTATGTACAGAATGCTGTCAGCTACGTACAAACTGGTTTCTACCAGCAGAGAAAGTACTGAAGGGTAGGCAAGTACAGTTGCAATGCCAGGATGATGAACGGGGAAGCAGCTGAATCCCTTGACGACTAGAGACTGCGAAGAGAACGAGGGAGAAAGACGAATAAAGGAGATGGGGGTGTGGCAGTCTGGTGTGGGGGAACAGCCGATGCGTCGACAAAGAGCAGTTCTGACTTAAGAGATTCGGTGTGGCGTGGTGTGGTGTCCTGTGGTGTATGGTGGGGAATGGCAGGCACGTAGGCCGCCAGCAGTAGAGCTTCGCTGAGGTACTGTGGATGGGTCTCGACTGTGAGAGGGAGAGCGCTTCTCGACTCTGCAGGGTTGTGGAAATCCGTAATAATAGGAGATGAATAGACAAAGGAAACTAGAAGGCCTCCGAGGCAGCTGTCGCGTGCTGCTAATAGAACTTGCTGGGGTACAGTTGGGATGCATCCAGCAAGACACTCGGAAGAGAATAAAACCGTGCAAAATGGTTGGCCGTGGTGATAGATTCCGAGTGGGAAAATTCCGAGTATGAACTGATCCATTGTGAGATCAAGAGGGCCAGAAGTCAGATGCACATCGCTACAGCCGCAAGACGGTTTTGGATAGAAGCCAGAAGCAGAATGCGTAATCGCTGGGAGAATGAAATGGAGAAGAAGACCGAAATGAGCCCCGAACGCCGATGCTATGATAAGTCGAATGCAGGAGTCAATCAATAACGCCTTGCATCCAGTTCGCCGTGAGAGGGTTGATGATCATCAGGAAATCATGGACCACCCGAGGATGGGCTACCACTAGTAGGAAGCCATGCGACGAGTGGCACCTATTCGTCCAACGTTAAAAACTTCGTCATGCCCGGGCATGGTATTGCCGCTCTTGGATCGACCGACGGCAGTAGGGCTGTCCATCTGGCAGGATTGCTGGCCAAATGCAAATGTTTGCGCACGATTGAGCTTGGAGCGCTGGCGGAGCTTATTCATTCCGCGTTCACAGGCGGTTTCGTGCTCCTTTGCGTCCATACGGAGGTAGTTCTGGGGGAAACAGCGGGCACGATGTGACTCAAAGAAGTTGCTGTAGCCGCCATCAAGAATATACATCTCCGGATAAGAGAGTTGAGGATAGCGGAAGGCATTGATCCTTCGATCCTCATGGCGCACAAACTTCGCCCTACGCAAATTAGCAACAGGTTCCAGAGGTTCACGTGCAAAGACTTACATGAGTGGTGCACGATGAGCGGAATATTCGCAGTGGAAGATTAAGAGGGTATTGGGAGTAACCTCCTTATTAAAGAGGAGCTCGGCCAGTTGCTCCTTCTCGCAGAAGTTCCGGGCTCCATCTATGTGGCCACCTTCATACTCGTACTCGAAACGGCAGTCGATGATAATCTTCTCATCGTACAGATGATCGAACTCGCCATCAAGCACGCTAATCAGAGTGGCATCCGAGATGCGCGGGAGGCTATCAGGTTCATTGGGAGGGGTGAAGTTGGGAAGCTTCAACGCTGGAGTGTCATCAACATCCATGACGGACTGTAGATTGCTCGGAGTGTAATTCGATTGATCATCCTTCTGGTTCATGATGTCGCCTGGGCTTTCGAACATGCTCAGCGACCTCCTGAACTTGCTACGAGGCCGGCCGGGCGGGCCCGAAGGCTTCCTGATATTACCACCAAGAGGCGACCCTGTGCCACGGGATGCATTGCTATGAAGGCTGAAGGACTTGGGCTTGGGCACAAATGATACCGGGTTTGCAAGCATCTTGCGGTCTTGAGGGGAAGCGGCAAAGCATTCGTCCAAGGATAGGGTGGAGGCGTTAGACTCGACACCGGCACCGAACTTGAAGGCTGGCAAGGGGTTGTTCTCTTGGTCTTTGAAGGATACTGTGTTAGTGGAGTAGTTCTTGACACGGTTAAAGGATGGTCGAAGCAGAGCCTTTCTTCGCCTGGTCTAGTCAGTATAAGGGTGAGGGACTACCGAGCGAGCCCACTTACTCTGCAGCAGCCGCCGGCCTCGATGCATCCAACTGTGAGATTGGAAACTGAGGAGGCGGAGCAACGTCGCATGGGGACAGCATCTCTTCCTCTGAGGCCGGCGCGTGGTCGGGTGTGGGGGACGGCAAGGGCTCCTCCTTGACAAAGCTGAAGGGTGCTTTATGCGGCAGAGGCGAGATGTCCATCGAGTCAGGCACGAAGCAGGGAGACGACGAGGGAATGGGAGGTGTCGTCACCCCTTCCCATCCAACTGGCGGGGTCGTGACTCCTTCTGCTTTGGAAGAGGTCAGCACAGCACAATGTCAACGACTGGCACGAAGGGACACACCTCGTTTCTCCAGTGCCTGCAGATTGATCGAGGTGAAGAGCGACCGGCGAGGAGTGGTGAATTGTGGGCTGCGCCAACATTAGTAGTGCAACCTTGGACTTCAATGCAAGGGAGGGAGGATACCTCTGATCAACATGCAAATTGCTCGACATGTCGGCGGCGAGGCTGGCCGTGGGCGAGGAGCCTCGCAGGGGAGGCACACCAAAATAGTCTGGGTTGCCCTTCTTCATGCTCAAATCCCTAAAATTGAAGCTGTTTGGCCCAAAATTGTGTCCTCCAAAGAGCCTGGTTGCCGGCAGGTCACGCCTGTAGCCCCATGGTGCAGTCGGCAGAGGCGGGGGGTGCATGGCCGCTAATGGCGACGACATTTCCATATCCAATTGTGACGATAGGACGTGGTGTGTGTGTAGTTGGGTGCAATTGTCGTAGGGGGAATCGGGTCTGCGAGTAACGAATGTGGCAGTAGTCGACTCGGATGCGGGAGGTGAGATGTTGGCTAGTACTACTCGGCCGGATGCAGTCGATAAGCATGCAAGGCGGGAAAACTAGTTCCAATGGGAAAGATGCTCGTCGTAGATATCCTCCAAGCTAGGGCACGGGAGCGGTAGAGGTTGGGAAGAGGTGGTCCGGGGGGGGGGGAAGAGGTCTCAGCACGCAGCGGACATATGGACGTGGGCGGAATGGGGTGGGAGTAACTGGCGGGCCAGCGAGTCCGACTTCTTCTTATTATTCCAGCGACCAACGTCCAATGCCCGGTGCGGCGGCCGCGAGCGAGGAGGAGGAGGAGAGGAGAAAGAGAAGGGGGGGCAGTGCCTTCTTGGGGACAAAGAAGGTGAGGAGGGAGGGAGGTGGGAGGTGAGCAGGGTTGGAGAAGATGAATGAAGCTGCCGAGCAGGAGCTGCAGGTCGTCTCCCCGAGCAACCTTGGAAGCCTCACAGAGCAACTGCGGCGGGCCTGAGCTCCACGCGCCCACATGCAACCAGACTTTCACCCTTTCACCCTAGCCCACGAGCCTGCAAAACAGCGACCAGGCTGACCGGCTGCTGTCCAGGGTTTGGACCAATGTGACGTGGGGAACCCGCTGAGAGCCCTGGTAACAAAGCCGACCGGACAAGGTGTTTGATTGATGAAGCTGGCGCCGGGCGGTTCTGCAGCTCTGCAGCTTTGTTGCTGATGCGAGAACGGAATTGATTGTATTGTTAATTGTCAGAGCTGTGAGGGAAAAGAGGTACCCCGCGTCATGCTGCTCCTTTGCCGCAGGTACAGTGCAGGACAGTAGCTTGCAGCTCGTATGCCAATAGTTGGAGCTATCTAGCTAGGTAAACAACACCCGTTCGCAGCAGCAACACGCCTCTGCTACAGCTTGCTCTGCTCGCCACGCATGGGCAAGCGGAACGAAAGCTCCACTGGTGCTATCAAACACTGCGCGTAGCAGCGGCCCGCGCCAGCTTCAATGCGGATTGCGGATTCTCGTCGTTGCTACGTGTCTCGCCTGTGCTCACCTTTTTGTGCAATGCCCGCCCCGGTTGCCAGGTCGCCAGGACACGGATGAGGCCTGCTCAGAAACTTCACAAAGCCCATTATTTCCACAGCATCCCCCCACAAGCCAGTCACTGCAGCAGTCAGTTCAACTCGTGCTCAGGAGTGCCAGAAGTTGGTCGTCAAGTTTTCGCTCATCCATCATCGACATCATCGATCCCCTCTCTCCCCCGCCAGCAAGAAATCAGGGCCATTGCCATGCCATCGACTCGAGTCTCTCCTCCGCCTTTCGTCATTCGACGACTTGGCGCAAGCTGAATTGATTCCGCGAAACCGATAGAAGCCCGTACGCAGGGCCTGATTGGCCATGTTACAGCCCGTCGTCGTCGGTTTCTGTGCTGCGCTTGTCGAGGTCGGGAAAAGCGCACCACAGCCTTACCATAGCATGCCTCAAAGGGGCAGCTTAATAACCAGCGCTTGCTCTGCTCTCCAACGCCGTCTCCTCAGTCTTTCCCTGCTTGGTGCTGGCTTCCTTTATGAAGTCTGCGACGATGCGACGATCGCAGGCTGAAAAACGTCATCTCTCTTCTCACCATGATGTAGGCATGCGGCAATTGTCCTTTTGCCCAGTTCAAGAGCCGAAGTTTGTTTCCCTATGTCTCTGTGTCTGTCTCGCGTCCGCGTTGTTTTGGCAACAGCCGCCAGCCGCCAGCGCGCGTGCCCATCAACAGCGAGCGGACTTCGAAGCGCTTCCATCCCCATTGTCACCACGCTGACCGGCCGGCACGCGGACGGTGCCTACGCTATGCTGCAACGAGCGCTTGACCGGCGCTGCCGAAAACGCCCAGGTCGCCATGAGCCGACGAGCGAACGGGGGCGGGCTGAAAAAGAAGTCGAGAACAAGTCCGTCATCAAGGGTTTCTGGCGTCGACTCCCCAGCAACCCGCTGCACAAATCCTTTCACCACTTCTCCCCTCTTTTACGTCTTTCAGACCCCACCAACACCCGAGCGCCCCTTTGACGCTGACAGGCCATGCAATTTTTCTTCCTAGCGCTTGCTAGTCACGGAGAATGTCACGGAGGAACCGCGTCCCGTTTCCCAGGACGACGCGACGGGTTCTGGGTAAACAAAGCGCTTCCAATGCCTGGTCCCGTGACCATATAACGGCAAGGTTGCCCATACAAGTACGATGGTGACTCCCTTGGGACAATAAATGGGGCGTTTCACAAACCCCTTGTGCTGCACTGCATCGTGACTGATGCACGTAGAGCACACTGTTCACCCAGCCTCGTGGTACTTTGTACACAGTACTCCGTAGGAACTCCGTAGGTACTCTGGTAGATATCCACACCTGAGAAGCCCCGCAGTTTCAACTCCTCCCGCCATCCATCAGAAGATGCTCTTATCTGCCCAACACAATCACCTCATCCACGCTCATCCCAGCTGAGACAACCAAAGTCCGCGATGCCGTCTCACGATTTATCATCCTTCTAGCACTTCTCATAAAATAGCCTCTCTGATAGGTCATTTAGGCCACGCTTCCTTCCACTTTCCAGCCAATCAGACCCATTTTCCTCATCAAGCAGTTCCCGTCGACCTCAATCTACTCGTGACTCCTTGTAGTTTCAGTACACGACCATATCGGCCCGTTGGTTCTCTCTTGACTCTTGTCCGCACTCTAGGAATAGCATCATGCTGATGAGCTACCCCGCACTTGAGGCGATGCTTTGTCCTTTGGGGGCGGAGCTTGGTCAGCAGGTGGGCTGTAACGTCCACGGGTTGTAGCGGTATGCTCTGTTGGGCAAGCGATAACATCTTTCTTCCTCACCACTGCTCCGCCGATGCCGCACCAGGGCGTAAGGCGTGCTTTCCTTATTACTGAGTACGCAGCTCCGCTTGATATTACACGCAACGTCGGGCAATGCTTTGTGCTGCCGCATCTTGCACAACATGCATCCCAGGACGACGAGAGTTGGAAGCATACAATCGCCTTTGTCACACCTGACAAAGAACGAAGCCTTCGACCTGATGGAGATAAACATTTCTCCGCCGTTGGTCCTAGCCGCACTTCGTATGCTCAGCTTCAGTTGTACTTGCTTCCCTATTCCGTACCTCCACTCACTGACTGCTTGCGGATTGTTATCAATAGCATGGTTTACGCATAACCCCTCGTTGATTCCAAAGTCCACGCCATGGAATCCCCGCGGAAAGCGGCCTGTTAGAGAAACCTCTCCTCTGGCGAATCGTGTTTTATAGGTATCCTGATCAATCCTCAATGACGTACTGTGTATTCCAAAGCTCAGCTTCATGCTTTAGGAAAGGATGTGATGTCGAGTTATATGGCGGCTTTCCACGTTCGACCGAGCATCCAGCTGCCATTCCTCTGTAGGTGGGATTACCTACCCGGCGCAAGTCGATTTGCTACGACCTGATAACGCGGCAGGTAGAATTTCCTTTTAGACCTACTATACGTAGAGGCGCGCGCCACAAAGCTAATTGCAGGACCTCCTATATTGCTGCACCTGCTAGCTGTTTAACTGCATGTAGAAAAAAGCAGTACGGAGGAAGTGCCCGAGGGTGTTCAGTCGGAAGTGTGAAAAGAAGCACTACAGTAGTTGGCAGGGAGGTGCTTTTCGCTAGTTACCACTTTTGACCTAGCGTGGGCCTTGGATTCGCTTAGCGTCTCCATCACGTGTTATCAAAAGCTTCTCAAAGAAGTTCCAACCCTCATCTTCAGGAATTTCCACCCCTTCCCTCAAGGAAGAGAAAACATAAATTCCCAGCCATGGGTGCCAATTCCCTCAAACGGCGCCGCTCCCAGGCCCCAACCAAAGAACCCGAGAACTCCGGCGGAGCAGGAACAGAAGCATCTGGCAAACCCGCCAAGCGCGCCCGTTCCAGCGCCGACTTCCAGCTCCTCAAACTCTACAGCGACCTGGCTGCGGAATCGGACGAGACGCGTCTCGTCGCCGCCAAGCAAATCGTTGTGCACTTTTCGCCCGAGAATCAGCCGTCGAAGGAGTCGGTGGAGAAGGCGCTGGATAAGTTGATCCGGGGGCTCTGTAGTAGTAGGAAAGCGGCACGGTATGGGTTTTTTGTGACGTTGACGGAGTTGCTGGGGATGTGGTTTCGAGGGCAGGGGAACGGGTTGGAGGTGGGTGTTGAGGGGTTGATTGGGTGGGTGGTCGAGAAGACGAAGGTGGAGGGGAATGTTTTGGGTCAGGTGAGGAGTTGAGGGTGTTGAATGCTAACAATTGTGCTAATGGATGCAGGATCGAAGGGACCACTCTATCGGGAGGTTGTTTGGGTTCAAGGCGATTATGCAGTCGAAGATCTTGATCGAGCCTGAACTGCACTTGGATGCCTGGAAGAAGGTGCTCGACCACATCTACACAATGGCTCGGGATATCCCCTGGCTGCGTGAAGAATGCGGGCTGGTGGTTGTGGATGCCGTCAAGAGTTTAGGTTCTCAAGCTTCGTTCAGGGATTGTGCGCGCGAAGGGATCGAGCGACTCATTTCCTTCAATCTAGCGAAGACTCCTGAAGGAGTTGCTATATGGCTCACGGTGAAGGCCCAGTTCGAGGATGTCCTACCAGAGAATGTCTGGAATGATAAGGATCCCTTATCGAAATCGGAACGGACCCAGTTGGCCAGAATTCTCAAGGAGGACTTCCGCAGCGCCACGGAGAACGGGAAGAACGGAAATATCAAATCCGGTTCCGCGAATCCCAACCCGATATTTGCTTGGGACCTGGTTCTGAGTGAGACGCTCAGAAGAGACCTTGCAAAGAGCCAGTCTAAACATGGTGCTAAGTCGGAGTTCCCCCAGTTCTGGCTAGACACTGTCGATAGTAAGTCTTCCTACGTCACTACTGAACGGCTTCTTACGTACATAGACAACCTCTTCTCGTCGACTGCTTCGCATGTGCGAAAGTCCTGGGGCTTCAAACTGTTCGCCACTTTGATAAAGGCCATTGCGGAAGATCAAATCCCCGCACTCTTTAGCCCCAACCTGATGCGAAGTCTCATTAACCAGAGCAAGAAGGAAGACAGGCTATTGCATGCCGCCGCATTATCCGCCCACAAAGCAATGGTAGCCAGAGTACAGCAAACGCCGACCTCTGCTTTGCCGATCGTGGTGGCATTGACCGGGAAGAGCGGCGCAGTCGACATTGACAGAACAACGAAGACCAAGACACTGCAGACCGTCATATTGTCTGCAGACGATGACACACTACGGAAGATTGTCCGACATTTGCGAACCTTGATTCTGCGGCCGGATACCCAGGAGCAAGCAATTGCCGACTCGCGCCGTCAATGCATCGCAGACATACTACTGACCATTGTGAGGGAATATCCACGGTATGGGCCTGACTTCGTAAGCGGAGAGGAGCATGACAATTGGCTTCGCAATATCCTAGAGGTTCTTGTGGAGCATGCATACTTCATTCCCCGCTCGGATGCAAAGACCAGCAAGGTGCCTCTACCCGCCGTCAGTGAGTCCACGAGGAAGGTATTTCAAGAGCGGGTGTCTTCTTGTCTGACGAGACTGTTGGGACTGGAGTCGGAATCCCGTGCCTCCTTTGCCTTGATGACCGTGGGCATGATCCGCGAAAAGGCCTCGTCGTCAAAGGCGCTCGAGCTTGTGTTCAAGGCCGACAAGCCTATATTGAAGAATATAGACAAGGCTTTCAAGACAGTGGATACGCTCAGGGCAAAGGTAATATCCTTCATTGCTTCACAGGAGAAATGCTAATGCCTATTAGGGTTCGATTTCAGGACGCAAGGCCGCGGCTGAAGGTCTTATTCTCCTCTACTCCCTTGCTCTCCTCCAGGTCTACGAAGGAAATGGCGATGCAGTGTTACTGCTAGACGACCTTGATTCGTCATACAAAGCTTTGTCGAAGAAAAAAGACGAATCGTCTTCCAAGCCAGAGGGACAGGACCCCTTTGTGGAGATTTTATTGACCTTCCTCGGAAACCCACGCACGCTGTTCAAGAAGATTGCAGAGGAAGCTTTTGCGATATTTGCCTCTGATCTTAGAGAAGACGGGCTAAGATCCTTGACCGACATACTTGATACGCCTGAAAATCTTGAAGGACAGAATCAGCTCTTCAATCAGGGCGGGGAGGAGGAGGAAGCCGGCTCCGACGCTGAAATGGAGGACGTAGAAGAAGCGTCGGATGTGGAAATGGTTGATGGAAAATTAGTGAGGTCTGGCGAAGCTGATGGAGAGGCATCTGACGTGGGATCCGATGATGGTTCCGACGAAGAAGCGGAAACCACTTCCACCGACTCCGACTCTGACGACTCTGACGACTCTGATGTTGATGACAGAGACGACGAAGAGCTAGCACGATTTGACGACCTCTTGGCGCAAACACTCAAGACCTCCAAGCCTACCCTGGATGGCGGAGCCTCAGATGACACTTCCGACGAGGACATGGACGACGAGCAGATGATGGCTCTGGATCCCCACCTGACTAAGATTTTCCAAGAAAGGAGGAAGATCACCAGCAAGAAGGGCGAGCGCAAAGATGCCAAACAGACAGTCGTCCAGTTCAAGTCACGTGTTCTGGACCTACTAGCCATCTTCATGGAGAAGCAGTACTCGAATCCCCTCACCCTCACCGTCATTCTGCCTCTACTAAGGAGGATCCGAGCAGGAGGCAACAAGCAACTAATGAACAAGAGCTACGGCATCCTCAAAACCTACACCACCGCACGATCCCATCACAAAGCTCCCTCGCAATCAATAGACAAGAGCTCCGGCATCCTCAAAACCGACACAGCCGCACGATCACATCACAAAGCCCCCTTGCCGAAGCCAGAAAACGTCGACGAGGCCTGGGAGATCCTCCAAGCTGTTCACGACGAGGCGAAGCTCGGAGGCGAAGCCACGCTGCATGTGAATGCGTGTGCCTCAGCATCCATCCACATTGCGAAGGTTCTGGTCGGTCTGGACAGGGAGAATTATGCTAAGGTGGTGGATGTGTATGCTGAGACGCAGAAGGAGTGGTTTGCGGAGAAGACTCGGGTTCAGCCGGTGCTGTTTACGCAGTTTCTCAACTGGTCGATATCCTTGAAGCGGGGCAATTGAGTGGAGAGTGCTTCGACTGAAGATCCCCTTGCAGTTTCCCGTAGGTGAGATTAGCTAGCCGGCACAAGCCTATTAGCTACATCAAGATAATGCAACAACTAGAACTTTGCTTGAGAAACTTAGTCTACGTAGACAGAGCGCTCGAAAGCTAATTGCAAAATCTGTAAAATTGCTGCCCTGGCAAGCAGCTTACTTGGATGTGGGAAAGAGCAGTACAGAGGAAGTGTAGGGGTGTGTTCAGTCGGATGTGAACAGAGATATTTCACGCAAGCCCTTATGCTTGGCAAAGGCTTATCGATAAGAAGCCCACCCAAGCTGTGGCAGCAACCTAGCTTGCCCTCAAGTGCAACACTGGGCCGGTCCAACAAATTCCAAATCCCCCTCCACCGCCGCATTTATTCTGTCCTTGAGTCCAGTTCGACATATAATAGGCGCCGGTTAGAGTAGAGAACATTCAAGTCAAGATGAGTTGTTCTCACGCAGAGTCTCCTCGTAGGTGCCCCGCATTACAGTTCCATGGACCTGTTGTTTACGCTATCCAGAGCTCCGCTCCCCTGGTCCAAATCAAGCGGTCTACCGCGAGGACTGCACCCAATGCTTCGATTCGATTGTACGTATATGTTACAGGCAACCTGGAAATGTTGGAGAAGCATGGTTGCTGACCAGACATGTGCAGGACGACCCGGCCGGACTGGATGTCTGTCTCTCCTGCTTCAACGGCGGATGCGCAGGCGACCGCAACCACTCACAGAAACATTTTGAACTAACAAGTCACCCTCTCGTACTGAACATCAAGCGTACCCGGAAAAGAGTTACTCGCGACGAGCCCCCACAGAAGATCTCGAAGCTCGCTATAGCCGCCGAAACGGAAGCCGATCGCTATGACACGACTACACAAGTCAAGTGTCTTCAACATGGCGTTGTCGATGTCGGAGCATCGGGGACCAAGCTCGCACAGGTTGTGGAGGATGTGCTGAAGGCGAATACGTTTGCGAAGCAGGAGGAGGTGAAGGCGTGGGAGCAAGAGTTGACCGCCTGCGAGCATACGTTGTGTCTGGAACAAGATGAGGCGAGGCAAATAGAGTCACAGAGTCTGGGACACTGTTCTGCCTGCGATCTGAAAGAGAACCTCTGGCTGTGCCTTACATGCGGGAATCTAGGATGCGGTCGTGCTCAGTTTGGTGGCGTTGGTGGCAATTCCCATGGCCTGGCGCATACGCAGTCAACGAAACATCCCGTTGCTGTGAAGCTTGGATCGTTGACGGCGGATGGCACGGCGGATATCTACTGTTATGCGTGTGACGAGGAAAGGATCGATCCAGAGTTACCGAACCATCTCGCGCACTGGGGCATTGATATCAAAGATCGGGTGAAGACGGAAAAGAGCTTGACGGAGATGCAAGTGGAGCAGAACTTGCGATGGGAATTTGCAATGACGACCGAGGACGGGAAAGAGCTCAAGCCGCTGTTTGGACCGGGATTCACCGGACTCAAGAACCTAGGGAACAGCTGCTATCTTAACAGCGTTCTGCAGAGCTTGTTTTCGTTCCCTGCATTTGCGGACAGGTACTACCTCCCTGATGAGGAACTCCCCAAGAACTTGCATCCCGCAGAAGATCTGGAGACTCAGCTACGGAAAGTTGCCGATGGGCTTCTCTCAGGGCGGTATTCGAAACCGGACAGCGATGTCATTGCGTCGGAGCACACTTCGGAAAATCCACACCAGAAGGGGCTCGCTCCCGCCATGCTAAAACACCTCATGGGCCGGGGCCATCCTGAGTTTTCAACAATGCGACAGCAGGATGCGTTTGAACTGTTGCTTCACCTGCTCAAGCTCGTCTCACGCTCTCAGCATGTTGCTCCCCACCGGAATCCAGTCGATGCATTCAGCTTTGTGACAGAGCAGAGATTGCAGTGCAACAGCTGCAAGAAGGTGCGCTACAGTACTAATGAGCAGGACAACATCACCGTTCCAGTACCAATTCGGCGGATACCGAAGGATGATACGATGGAAGTCACAGATTCTCAAGGAAAAGAGAAAGAAAAGGAGGAGTTCGAGCCTGTTACCTTGCAGGAATGTCTCGAGATTTTCACGGGTGATGAGACGATTGACGACTATGACTGTGGCTCTTGTGGACGCAAGGTTAGCGCTACGAAAAGGACAATGTTCAAGACATTTCCTGAGGTGCTGTCCATCAATGCACGCCGATTTGAAGTCGTCAATTGGGTGCCCACTAAACAAGATGTGCCGGTGATGGTCAGTGACGAACCAATCTCCTTTGATGCCTACAAGTCCAAGGGTCTTCAAGAGGGCGAAGAAGAACTTCCGGAAGATGCCAATGCCGGAGTTGCCCCGAAGTGGACACCCAATGAAGCGGCATTATCGATGCTAGAAGCAATGGGTTTCCCTCGCGTCAGGTGCGAAAAAGCTCTACATGCGACTGGCAATTCGGATCCAGAGGCGGCCTCGAACTGGCTATTTGCACATATGGAAGACCCTGACATCGACGTTCCGGTGGATTTCAACGCTGGCAGCGGTTCTGGTGCCGCAGCTTCCGTTACTGTTGATCCGGAGAAGTTAGAGTCACTGGGAGCCATGGGGTTCAGTGCTCCGCAGGCACGGCAAGCTCTCCGAGAGACGGGCGGGGACATGGAGAGAGCTGTAGATTGGTTATTCAGCCATCCCGATGCTCAGGGCGATTTCGAGGAGGGAGGCAGTGGTGAGGTATGCGACGCAAGTGCTGGTTGATGGGAGATGCTGGGTATGCTAACATATCTCAAGGGTCACGCCGAAGCTCAAGAGAAAAAGATGCCTGGAAGCGATAAGCTGCCGGCGAACTTCCAGCTTCAATCGATTGTCTGCCACAAGGGGAGCTCGATTCATGCCGGGTATGTCCTGCACGACCTTGAAATCACGACTATCGCTAACTTACTACAGCCACTATGTGGCCTTCGTCCGCAAGCAGATTCCAGGCGAGGACACGGCATCCTGGGTTCTGTTCAACGACGAGAAGGTCGCTAAGGCAGCAGATGTCGAGGAGATGAAGAAGTTTGCCTATGTCTACTTTTTCCGGCGTTTGTGAGACGGGCATTCTGGATCGACGGAGATAGGCTCGGACTAGCCTTTCCCAAAAGGGAGAATCTGTCTGGGGTTATGGTTTAGCTGTCACACCGCAGTCGAGAAGCAGATGTAGCTCCCGGGCGATGGACTGAACGGATGCATCCGATGGAGAGAATTTATATGCATCAAAATCATGGCTGTGACCTTTTATCAGATGCTCTTTATCAGATGTGACGGAAATGCACGCGGATCTCCGAGACGTGGGGTTTGGAGTGGTCTGTGCGCGGCGGATTCGCCCCATGACATGTCCGAGCTCGCTCTATATCTTCAATCCATTTCTTCGTCCGCCTCCAGCATTGCATCACCACATCCCACTCTACGCTTTCGAAATTCACAAACCATCACCAATCGATTTACACACGATTTCTACCGCGCTTCACACATTCACAACCATGTTCAGGAGAGTCGCAGCCGTTGTCCCCGTTCAGGGAAGCCGAGTGCTCGCAGGAGCCGCCAGGCCACACATCGTTTCTCCCCTCCGCACAGCAGCGCCCGCGGCGGCGACAGTACAGGGACGGCGGCAGTACCACGAGAAAGATAAGTAGCCCTCCGACGGCGCATGCGATGGAGAGCCTGGGTGCCTCGGATCGTGGATATCGGATCCAGCGATTCCCCTACCACCTTCTCCCGCATAATGGCCATCCACCCCCTCCAAGCCGCAAAGCTAACATTCCCAGCACTGCTCGACCACTACAACCGCCCCCGCAACGTTGGCTCCATGCCCAAGGACGCCGCGGACGTGGGAACCGGCCTCGTCGGCGCCCCGGCCTGCGGCGACGTGATGAAGCTGCAGATCCGGGTGGACCCCAACAACAACACCATCAGCGACGTCAAGTTCAAGACGTTTGGGTGCGGCAGCGCGATTGCGAGTTCGAGTTATCTGACCGAGTTGGTGAGGGGCATGACGCTCGAGGATGCGGCCAAGATACGGAATACGCAGATTGCGCAGGAGCTTTGCTTGCCGCCTGTTAAGCGTAAGTGTCATCGTATTTCCCGAGTTTGCTCGTGATCTTGATGTCGTGGGATTGACGCTGATGGTTTCGTTTAGTACACTGCTCCATGCTTGCCGAAGACGCCATCAAGTCCGCCATCTCAAACTACTACTCCAAGAACCCCCAAGCCCGCAAGACGGACCTCGGCGGCACGTCAGCGCCGCTGCCCAAGGTCGAAGTCGAGAAGGCCACCGAGCCCGCCTCGAGTGCGACGGCTTGAGATGGGGGTTTTTGGGGAGTAATATGAGTCGGATGTGTGTCGATTGACATCGTCTTCGCGGATTGTTAATGAAATGCTATCGGAACGTCCATGTGGGAGGCATTCGCTGATTTGAGTGGATGGTGGAGAGGTGTATTTCTAGGATGCGGGACCTGGTCTCTTCGCTCTTTCTTGTGTTCGATCGAGCCTTTTCGAGCCTTTTGAGGAGTTTGGAAGGTAGAGGCGCCTTGCTGCTTTTTAACCGGGAGAGGAGGAGGAGTGGAAAAGAAAGAAGAAGGAATGGTGATCGTGTAGTCAACCTACACTCGATACCTACGGATCAGCCTTACAAATTTTGTGCTTTTCCTTGCGTACATTTATTCATCTGTGGTAGTAAGAAATCAATACAGACTCTTAATATCTCTCGATTGTGATTAGTAGACCATATATCTGTGCTGGTTTAATGCGGTTTCCAACGGTGGCAACAGAGCAGGAAGCACTTGGATGTTCCTCTGAATCCAGTAAAAGGAGAAAGCAAGGTGATAGCGGCAGTTGCTGAGTACGAGTCTATATATATAATCCACGTTAATGCTATAAGGTGAGTGTCACGCCACGAGATCTATAGATCAATTGGGCCAAGTGCACAGGGACGATCTGATAACTCTGCGTGAGGCTGCATGTGGGGGTTTCCATCTGGTCTGTGTGTGTGGTGGAGGGCTTGGCTGGCGGACGACATTTGGTTCCAGCCATTCGATTGCTGAGGGCTAGATTGTGATTATCACTATCTACTTGATGAGAGAGGTTGGATGCTACTGTATATCGGTTTTGGTTTCAGGAGTTGTACACAGTAACACGAGCCACGATTGTGATATAGGTCAAGAGGTATGAGTTTGGTTTCACTCCAACCATGAGAATAGACATCACGGCCTCAGTGTTGAAGTGCTGCTCCTCGAACGAACAGGTGGATTTGCATCAAGAACAATGCACCATTATCTAAGTAACAGGTATGGATACCCCATCATCGACTTTTGTCCGTCCTCTAATAAAACCAGTCGTAATGAAGCAATTATACAGTAAGAAACCGGGCCTTATCCGCTCTATCCAGCCCAAGAAGTTCAACCAGAGCAGCATAACCTCCATCTCTCTCCGCCTTCTCCCACCTTCTTCCACCCAACCTCCCTCCTCCAAATCACAATATCCCCCCTACCTCTAGAACATCAAACCCCCCAACAACGCACCGCCCAAAAACCCCGCCGCGACCGGCGCCCCAATCCCGCCTCCATACCCATACCCCATCGGCCTCCCATACGGACCCACAGGCCTCACATACCTCCCCCCAGCCATCGCATACGGCCCGGCCAGAAACGGATTATACCCATACGCCCCATACGGCGCCGCACGCTGCCCATCAGGCGGCAACACATAGACATCCCTGCCCGTTGCATCCTTGCACAGGAACTGCGGCTCGCCCGTCTCCCACGCTTTGAGCATCGCCTGCCGCGCCCGCAGATGCGCAATGTACGCCTGGCGTTCGTGCTCGGCGCGCTGCCGCCGCTGCCGCTCGCGCTGCTCGTACGTGGTCCCCGTGAGCTTGTCCTTCATCTTCCTGCCCAAGGCGTGGATGCCGGATGGCCGCGCCGACGCGGAAGAAGAAGAACCATCGACCCGCGGCGGTAATCGCGCTGCGTGACCGCCGTCGTCGTCGTCCTCCACATCCGTATCCTCGGTCGCTACATCCGTCAACGTGGCGCTCCTCCGCAGTCGACTATGCTTCCTGCGTTCCTCGGGGCTCAGCGTCGACAGGAACTCGTCGTCGTCGTAGGGATGCACCCATATCGAGCGCGGCGGGTCCTTGGTCGTGTCCACGAAGAATTGGTGCTGTTCCTGGGGGTCGAAGCAGCGCACCCAGCCTGGTGGCAGCGGCCGGTTCTCGTCTTCCATGGAGCGCCGCCGCTCCGGCGGGATGCCGTTGCGTTCTGTGGTGTTGGGGGGCCCGTCGGTGGAGACGCGCGGGGTGGAGGGTCGGGAGGAGCTGAGGCCCGTGGCGGCTTCGTAGGATGGTGGTGGTTCGGGTGGTGCCAGTGTCGCCATGTTTGTTTAGGTCGATTGCGTTGCTAGAAGAGTATAGATAGGGCAGTCGGTCGGTGTCCAGCCAGCGAGTGCTTTGAGAGTTACCAAAGCTGAAGGTGAGATTGCGGTAAGTGAAAATATGCGGTGTTGTCACCTCTCCCAATATCTTCCTGAGACGCTGCTCCCAATATTGTTTATGCGCAAGAAGTCACAGAAGCTAGTGGCAAGCGATGACGTCGTGTGCCTGTGGCAGTGCAGCATCGCACCGCCACCTTCACCTTCACCATCTGCGGTGAATGGGAATGGTGAAGGTGAAGGTGAACATGCGCCACAGTAGGATCCTATATTCGAGAGGAGGGAGCAGGCGACCCGAAATACAAAGGCGTTGACCCTACTAAACGGAACACCGCCGGCCCAGGGAAGCAGTATCTCAGGTCAACACTGATATTAGGGGTATGAAGTACTATGATCACCCGAGGGGCGTAGCTCCCTCGCGATTCACAACGTTTGTTATTTTCCTCTCTCAAATCCCGTTCCATACGACCCAACTCGGTTTAAGCCCACCCTCTTCTAGATCGAACCAGATTATCCTTCTCAGAAAACGCCGCTCGCTGTTGAGGAAAACACGAACGCTTCAGATCTCTTCAGATCTATGTTGAATGACTCGGGAAAAGCCTTTCTATCTCTGAAAGACCGATGACTTTTGTAAGACTAACAAAAGGGGTATCCCTTCCCGACGCCGAACTTGTTGAAAGACTTATGCTGCCCGCCGTAGATGCATTCATACCATCGTAAATCTATGGCCCAGTGGAAGAAGTTGATTCTCCACTCATTCTATTTCGTGTTTTACAGAATTAGAACTCAAGCTTCTTGGGCTTCTCCCAGGCGAATTCCTGGTTCGTGAAGTGACCGTTCTTGGCGGTCTGGAAGTAAATGGGGTTGGTCAGGTTGAGCTCCTTGACGATGACACCCGGGCGCATGTCGAAATTCTTCTCGATGATGGCCACGAGCTCATCAGAGGTCTTGTCTGAGGTGCCATAGGTCTCAACGAAGAGGGACAGGGGCTCGGCAACACCAATGGCGTAGGAGAGCTGGACAAGGCAGCGGCGAGCCAACTTGGCGTTGACAAGAGACTTCGCGATCCAGCGCGCAAGGTAGGCCGCGGAACGATCGACCTTGGAGTAGTCCTTGCCGGAGAAAGCACCACCACCGTGGGCTCCCCAGCCGCCGTAGGTATCAACAATGATCTTACGGCCGGTGAGACCAGCATCACCCTGGGGTCCGCCGATGATGAATTGACCAGAAGGCTGAATCTACGAGGGGTTAGAAGGACGCTTTCGGCAGGGCGTGGGCAACTTACGTGGTAGGTGGTCTTGTCATCAAGGTACTTGGCGGGAATCACCTTCTTGACGATCTTCTCCAGGATCTCCTTGCGGAGCTCCTCGGTGGTGATGGCTTCGCTGTGCTGCGCAGAGACGACGACAGTGTCAACGCGCAGAGGAACAACGGCACCGCCATCGTGGGCATACTCGACAGTGACCTGGGTCTTGGTGTCCGGTCGCAACCAGGGAAGGGTGCCGTTGTTGCGCGCCTCCTTCATGGCGGAGTTGAGCTTGTGCGAGAGGAGAAGAGTCAAGGGCAGCAGCTCAGGGGTCTCATCGGTGGCATATCCGAACATGATACCCTGATCACCAGCACCCAGCTTCTCCAGAGCCTCATCGTAGTGCAGGCCCTGAGCAATGTCGGGCGACTGCTGCTCAATGGCGACGAGCACGTTGCAGGTCTTGTAGTCGAAACCCTTGTCAGAGCTGTCGTAGCCGATATCCTTGATGGCGCCGCGGATGATCTTCTGGTAGTCGAGGTGGGCCTTGGTGGTGATTTCGCCAAACACCATGACCATACCCGTCTTGGTCGCCGTTTCACAGGCGACCTTGGAGAGGGGGTCCTCCTTCAAGCAGGCATCGAGAATGGCATCTGAAACCTGATCGCTGGAGACAGATGTTAGCCAATGGGCATCGTTTCGAAGGGTCGGTGACGGTAGGGATTGACTCGGATACGAGCTGGCGCATGCCGCGAGGGGGGTTTGCGACTGTGTGAAATGGGTGGTGAAGGACCCCTCGCTCAATGTGGGGCACGCTGGGGTGAATTCTTACCAAATCTTGTCGGGATGGCCTGGGAGAAAAGAATCAGCACGAAGTGAACAGGAGGAGACTCATCAGGCAGCGAACTCACCCTCGCCTACGGACTCGGAGGTGAACAAGAAGGTGCCGCGGTGACCCTGGTGGGGCAAAACATCGTTTTGTGCAGTCATTGTTGCTTGGAAAAAGTGAGGGAGATTCGAGGAGACCTAGTGTAGGACTTGCGACCGCGTGGATTGAAGGAGGATGAGGGGGGAGAAGGGAGGGATGGGGAATGCGAGAAGAAAAGCAAAAGGAGATGAGGGGTGGAGTAAGAGGGAGGAGGGGCCGGAGTACCTTTAGAGTGGTCGGACTTGGAGTCTTTTTCCTTTTGGGAAGTCGCGGTCGGGGAGCGAGAAACTGCCGATAAAAAACGTGCTCCGAGCGCGGACCAGCCAGCGATCACGTCACGCTTCACCGCCCGCTGAGAGCCGGTCAGCCATTGGTCAATAAACCGCCGGAAACATGCCTTCACCGCCCGCCGCAATCGTCTCGATTTCTCCGCGACAATAGCAAGAGAGGTCCTGCCGTCAGACTACGGACGGACGCACGCCATGAGCAAGTTCGGGGTCCTCGTCATGGTGAGTCGGAGTCGCTTTTCCAGCCTCGTATTCACCACCGCAAGACTAACCCTCCGTATCTAGGGCCCAGCCGGCGCTGGCAAGTCCACCTTCTGCACCGCCCTCATCCAGCACCTGCAGAACAACAAGCGGCCCTGCTACTATGTCAACCTCGACCCCGCCGCCGAGGAGTTCGCATTCGAGCCAGACATCGACATCAAGGACCTCATCAGCCTCGAAGATGTCATGGAAGAGATGAGCCTGGGGCCGAACGGAGGGCTGATATACTGCTTCGAGTTCCTGCTCGAGAACCTAGACTTTCTGACCGACCCGCTGGAAGAAGTCACCGATGAGTACCTCATCATCTTCGACATGCCCGGCCAGATCGAACTGTATACCCACGTACCCATTCTTCCCAACCTAGTCAAGCATCTCATGCGGGGATCGCTCAACATCAACATGTGCGCTGCCTACCTGCTCGAGAGCACCTTTATCATCGACCGCCCCAAGTTCTTCGCCGGCACACTGTCTGCTATGAGCGCAATGTTGATGCTAGAGATGCCGCATGTCAACATTCTAAGTAAAATGGACCTAGTAAAAGGTCGGGTCGCGAAGCGCGATCTGAAGAGGTTCCTCAATCCAGACGCAGACCTGGTAGATGAGGACCCTTCATGGAGGCCGGGAAAAGACCAAGAGGAGCTTGAAGAGGGAAGGACAGATGGTGACCCTGCTTCAACGAAGAATGTCATGGCGGGAACCTCGTTCTACAGGCTCAACAAAGCCGTAGCTCAACTGATTGACGATTTTAGCATGGTGTCCTTCTTGAAGCTCGATGCCCAAGACGAAGATAGCGTCGGGGCAGTGTTAAGCTACATTGACGATGCCATACAGTATCACGAAGCTCAGGAACCCAAGGAGCCGCGCGACGATATCGACACCAACATAATCGAATCCGCGATGGGTGATTAAACTCGAGGGGGTGTTGTGTAGTTGCATGGAGTTAACGATTTACGTCGCCTTTTTCTGCATTAGAAGGCGTTGGTGTGCTGGGCTTGCCTGCTCATTCGGCATAAGCATTCAGTTTGATATCAAAAATGGGGTAGACACGGTCTCGGGACGGCATGATACCCAATCTCAATACAAGTAAACTTAGGTGCAAAGTTAAATGGAATTGAAACTCCAACCATCACCTCAACCTGCATCCACCTGTCGCAATGGGGCCGGTGGAATTGGCGCATGTGGCAGCGGAGACAATAGACCTTGAAGGGAAACAGGTTACAGGAAATCTCCGCGAGCTTCCATTGCCCATCGGAGAAGCAGCGGTATATTTTACTACCAACCGCTCCGGCTCCTACGCTTTTCCATGGATATGCATCCAAAATTGTTCCCGTCACCTGGAGTTCCGGTCACGTGTCAAAAAGTCCCTAACAGGCTAGCGCTTGGTTGTTGCCAAGAGTTCCACCCACACTGATTCTTTCCCGCTTCGCAAAGCGTCCGTATTCCAACACGACCCTCCCGGAGCGCAACAACACCCTCAGGAACACCAGATATCATTCCTGCGCGCAAAGATGGCCCCCAAGAAGGTCCGTACTACCAGAACCATAACCCAGTGCCTCTTCCATTGGGCGGCGGCTGCTTGACGTGCCTATTCTGACAAGTTGCAACAGAGCAAGAAGTCCACGGACACCATCAACTCGAGGTTGGCCCTCGTCATGAAGAGCGGAAAGGTCACCCTGGGCTACAAAAGCACCCTTAAGAGCCTCAGGAGCGGAAAGGCCAAGCTGGTCATCATCGCCGGCAACACCCCTCCTCTGAGGAAGAGCGAGCTTGAGTACTACTCTATGCTTTCCAAGACCCAGGTCCACCACTTCTCCGGCAACAACGTATGTACCGCATCCCCGATCCATTCTCATGGCCTAACGACGAGATCCGGCTGGGACACTCCGAGGGCTGGCCCTGAGAAGAGGTCAATCATGACTTCGGAGGGCTACCTACTAACGTGCGTGAATCGTAGATTGAGCTGGGCACTGCCTGTGGTAAGCTCTTCCGCTGCTCCACCATGGCTATCCTCGATGCTGGTGAGTTCTGGTTCTGGATCTCCCTCTCTTAGACATTGCTGACATTGTCCAGGTGACTCCGATATTCTCTCCACGAGCACCGCATAGATGGATGAGCAGCGGCCTTGCGCAACGGACTGATGTAGCTGCCGTGGTCATGGTAGTGTACAACAGCGTACTTGCAACGGGTTTGATCATAAAATACCAATACAAAATCAGCGTCAATACAAAAGGATACCCCTTTGAGTGCAATCAAACTTGAACCACTGCCAGTGAAGTCGGAACATACAATTATTTCGTTCGTTTCCATCGCTGTAAGCACAGCCTGTAACGCCAAATCGCATGCTTGCAAATCACTTTTGCTTTCAAATCATTTTGACGGCGGCAACTGAACGCCTCTCGGCTATCACCTAATCGGGTCTAGCGCGTGGCGGATCCCACAATCACATAACGACGTCGTCTGCCCAACTCCAACTCTTCGCTCTTGATCCCCCTACTAACCACATATAAAGCACAGGGTAGGTGCATGATTTCTCTCGGTCGTCGTCTCTCACCCTGAACCTCTGTCCTGGTGCAGTCCGCATCTCTCTTCATCTCATCTACCCTCCTTTTTGAGATCGTTTGTATTGATTTGAAATCAGCTTTTCAAACCGACACAATGGCTAGACGTCCCGCCCGTTGCTACCGGTATTGCAAGAACAAGCCGGTACGTACATCCTGAAGGCGTAGGAGAAGGAAGGGACATCAGGACTGACTCCAGGGCTGCAGTACCCCAAGAGCCGCTTCAACCGTGGTGTGCCGGACCCCAAGATCCGCATCTTCGACCTTGGCCGCAAGCGCGCCAACGTTGACGAGTTCCCCCTCTGCATCCACCTGGTCTCCAACGAGTACGAGCAGCTGTCGTCCGAAGCCCTCGAAGCCGCCCGTATCTGCGCCAACAAGTACCTCGTCAAGGTTGCCGGAAAGGAAGGTTTCCATCTCCGCGTCCGCGCCCACCCGTACCATGTCATCCGTATCAACAAGATGTTGTCGTGCGCCGGTGCCGATAGATTGCAGACGGGTATGCGTGGTGCTTTCGGCAAGCCCAACGGAACGGTTGCGCGTGTGAACATTGGCCAGATCATTCTCTCCGTCAGGACCAGGGATGCCCACCGTGCCACCGCTATCGAGGCTCTCAGGCGGTCTCAGTACAAGGTACGTTGACACTGCGCACCTCCGTACAAGGTCCATCTCCTAACGCTCTCTAGTTCCCCGGCCGCCAAAAGATCATCGTCTCCAAGAACTGGGGCTTCACCCCTCTCCGCCGCGACGAGTACGTCGCCAAGCGCCAGGAAGGCCGCGTCAAGGTGGACGGCGCCTACGTCCAGTTCCTCAAGAACAAGGGCAAGCTCGACGAGAACATGCGCCGCTTCCCCGACGCGTTCGAGCAGGCGGCTTAGATTGCTGGGCTGTGATGAGGTTCTGAGGCGTGCGTAGGGATCATGGAAATACCGGGATATGGCGTGCTTGCTCTCTTACTTTCTTCCTGAGTCATGGATATCGGGTTCCGGCGGGTGCGAGGATATTTGCAGGCATCCTATCCTGTAGATAGAGCGGCCAAATATCAACCTGAATGATGACGGCAATGGGATGGCTTTGACATGCTGTGCTTTGGATGACGGGACATAGTTCACGTTTACACGTGGATTACTTTCTGAGACTGTTCAGCTCTCGAATTATTCCGGGAGCATGCAGGATGGTTACACCCCTACCCAATGAGTTTTGTCGCTACCAGTTATTCTACAAACGCCCATCATACCACCATACCAACCTCGATATACCCTTTAGTGTCGAAGGCAGGGAAGTCAGTAAGAGTGGGCATTCTTAATGTTAGAACGGAGTAGTAACTCGTATTGGCCTGGCTTTGTGCACCAATACCTGATCCCGTATCAAGCCATGGCACATGCCACTCTTCCCAAAGGGTTGAAGTAACAAGCAGGCATCCCGCATTCTCAGAAATGCCCAGCACGTTTACTTTACCATTTCACGCACATCTAGTAACAGACAGGCATTCCGGCTTTCTCAAAATGCGCAGCACGTTCACCTCACTACTTCACACGCAATCATCCAAACTCTCTATCCTTCAATACGTAGGAATATCTCATTTATGCAGTCGCTATATTAAGTATTACTCTTTCTCCTTCTCTCTCTCTTACTACTACTATGCATGCGATGAAACGGTGCCAGACCGCTTCAAACACACATGTTATCGGTTCATACATATCCTCTTGTCCATGACATCCACGATTTTATCCTTCCTCTTCACAGCTCCACCCTCTTCCTACCCCCCGACCGTCACCGTCGCCGTCGCCGTTGCCGTAACCGTAACCGTCTCCTTCTGCGTCACCGTCTCCGTAATAGTAACCACCTGCTCCGGCGGAATCGGCGACACAATGAGCGGACCGTCGGACGTGGGCGCTGGGGCGGGCGGAGGGGGCGAAACCTCAGGGGGTGCGGTAGTTGTAGGTTCAGGGGCAGGCACGCCAGCAGCGGGAGGTGTGTTTGTGGAGGATGCTGAGGTTTGCGTTGAGCTGGACACGGTGGTCCTTGCTGTCGTTGTCGTCGTTGAAGAAGAAGCAGGCGGAGCTGGAGAGACGGGAGGATTTTGATTTTCTGGGGGCGCGGAAGCGTTGGGGATGGAGGTGGGTGCCGCGGGTGGAACGGTCGTGTACATTGTCACCGTTATGACGGGGGGTATGTTCGCCGGAGGAGGGCTGGGAGCGGCATTCACCGAAGATGTGGGGTTGGGGATAGCGGGAGGGGTGTCGATTGGCGTTGTAGAGTGCTGATGATCTGGTTGTTCGGGTGGAGGGGTGGAAATTTCGGCAGGAGGTTGCACGGTTGTGTAGAGCGTATTTGTGACGATATTATTCAGGTTTGATGATGAAGGTGTCTGTGAAGGCAGGGGCATTAGGGTCGAGGTTGCCGTGGTTGCTGGTGCTTTTGATTGAGCTGTCGTTGTCTGCTGCGTGGTTGTGGTAGGTATGGGTTCCTGAGCAGGAGGTCCAAGCTGAGAAGAGGAAGAAGATGTAGTGGCTGTTAAAGCAGCAGAAGTCCTGTTCTGCGCGCTGGATGCAGTGAGCGTTGTCGCTGAGTTGTCAAGACTCGAAGTAACTCCAAGAGCATTCGATGAGGTGGGAGCGGGCTCTGGAGGTGGAGCAGTTGGGGTTTTCACGATGAAGGCCGTAGAAAGTACTGTCCGTTCTGGCTCGGTTGCTAACGGGTTTCCCTTAGGATCGAATAATGTGACGGCCGGCACAATGCCGGTGTGCACTACCGTCTCGATTGGAGTGACAATAAGTGCTGCAGACTCGGCATTGACGGTTGATGCAGGGAGTGAACTCGATACCGGTGAACCAGAGCTCGACGTTGGTGATGTGATTGAAGATATTATGGACGATGTATTCGCGAAGGGAAAGAACCTGTACTGTGTGAAAATTTGTTCACTATTTGCTGCTTTGCTCTTCTTACTGGTTTTTGCGAGCCAGCAGCGGCACCGGGCCTGCGATGGTGGTAGCGAAACAAGCTGCCAGCAGACATAGTGTGTTTATCATCGCCATCTTCAAGATGAATGCGAAGGTCAAGAGGGAAGGAAATCAACAGTTCTTGAAGAGACAGGACTGAAAGAAGTAACGCGAAATGAAGAATTGAGATAGAAAGACCACACGAGGGAAGCGATCGACAAGAGGAAAGAGAGGAAGAAAAGAGAAGAAACAGAAAGCAGGAAAGGACAGGCGAAGGACTGACGACGATACTTTTTCGTTGCCAGCTTCACTGCATGGGCGATCATCCAAAGGCTTTAAGGCCATGCTAGCCGCTGTTTGAAGCGAAAATAGCTAGCACAGCGGCACTGGACGAGCAACGACGTCCAGGCCGTCAGTCTCGTGGTACTATGTGGTGTCGCACAAGGTCGACTGGAGGATTGGCTGTTGATGTCGAGAACCAGATCGGTCGTGTTTCATGGTGAGATGCAGCTGAACCAATAGGAAGCGAGAAAAGCGTGATCTCTTCGCGGTTTCAAGGCGAGCCGCCAACTTCTTGGTCGGAATTAGAACGGCGACAGAATAAAGAGTGCGACGCCGGAATCATGATGAGCCGAATGGCAGCAATCTTTTCTCTTGATTGAGAGAGCGTGGATTGAAAAGAGGAGGTCCATCAATGCATGGATTTTGACGTTCCAAGGTTGGAGACCGAGGCTGTCGCACGTGACCGTTGCCCCTGACGACAGCCTTCAGGAGCTCTGGGCGTCTCTTGCAAACCAACGCAGCCAAGATGAGCGTCGCAGATTTGACGTGTAGCTCAGCTGCGAAGCCGCATTGGGATATTCTTCTGGTAAACATTAACTCATTCTTCTCCTTCCCCGATCCTCCGTAAGATGTCTGTTAGGGTCGTAGCCCGGATACGACCGCTTCTCAAGCACGAGCTCGACAAAGACACCATTGTCACGACCGAAGCCCCCGACGATAAGAGTGCCACACCGACTGTTGTTCGGATTCCAAACCCTAAGAATGAATCGGAATCCTTCAGCTTCCAGTTCAATGCTGTGTACGGACAGGATGCGACTCAACAGCAGATCTTCGACAGCGAGGGTGCGCAGATGGAGCCCTTACAGCTCCCATACTGAAGACTAATACCACCACAGTATCTTCTACCGTAAAGCATTTGTTCAACGGCTTCGACACGTGCGTGTTTGCGTACGGCGTAACGGGTACCGGCAAGACACATACAATGCGTGGTGGGAAGTCGTTAGCAGATCGAGGCGTAATACCACGGTTGCTGAGCAGCATATACCGACGATGCCGGAAAGTGGAAAAGGATAGCGGAGGAGCAACTCAGGTTGAGGTGTCGATGAGTTATTACGAGATCTACTGCGACCGGGTATATGATCTGTTCGAACCCCCTGAGAAGCGCACTCCATCTGGCCTGCCTATACGCGATAATGGTGGAAAGACAGTGGTTGTGGGCTTAACGGAGAAGCCATGCTCGACTCTTAAGGAATTCGAACATCTGTACGACCAGGCGAATATTAATAGGTCCACGTCGGCTACAAAGGCAAGCTAAAGCGTACAGAATGTCGAGCTGGATCTAACCTAGAACAGCTGAACGCCCACTCGTCACGTTCTCACGCCATATTATGCGTGAAAATAACACAAACTACCGAAGATACCGTCCGAGTGAGCCGCGCATCTGCCATCGACCTGGCCGGGTCGGAAGACAACCGGAGGACGGACAACAACAAGGAGAGGCTCGTAGAAAGCTCGGCCATCAACAAGTCTCTTTTCGTCCTCGCCCAATGCGTAGAAGCAATCAGCAAGAAACAGAGTCGCATACCGTATCGAGAGTCGAAAATGACCAGAATCCTCTCGCTCGGCCAGAACAACGGGTTGACTCTAATGATCCTCAACCTGGCCCCGGTACGGTCCTATCATCTTGACACGCTGTCGTCTCTAAACTTTGCGAATCGCACGAAGAAGATCGAGGTGGCGGAAGTCGAGAATGAGCCAATGTACAGGCATATTGTCAAGCCGCTTGCCGCCGCAGCAAGTATAGGGGGAGCGACTATCACTAGACAGCCGTTGCGGCCGCTAGCGGGGGCACACAATGCCAACCTGCAGGACCGTGACGCGGAGAAGAAGAAATCAGGGGCTAAGCCTGTTAAGGCATTCTCTGTATATTCTGACCACAAGTCTACCTCGCGCGTCTCTAACCTTCCCTCGCAGAATCAAGGCATCCGCAGAACAGATATTCCTCACAAGCGCGCCGCCGACTCTGGAACATCGCTCTCGAGGCCTGCCAAGGCTGCTCGTTCAGATGCCTCCCGTTTTGAACCTGCATTGACGAAGGCATCGATTGAAGCCCTGATCTCGCAGCGAATTGATGAGAAGTTGGCGGAGAGGGCACTGCAGGACGCTTCTGCGGCGGCTCCTGCATTATCTGCAGAGCTTCAGCGACGGCTCGACGACCTCGAGAACCGGATAGAAGCAAAAGAGGAAGACGGTAAAGCCCAGGGTGAGTCGAACGCCGGCCTCTGCTCTGAGCGAGATTCTCCTTCATGTTTGTCCAATGCTGACGAGATCAACAGGTCTGCAATTCCTTCTCATGGCGAAGCAGCACCAGGTGCGCGGCGAAGATATCAGTGCACTCCGGATGTATCAGTTGGCTCTCCCCTACTTCCCCGGGAACGAGAAACTGAAAACCAAGATGAGGAACCTGGAGGATAGGATACGTGCTAAGAAACAGGCCGAAACGGATAACCATACCTCGACCTTGGCGCCAGGTCTATCACAGAGGCAACCATCCAGTCTCATGGCACCTCTAAAGGCTGAGAAGGGATCCTCAATGGCCAAGGCTTCTATCAAGGGAGAGGCGGAGGACGAAGAGTTTGCACCGGCAGGAGACTCAGAGGGAGATGAGTCGTACGCTTCAAACGCAAGTTTTCGATATAGGGCCAAGGGCACACGCAAGTCAAAGAAGGCGATGAAGAAGGTGCCGATATTCCGGGACGAGCCTGTGCAGAGGGGCGATCACACGCCTCGAACTGCTCACCTCCTCAAGATCATCAACTCGCGGGACGTGTCTCAAATCAAGGCTCTCAAGGGAGTGGGTGCGAAGAAAGCCGACGCCATTGTCAGCTGCCTGGTGGAGATGGAAGACGAGGAGGTGCGGGATCTGGAGGGTCTAGCGATGTTGAAAGGTGTAGGAGGGCGGACGGTGGAGAACATGCGGCTGGGGTTGAGCATTGATGTTGGGTTTTAGACGTTCTGTGGCGGGCATTGGTTGGTCGCACTGGTTGCATAATTGGTTTTGGTTGGGTGTGTACCTTGCATGGCGCGGCGTTTGGGAGTTCCATCACCCAACCGGCGAAGTGGTTTGGTTGTAAAGGGGGGTTAGTAAGCATGAATGGCATCTAAGCGATCGCACAGGTTTTGGACGGGTAATCGTGATGCATAGCGCGGGGTCGAGGGGTCGAGGGTGCTTCAGAATGGAGGAGCGCGTTGAGAGCTTGTTTCAGGGTGGTGGGAGGGAGGCTTGCGCCGCTTGTTGGTGTTGACGTGTACACGGCAGGGCAACCCAACGATTCCCCAACACGATCAGGTCCCCAAAACAGGTCCCTCCAATAGCCAACAGGCGTCGACATGAACTAGCAGCTCCAAAGAGTCGCTTCGGCAAGGTACCAAAGGGCATGTATGATCAGTCACATGTCCCTTTCCGTCTGCGCAGCACTGCGCTGCGGATCGTGTTCGCAGCACTTGTGTGCCACGGTACGTTTGTGGGACGGCTGCGTTCGGCATAGCACTTGGTATGACGCGGGTTCTAGATGCAGAACGGGGTTGCTGGAAGAGAGGGGAACTCGGAGATAAAGACTTTGGCGGAGGCGAAAATGGACGAGACGGACCGTTTTGTGATAATGGCAAATTCCATCTACCTAGGCTTGTACACATTTTGGAACCTTTGGAAGAGTTGTTGAGGGTCACAGGAGGGGTGACAGCAGCGACGACCCGCCGACCCGCCGACCCCGCCCTGGCGATAGTGTGGCTTGTGTGGCTGGTGAAAAGCGGCGGGAGGCGCGGGCCCAGCGAGCAATGGGCCTTGGGCTAACCGACAATAGACTAAGGTCCAAGTTTGTGCCCCTCCTTCCTTAGTAAGCGCCGTACGCTGGCTTGGTGGGTCCATGAATAGCAGCACATACCTACACAGTAGGTACAACAGTACTCGGTACAGTCAGGAATCAGCAATACCCGTGCGAGTTTCATCGTCTTGCCTTCGTCCAGCATCCTCCTCTTCTCTTCTCTTCTCTTCTCTCCTCTCCTTACTCTAGCTTTAATCCTGGCACCACTCTTTCGGCGCCCCTCAAGGCCCCTCACTTAGCAGCACCGTCTTGGGCCGGCAATTCTTCGCCAGACGGCCCAATACTCGGAGCTCTTTGTCCTTCAACACAGGGTTCCTCTTGTTCTCCTTTCCACAGGCAGCCAACCGCAGCGGCCTCCCCTCCAGCTGCTTGGACAAAGGGACCGCCGCTACCGTAAGCGCAGCACCACGACACCTGAGCTTGACATCATTGCATCTGCTGCTTTGCATTCGAGAACCCCCCTCCGGCTCCGCCCTGGGCTCTTGCGCCGTGACCCGGCCGTCTCCTGTGCCTGGCCCTGCAGCAGTTGCAACGCAGCAACGCAGCAACACAGCAACCATCCCTTTCTGCGCCGCCGTGCCGCTGTGCACCCATCCCTTCGAGAGCCTCACCCTGCGCCGAAAAGCAGTGACTGGCACAACACTGACACCTGGATTCCTGGGCCCCTCGCGTGGTTGGTCCTGGTTGCCGCGCTGACGCCCGTGCCTCGCTGAGTGTGCATCCGCATACTTGTAGTCTAGTCCGCATCCTCTCACCTACGCCCCGACCACCTACCCACCCCCTCCGGTGGCGCTTGGATCGCCCCTCCTAAAGGCCCTAAACCCAAACGCTTATCGCGACCGTCACTGGTCACCCGTCGTCAGGCCCCAGATCGAACCTCACCTCGACCACTCTATATCCATCTCGAGTCCGCTTCAGACCCCGTCCGCCCACCCACACGCCCCCGCCGCACATTCCTTTGCTTTGTTACAGAACACTGTCCTTCGGTTGGTGCCTTCTTCGCACCCACGACCACCTTTGGATGTCGCTTTCGGCCATCGCCATCGCCCACCTCCCTTCGTCCCTCCCACCATCCGACCTGCCGCTCGCAAGGTTTGAGGAACTGCCTGCAAGAGTTTAAACCTACTTCATTTCCCTTGCGTCGGTACTCTCGTCCCCGCCAGCCCAGGCCGTCCTCGACGTGCCGCTCGCCTTGGCTCAGCCCCATTGTCGGTACCAACACGTTGCATAGCTTGACGCCACGCCGCCGAAAGGTCAGATACCAGCATGGCTACTTTTCAAGCCGTAAACACCATGCTACCTGTCCCGGAAGCCGCAGCTGGACATACCGCCGACGACACCACCCCGACTACACCTCGACCGAACCACACCTTCTTTCCACCGTCCGACTCGCAGCCAACCCAGCTACCGCACGCCGAAGGCCCCTCCTTGACAACGCCGACCCGTAACAGCTTCAGTGGGCTCGCTGCCCAGCGCCCTTTGCCTGCCACACCCCTGACACCTGCGACCGAGTCTACCGCACATCCAGAACCAGATGCGCCGTCAGGGAGGGGGAGCTCCCACAAATCGGCCCTCTCGATGGATTCCTCTGAGGTCGGGAGGCTACCCGTGAATGAAGACAAGGGCGACGGTTCGGACAATGAAAGTGTGAAGAGTGACTCGAGCAGACCTGCTAAGAAGAAGAAGGGTCAGCGTTTCTTCTGTACTGACTACCCACCCTGCAACCTCAGCTTCACGAGGAGTGAACACCTGGCGAGGCATATCCGGTATGCTGCTACTCTAAACCGTCCAGGCGAAGCTAACGCGACAACTCGCAGGAAACACACCGGGGAGCGTCCCTTCCTATGCCACTGTTCTCGACGTTTCTCACGAATGGACAACCTGAGACAACACGCAGCAACGGTGCACATCAACGAAGATATACCCGAAAACTCCTTGGCTGCCACTGTAACGCGCTATCAAAGACAAATTCGCACTGAGCGTGTACGGCCTGCAGGAGCAGCTGGGCGGTCGCGAGCGGTTACACTTGGTAGCCAGGCGGGTCACAGTAGGGGACACAGCAGGAATCTGTCCACGTCGAGCATCGCTTCCACTTCGTCGAATCTGAGCGTAAACCTGGCCCAGGACATGAGAAGGCGACCGCAGCCCCTTGCTATGGCCATGGCGAACGATGGAGCCGCTCGAGCTCGCCTATCGCTCAGTGCCATGGATGCCTATAACCCTCCCTTGACGGGAGGCCCTGGACCTCAGATTGTCGAATATATTCCTGGCTCTGCCAGCGCCACGACACCGACTTCGTCGACCTTCTCAGTCGCTACTGGGAGCCCAAATCCGTATGCACCTGGCCTGCAGTCACCGTTCTCCACGTCTTCCCGCCCGGTATCTTGGGGTGGCCCGAATGCATACGACCGTCGTTTATCGGTCCCAGGCGGTCCTGCCCTGAGTTCTGATGCTCCTGGCCAGCGGCCACCTCCGCATATGGCTTCCTTACCGTCGCCTGGGGGCGCACCTTACTATACCCAGGGTCGGCCCACCGACTCGGACGGGACAGACTCGAGAAGAGAATCAATGTCGGACATGGAATGGCGCCGACGTACCTGGCACCCGGGCTCATTTAGTGGCCCACGCCCTGCCACTAGCAGTCTCGGATATTACCAGAGCCCCGATGCGCCTACTCCGCATTACCCTTCGCAACCGCCAGCTGCTCAGACGACGCGACTCCCAGGTATCGAAAGCTTCGATCACCTTGTGCATCACCCGCCGAGTCCGATGCAAATTGATACCCCAGCGGCTCGTCCGGTCTCCTATCATGCAGGAAATAATACCCCACCCGTGGCGAGACATGAGAAGCGTGCGAGCATTAGCTGGGACACGCTTCAGAGGATCGATCGGCTCGAAATAGCTAGCCCTAATCCCAAGCGAGACTGGTCTCAGTATCAAGAGGTTTCGACAGACAGAAGCAACCGACCCGTCACTGCTCCGCATCATGGCTATGCGAGCCAGCCTCAGCATCCTGGTGCTGCTCCATCGATGCAAGCGCCGCCGCCTCTGGAACCACATCTAGCATCCTTCGATTCTTCTACGACTCCCGTCAGTACCAAGCGTCAAGGCTGGTATCAGGGCCCTATCCGACAGCCACCAGTACAAACGGGGAAGACAAATCAGCGTACATCCTCTGAAGAATCCAGTAGCAGCGAAGGTGTCTCGACACCAGGCTCTTATGTGGCCGAATATCGTCCTGCCATTGTACACACCAACGGCTATGTCGAGAAGCAACGGCCGGGTGATTCTATGGAAAATGTTAAGCCTGAAGCGCATACGTCTATCATGGACCGCCCGCATCCCCTCCAGGGCCAGTACGGCCAGTCTCACTATTCGCGCTCGCCATACCTTCCACGGCGCGATTCTGCGAAAGGTTCCCTCGTTTCTGATGAGCCGAAGCATGGGAGGAGCATGAGCAGTGATATGACACGACTCGACGCGCTCGTAGCTGTTGCGACCAAGGAGCAACAGGCTGTCAACCGAACCTGATTTCCCGTTCTACCTCAGTCCGCCGGTTGTCTTTCTCCTCTTCCCCATTCTTCACACCACCATTTTTCCTCTCATTACGCCTCGGGGCTATACTCACGGTCTAGGAACGGACTATTTTTATGACTCCACGAACGATGACGACTCAAATTTCTGTTTCGTTATGTTGAATCTATCTAGGTACTACGTGTACGGTCTCCAATATGTTTGGTGCGATGATACCCGAGTGAGGAGGATGGCTTTCTCTTCGGACCCTCAGGCTACCATTTGGGCATCCAAAATTCGGCCATTGTGCAACGACTTTCGCACCATGAGGGCTGGTCTTTTCATTCAACTCGTCTTTACGCCGGTGGGGCAGTTGTTCGGGACACATATACCAGAGGGATATTATTAACAGGCGTTGGTTCAGGCCATTTTCTCGACCTTGGGAGTTGCCCCTTCTGGAGACGTTCCCTCTTTTCGCGTTGTGCTCCTTTTTTGTTGCCTGGATTATTACTCTTGTCGATTCGGTTCAGGAAATTGCTTAACCTGATTCTCACGCCGCACACATGCCTGTTGTTATCATTTAACTATGACGTCTCGGCATCACGGCAGACTGTGATTTGTTTCTGATTGTGCGATTGGGCAAGCTCGCGGCAAGTCCGGTGGTTTGTTGGTGGTTGATGCAGTGGATCATGCGGAGGTTGATCTGCGGGCGTTTAATCGCACGAGTATTATATCTGATGTGATGGCTTGTTTGAGCAAGTTCTCTTCTCAGGCGTATTATTAATACCTCGGTACCCAAGAATGAGATTGATGATATTTTCGTGCTTTCCTGCCCTTTTATACGTTAAGTGCAAAGAGAAGAATCGGGGGCTGTGATGGTGTGTGGTATTTGACGCAGCAGGGAGGTTTACTATACGCAACCCCCAACACGGAAGGACAAACACACGAGACCAAAGTAAACACGTCCACTTGAGACTCTGTTACGCATCTCATCTCATCTCGTCTCGTCTCCCTTTTTCGTTGCAATCGAAGTTTGAAAAACGTCTAGCAATGGCGATTACCGAGTTAGTTTAACAAGCATCGCCGGATCCGCCCCTCGCCGACTTCCATTCCGCCTTCGCTCTATGCATCATCTATCAACGCATCCATCGATCGAGCCATGCATTCAGGCCGGGAACGATTACCACCCACCTCACACTCCCTCCCTTTCTTCCTTCAACCGTTCGGCTACTCGCTAAACAACCCACGACGCTCCGGAACAAGGAAGCGATCTTCGACCGCCGCACCCCAAGCCTTGCAAACCGTAAACGCTTACTGCACAACCTTTAAAACCAGAAAGTCAGCATAGACCCAGAAAGAACAAAGCCCCGCCTTCGGTCCCCACTCGACTCAATCAGGCCAACTGGCCCCGAAAAACGGCACACCGCCCCTCTCCTCTGAAGTAAAGACCACACATACCTTCTCCCGCAACAGTCCCATCCACTGCTGCAAACTGACCCCCTGGTCCGCACGGTCCTCAACCAGCAGCGTCTGCGCCCAAAGCTTGAGGCTTGGATCCCCATCCTCGCGAACCACGTACAGCGTCGGGTACGCAATCGACCCCACGCCCCTGCTTCTATGATCCTTGGACTTCTCAATGACGCCACGGACGCGCTCGTTGAAATCGTTGTCGATGACGGGCATACTCGTCTTCCCCTGCTTGACCTGCGTGCGGTCCTCGGTGCCGAAAACGTCGAGGAGGAGGGCCGGCACGGCGTCCCGCCCTACCCAGAGGAACTGGTTGACGCCGTCGTCGATCAGGTAGAGGCCATAAGGGACGATGCGTTCAGAAGAAAGGTTGATGGGCGCGGGAAGGACGATTTCTCCCGTTGTGGGGTCGGGGACACCGGCGGCGTCGGGCACTGGCGGAAGAATGAGTATGGGTATCGAGTTTGAAAGGGAATATAGACTTACTATCGTGCAATGAGTAAAAGCGGGGATACTAGATTCACTGTCAATAATGCACATTTGGCTGCTGTTTCTCCCAAAACTTACAATATACTGCATCATCAGCGGCAGCGGCAAAGTACTTAGCAAGCAGAGGGCCGCCGACCTAAGGTCGCTCGGGATTTGCGCCGACTTGCGCAAGCCAATATTCTTGATAAGACCTAGGAACAGGACCGGCAAGGCCCGAAGATTCTGCGGCAAGGACAGCGCACCAGAGCCGCCTCCAGCAAGCTCCTTGCGATAAGTCTGCAGAATCTCAATGACCTTACCTTGGAGGGCGTCACGAGCTGCGTCAAGCCCGGATCCGAATGCGCGCTCGACGGCTTTGTGCGAGAAATAGGTAGTGATGGCTTGGGCATCAGCCGAAGCATAGACGTTTGCTAGGCTTTCTGTCGTGGGGAGCGCTAGAGTGAGAACTCTTATCCTTCGTTCACCATTGCATGTCGTGTGTAAAACAGCAGCCTACATAGGTCAGCTCGAAGTCGCTTTACGTCTCATCAACAGTGCCTACCTGTAAACAGACGTATGGTTTCGAAATCGTCTCATCAATCGCGACTTCCACGACATAAGCTTGGTCGCGAGGAAAGGCAGGAAACGCGCACAAGTCGGAGCTTCGGTTGAAAAAGTTGCCATAGAAGGCATTCATGCGCAGTCCAGTGGTTGCACGGACACGGAGAACAGCCTCAAGACCGATCTCGGCGGACAAATACTCGCTGAACTCGCGAGCGAACTTGACGGCGTCCTCGACACGTGACGCGTTCCAACCAGGATAGAAATAGGTTTGTCCACCCGTATATCTTGGCAGGTTGCTTAAGGTCGCAACATCCTGGTATTGTGACGAAAAGAGGAACATGTCGATGGAGACCTGGTTCTTGGAGCACTCGACTGCGAAGCTCTTATAAAAGCTATTGGCGGTCTGCAAAAGCTTCGACTCCCCGGAAGTACCCAGCAGCTTCTTGTCCTCTCTCATTTCCAGCTTGCCAGTACCTACGTTGGGAAGGGAGGCCGAGAGCACAGTGATCTTGCCGCCGACTGGGGAGATAAGCTTGTGACCCGCTCTGAGTGCTGAACCCATTGCAGATGCGGTGTTAGGGGTATCTTGGAACATCGACTGAAGCTTGTCTAGAAATGATTCGATATTCGCTCGGCATTCTGACAGATTGACCAGCAAATCGGACGGTCTGCGAAGAAGAGAGTCAGTATTCAGATAACGACCACAAACGCCGCTTGTTCAACGTCGGGCATATTGAAGTTACAGGTGAGGCGCTCTGCAGGGAAAAGACACAGTTCAGAAGGGGAGATACGTACTGTGGAAGGAAAGGCTCATCGTCAATGTCGCTTACAACCAAGCATGAGACATCATTATTCTCGCTGCCATCGCGTTTGATAGAGAAGTAATGCAAACTGGAATCTGAGACGTCGTCAACTCGTGTTATACAGCAGTGTGCGGTGATGACTTACCAACTGCCATGAAACCCAACCGAGTTCGACGATCCGCATTTGGTATTCTGTCAAGATTCTCCAAGATGCACCTCGCGCTGGTGGCAAGAAGGCCGCTGGACACAGCAGCATAGCTGGCGTCGAATAGGAAGAGGTAAACCAGTGGCTGAGGAGGCCGGACCATGTATTCTTGGGGCGCCAGGAACTCAACCACTGCATAGTTCAACTCCGGTCTTTGCCATCTATCGACGCTTTTCTGTGCTGAGGCATCCCAGTCAAAGGCTTGTGGGACATCGTTCGTGAGATTGCACATATTGCATCTCCATCGGTGCCCATGATCCAAAAAGGTCACGAAGGGATTGATGTACGCCCTACAACGCCTACACCTCGAAATAACCTGGTCCGTCACGACGGGAACCGATTCTTCGCTGTCGCGAAGCGCTCCATATGGCTGCGACGAGGTCAGAAACACATTGTGGAATACTAAGGTCTAGACTACCTGGATGATAAGAGCGTATGGAAGCCTGTGTATGATGTTAGCTCGATCCATGTAGATCCTCACCATAGACTGAAGAAGCGTTGTATACCACTTACTTGCTTTTCTTGAGCAGTGAATGCGTTGTAGGGACTGTATTCAACGTCGATCGGATGTATTTCGGAGGGCAATTGGCGTACGGGGAGGGGGTGACCGACGTCTACGATAGTGTCAGCCATGGTATTTTCGAGACTCCGTAGCAGATATTGGGGTAAGTGGCGCATTTTGAAAAGAGTATAGATGTTGAGTAAGGTATGAGAGGGGTCACTGACGTTCACGGGCAGGTTGATCGGAGGTGGTGGCTGGTCCAATTCAAGAACGTTGAATGGCTAGTTTGCAGTCAGCATTGGCGGTATCGTCCAAGCCCAAATATGCGTCTTACTTGTTGAATTAGGTCCGAGGGAAACAGCTGGTTCAAGTGCGCCGCAGCAGCTGGAGCTTGAGGCTGAACTTGCTGGGGAATGGGTTGCTGGTAACCGGGCTGCTGATAACCGGGCTGCTGGTATCCTGGCTGCTGGGGGCCTAAGTTCATCTGCCCAAACTGGCCAGCCAAGTTGTCTGGCGCAGGAATGCCCTGTCCGAATGCTTCACCGGGCATCAATGGAGCGGGAGCTCCTCCCGCGGGGGGAACCGCATTGGCGCCGAATTCATACGCTTGCTGTGCGTATGCGCGTTTCTTCTTGTGGTGGTGTTCCGCCATGATCAGAGCGGAACAGTAGCGGCGATGGGGACGGTGGGATGTGAGTGAGGTTGCGCAGGTCAATAGGGAGTGGAAGCTCGCACTTCTATGCAAGTGTGTCTTCTTGGAAGCGGGAGTCTAGGCAGGCGCACGTGGCTCCGCTCCGCCCCGCCCACAACCATCATTAAACAAGCCACATCATCGATTTTGCCTGAACGTTTACACTGCATTCTTTCGGCAGGATTACAATGTCAGGAGCATGTCCGCTGTCTTGGTCAAGCTGGTTCCGAACGATCAATTTCAGCCATTAATACATTAAGTGGTAACAGAAATATTCCTCAGCACCGCCCGAACCCGCTGCGAACAACCCGATCTTCCGCTCGATAACATTAGATGACGCCCGCCTCAGCGACCTGACGTCTCTCGGCCTCAGTCATGGGATATGGCGGCTGCACTTCTCCTCCTTCACGTGCGCTTGCCGATTCTGCGCTGGCAGCCCATCGTCTTTCTCCGCTTGTGCTGCGGCTTCGAGCGGACTTCTCTGCATACTTCGGGGCAGTCCGCTCATGCAAGCCACTGTCTTGTCCAATCTCGCTCTCATAGCTCCCGCTCCCCCCCGTGGCTGTCGTCCCGGGCATCGCTCCTAGTCCAAGAGACCCAGAGGTTGTCCGAATAGGCTCAAAATCAGGGTGCCAGTTGCGGAGCTCGTCTTCGGCATCGTTCAGGATCTGACGCCCGGCCTCCACCCCTTCAAAAGTTGGATGAGCTTCCCCAGGGACAATGGGGGTATCGTCAAGAAGATTCAGAAGGCGACGGGCTTGTTTCGCTAGAATAGCTTGCTTCTCTGCACGCTCAATGGTCGCAGCAAAGTGGATATCGAATGCCTCTTTGAACTTCTGGCGGGTCTGTGTAATGATGAGCCATGCGACTCTCCGGAACAAGCACTATGCTTACGATATTTGTGAGCTGGGCTTCTGCCACCAGACTTTGTGCCTCTGCTCGGACGAGTTCCTGTTCGAGCTGGACAATCTTAGTGCTCTGTGGCTCTTTATACTTGAGCTTGGCAATCTCATCCGAAACCTGTCGCACATAGTCAGCTAACTTGTATGGATAGCGTGCATCCAAGCGTGCCTTTGCCTTGTGATCACGGCTGGGCTGTACAGAGCTTTCCGTGTTGCGGATCTGCTTCAAGACGCCTCTGTACTCTTCCAACGTTTGAGCATAGACGTCCTCTTGCTCAGCAATCTCCGCCATCAAGACTCCGAGTTTGTCCGAGATATCAGAGATGGCTTCGTCGCCTGTAGCCTCACCCCACTCGGACAATTGCTGAGCAATGGCGAGGCGCTCTCGTCCGGCCGTCTCATGCGCACCAATTGCATGATTTTCGGCCTTGATGAGCTTGTAAAGCTTCTTTGCAAGGTCCGGCTGTTGCAAGCCTCGCAGGGATGCCATGGTGAACCGGTGCTTTGGCGCACTCTTCTCCGAATAACTGCCTGAGTCCTTTTTGGACCGTGTCGACAGTGACCGATTCCTGGAACGCGTAGGCATGATTGTAAGTGAGCCTGAACGTGTGCGAGATGGAGCTCGAGATGGAGCTCGAGACGACGCCCGAGATGGAGGACTGGAATAAGCAAAGGGTGGTGGAGGAGGAGGGGGAGGGTATGCAATCGGCATTTCGAGGAGGTGGGGAAAGGACTTCGACAGTGGTAGAAGAAAACGAGAGATGGCGTTTTATGTACAGTCTATTACACGAGAGACGGTAACGAAATGGAGGGAACGACGACGATGAGGAAGTAAAGAAGGGAACCTGAAGACCAGCTTACATTTCGAAGCACTCCCTGAAGCGTGGAACTGGAGTTATATGTGGTAACTGTCATGGCTATTGTTAGCACTCTGCCTTAAGCGGAACACGACAGGACGAGTGAAGCTCTCGCAGCCTTACAGCGGGCGGTTCCGCAGATTACGGTAACCAGGTCTGGAGAGTCGCGTGGAAGCTCCCTGGTTGTGGAGATTACAGATTTGAAACAGTTGGCGCTGTGTTGCTGGTGAGCGGGGACGACGAGCGGTTTGTTGTGTTTGGCCATGGGTGAATGGAAGTGGTTTGGACAAGCTAAGCGCCGGTGATGTCATGGCGAGCGTCTCCGGAAGCAGCGCTCTCGACCCCCTTGGCGCTTCCCAATTGGGGGTCAGGAGAGGGTTCATGGCTGGTTCATGAAATGTGCCAGAAGGGCCTGGGCAATGTCACGTTCGCTACCCCAGAGTATTTAGGAGTATTTCAGGTGAGAGAGCGCGTAATGGCCCTTCGTTCAAAAATGACCCATAGTCTACTATCTATTTTGGCTAGTCTTCCCCACCCTGGCATTTCATTCTCATCTGCTTAGCATTCACCTCAACCCTAAATCACCCCAACTACCTGCTTGAACCGGTATAACTTACGGAAGTCTCCAGGGTCCCTATCCATCTGTTTCCAATAAGCAGTGATCTTCCTAGCGGCCCAATGCAACTGCGCCCATTCATCTAATCCATTTCTCTACGCCGTGCGGCCTGTGCGAAGGGAATCGAACGCAACCACATCTTATCTTTCCGAAATCGAAGAACCCACCCGATAGCTAGTAGGGAATGACCTTGCTGCTTTGTGCTCTTGCGTCGCGCTCTCCCACTCTTTTTCGCGTCTCAACTCGCACAACGCGACGAAAGCATCCGCAGGTCCTGTGCTCGTGCTACGGCCGCTCGAATGATACGGCCCAATCCACAGTTGTTTTCGCATAGTGCCATACTGTGTTAGGCACAAAGCCGGAAGACGCAGGTTATTGGATAAAAGGCCCAACAATTCGACTTTCCACCAGCCACCCCACTCCATCCACGTCACTACGGCCCGGTATGCTTGGCGACTAGTACTGTGCCCAGCGAGACCTTTTACAATTACTAACCTGCAAGCATCTCGAACATCTCACTTTGTCATCACCATTCTATCGAAGCTGGTCGAATAGCAAGTCCCGGTGACTCTTTGACCTCAGCATATTCGCTACCTCGTCATTGTCATTTCGGCTCGCAGCGCATAAGTTCACTTCCGCGCTTCTGATCACAATTCATCTGTGTCCAGAAACCGCCATGAAAATAAGCAGGACTTGACAAGGCCATCGCACGTTAACTAGAGAGCTTTCATATTGGCATCGAAACTTCTTCGTGCACTGCTTCAAGGTCACACCGACCGATTGGTGCAACTGGTGAAACCACAATTCCCAGTTCTTCATCCCCACCTGTCAATCAAGCAAACCGACCCACCGTAGCAGCCCAACATACCATAGCCGTCCATTTACCAGGATCCGTAAGGCCAGACCTGGAATCCAATCTGTCACGATCCATGGGGTTCATTAACTCCGCTGTACAGTCCAAATGGAAGCTCCTGATTGAGTGTCTATCTGTGTCATTCCACTGCGTTCTTCCTCAGTATCCACAAGGACTACGAATATGGCTACTTGGCCAAGTGGCGGTGCAACCTGTTGATATGCGATGTGCTGTAGAGAGCTCACACTTGGTGATCGTGTCCGTCCCCAGCTTATTATTCCGTCCGCTAACTCATCCCTCTGTCATGGGTTCGCTGAGTTTAGCTCTCCGAGCTAAAACGGAAAACGTAATGATCAGTTAGGATGCAACATAATCTGTGGAGTTTAGGGAACCCAGTAACGGTACCTTGTGTCAGGGTTCACGGCGCAGTCAGGCGTGACGACCATGTTGAGGCCCACTGGCTCCACTCGTAGTGAAGTATATAAGATGGCTTCTTCCGCATTAGTGAGCTCACCCATTGCTCGGTAGCGATCTCAAAGATGGTCCTCTCGACACTTCTTTTAGCAGGGCTTACTGCAATTATCAATGTCGGCTCGGCGGCATGTCCGTACATGGACAATGGCTATTCCACACAGGACATTCCGGCCGACCACCCTCACATTCGACGCGACGACGCTGATCCTCCTCGCACTGACAACTACTTGTCAAAATATGAGATTGATGACAGCGATACCTATATGACCAGCGATGTAGGCGGGCCGTTTTCCGACCAGGAAAGCCTGAGTGCGGGAGTGAGAGGGCCTACATTGTTAGAAGATTTTATCTTCCGTCAGAAGATTATGCATTTTGACCACGAACGCGTTCCAGAACGAGGTGAGTTCAAGCTTCCATTCCGAGATCTCGCTCGGTACTGATAGTTTCCTATAGCTGTCCATGCCAGAGGCGCTGGTGCCCATGGAGTGTTCACATCCTACGCGGATTGGTCTAATATCACGGGGGCCTCATTCTTGAGCTCTCCCGGAAAAGAGACTCACGTGTTCATCCGATTCTCTACCGTTGCTGGCAGTAGAGGTTCTGCTGATACCGCCCGAGATGTTCACGGCTTCGCGGTGCGATTTTACACTGATGAAGGAAACTACGGTATGGAGAAGGAAGCACAAGTCCTATGATAAAAGGCTCACAGCAGAACAGACATAGTCGGTAATAATATTCCGGTGTTTTTCATACAGGATGCTATCAAGTTCCCCGACCTTGTTCACGCCGTCAAGCCGGAACCAGACAGGGAAATCCCGCAAGCCGCCTCTGCTCACGATACCTTTTATGACTTTGTCTCACAACAGCCCAGTGCTCTGCATACTCTGTTCTGGGCTATGAGCGGTCATGGTACCGTGAGGGGATACCCTTTCATGCACGGCTGGGGTGTTCATACATTCCGATTCGTTACGGATGACGGGAAGAGCAAGCTGGTCAAATTCAGATTCCGAACGCTCCAAGGGCAAGCAGCCCTTGTCTGGGAAGAAGCTCAGGTGGCTGCTGGAAAAGATGCAGATTTTCACCGCAGAGACCTTTGGGATGCGATTGAGAAGGGACGGTATCCCGAGTGGGAGGTAAGTCGTTCATTTCCGTCAAGGCATAGCAAATGACCGCAACCAGCTCGAGCTTCGGTGGTTTTCGAGACTGTACAAGGCTGACAACCTGCCGGAACAGTTTGAAGCTCAAATTATGGATGAAGAAGACCAACTCCGGTTCGGTTTTGACCTGCTGGACCCTACCAAATTCGTACCAGAGGACTTGGTTCCTTTCACGCCCCTTGGCAAGCTTACCCTGAATCGCAACCCACGTAATTACTTTGCCGAAACGGAGCAGATTATGGTATGTTCATCTATTTACTAACTTGTTGCTCGTACTAACCAGTAAAATAGTATCAGCCTGGACACATTGTTCGTGGAGTCGACTTTACTAACGATCCTCTGCTTCAAGGCCGCTTATTTTCCTATCTGGACACACAGCTCAATCGCAATGGTGGACCCAACTTCGAACAGCTGCCCATCAATCAACCACGCATCCCTTGGCATAACAACAACCGTGATGGAGCTGGTAAGGACTTGCGACATCGGCCATATAACCAATTATCTAACTATGTACAGGACAAATGTTCATCCCACTCAACACCGCTGCGTACAGCCCCAACGTGCTCAACGAGGGCTCTCCTCGGCAGGCCAATCAGACGACCGGTAGAGGCTTCTTTACTACTCCTGACCGCGCTACGTCTGGCCGTCTTGTTCGCACAGTGTCCCCAACCTTTACAAACGTTTGGTCCCAACCGAGACTGTTCTATAACTCCCTGCACCGCACTGAGCAACAGTTTCTTATCAACGCCCTTCGATTCGAGATCGCGCAGCTCAAAAGCAGCATCGTTAAGAACAACATCCTCATCCAACTTAATCGCGTCAGTCATGATGTCGCGAAGCGAGTCGCAGACGTTCTTGGGATGGCCACTCCCACACCCGACCCTACGTTCTATACGAATAACAAGACTATCGGTGTATCCATCGTTGAAAAACCCCTAGACAAGATCGATGGTCTTAAAGTCGGTTATCTCACGACCAATACGGCCAACGACGCCAGAAAGGAGGCACTCAAGGGGGAGCTTGGCGTCATGAATGTTGACCTTGTTGTCGTCGCCGAGTTTCTCAATGAAGGTGTGAATCAGACGTATTCTACGTCCGATGCCTCCCAGTTTGACGCCATCATCGTTGGAGCAGGCACCGATACGCTATTTACTAATGCCGCTCCCAACTGTGGAAACACGACTGGCGCTGCATGCGCTCTCTATCCAGTTGGCCGTCCTCTCCAGATCCTTGTTGATGGTTATAGATGGGGGAAGCCTGTGGGCGCCGTAGAATCCAAAAGCGCAGCACTTCCAGCGGCTAACATTCCTGCAAATACACCGGGTGTATATGCGGACGTTACGGCCAAGGATATCGAAGACGGCTTGAAAACATTCAAGTTCTTGGACAGATTTCCCCTAGACAGGGCTTCGAGTTCTTGAGGAAAATTCAAGTTTCGCATAGGGCTCTCTTGCACCAAAAGCATGCCTGTCCACATGCATGAGTGTAACATATTTAATGGGTTGATTTGTACGTAGGAAAAGTCTGATATTCGACAACTGTACCGTGAGGGGTGAGGGGGAGGGGTTCATTCACACACAGCGACCTGCTATACCTCTTCCAGACTAGCGGGGAACTGAAGATTCACTTAATCCAACATCGGATTATCATGCAGTGACATCACCTTCTATTTACGTCTCCCCTCGCATACCTAGGTAAGTACCTAGGTATGGTTCAATCGTTACAATCACTCGCAAATGAATTGCTGCACTCGGAGTGGTAGCCTCTTGTATGAACTTCAAGACGCCACTCCGTGCGGACAAGTGCGGAGCTTGTGGAGATGGCAGCGAACATAACTCCGCTGAAACTACGCACCATTATCCTCCGATCAGACATGGCTTGATGGATGGTCAACCACCGACGAGCCGGCTGCGCCTGGAAGGGCCTGTTCAACTGAATGGAGGAGAATTGACGTCTGACAGTACTCGGATGGAGTTCTATTGGTCTTCCCATCCGCGATCGAGTCTCATGTTACCCGCGCCAAAGCTCGAACCAGCTCTTTGTCTCCGCCATTTCCCCTCGTACGTCATCTTTGCAATGGCCCCTCCGTGATTTCACCCACAGTCTACACAGTAGATATGGACGTGTCGGACCTGGTGTAAGGGCCTCTAGCATATCTCTGCATACACTGCGCCTCGCTGAGTGAACTACATTGGCAATATGGCGGCCGCAGCTGAGAAACCACCCACCATGGAGCGGACTACCCGGGACATGGAGAAGCTTAGCATTTCAGCCTACGGAAAAGCGCGGTCTACGGTGACTGGCACACCATTGAGCCCTGATGAGGTCCAGAAATATACTGAATACTTCCATGCGTCACTATATCTCTGTATGGGTATGATCTTTCTCAGGGAAAATCCTCTGCTTCGGGAACCCTTGATGCACGATCATCTGAAGAAGCGATTGTTGGGACATTGGGGCTCCGATGCCGGACAGATATTCATATACATGCATATGAACCGCTTGATCAAAAAGCATGATTTGAATTCCATATACATCTCTGGACCTGGTCATGGGGCGCCAGCAGTTCTCTCGCAGGCATACCTCGAGGGCACATATTCCGAGGTCTATCCTCATAAAAGCGAGGATGTCGAGGGAATGAGACTGTTCTTCAAGGAGTTCTCCTTCCCTGGCGGCATTGGCTCACATGCCACTCCCGAGACTCCGGGTAGCATCCACGAAGGTGGCGAGCTGGGCTACTCGCTCTCTCATGCTTTCGGCACAGTCTTCGATAACCCCGATCTCATTACTCTTTGCGTGGTGGGCGACGGAGAAGCGGAGACCGGTCCGCTGGCTACGAGTTGGCACTCAAACAAGTTCTTGAATCCCATCACCGACGGAGCGGTGCTTCCCGTATTGCATCTCAACGGATATAAAGTATGTCCTGTTCGCAAAGCATCGTAACATATACTAATGACCTTCAAGATCAACAATCCCACTGTTCTTGCGCGCATCAGTCATGAGGAACTGGAGGCATTGTTCATCGGCTACGGTTATACTCCATACTTTGTGGAGGGCTCCGACGTGCCGTCGATGCACCAGGCCATGGCCCATACCATGGATGTCTGCATCAACGAAATCCGGAGATTTCAGAAGCAAGCACGAGACTCTGGCCAGACCTTCAGGCCTCGTTGGCCAATGATAGTGCTCCGCACACCCAAAGGCTGGACCGCCCCTAGGAAGGTGGAAGGCCACTATCTTGAGGGCTTCTGGCGTGCTCACCAAATACCTCTGCCCCAGGCTACCCAAGATGCGACTCAGCTGAAGATCCTGGAAGGTTGGATGCGTAGCTACCAGCCCGATAAGCTTTGGGACGGAAACGGTGCTCTCCGTGTTGACCTCAAAGCCCTAGCGCCGACAGGAAACCGCAGAATGAGTGCAAATCCTATCGCTAACGGTGGCCTTCTGCGGAAAAAGCTAAATGTTCCAGATTTCCAGCAATATGAGGTTGAGGTGAAGAAAGGGGGTGGAACTATCTTTCCCAGCATGAAAAACTTCGGGCGGTTCCTGCGCGATATCATCAAGGAGAATCCTCACAATTTCCGCGTCTTTGGCCCTGATGAAACAGAATCAAACAAGTTAGGAGTCATATACGAGGCTGCAAAGAAGGCGTGGAATGCCGACTACTTCGAGGAGGATGCTGACGGGGGCAACCTGGCCCTTGAAGGCCAGGTCATGGAAATTCTCAGCGAGCATACTTGCGAGGTTAGTGCTGCGTCCAAAGTACCTCCGCGCTCCTAATACAGTCTAGGGATGGCTGGAAGGGTATATTTTGTCCGGTAGACACGGGTTCCTTAACAGCTACGAGCCCTTCATCCACGTGATTGACTCCATGGTCAGCCAGCACTGCAAGTGGCTTGAGAAGTGCCTGGAAGTTGACTGGCGTGTACCCGTTGCCTCACTCAACATCCTTATCACGGCAACTGTTTGGCGCCAGGACCACAATGGCTTCACCCACCAAGACCCGGGCTTCTTAGACGTAGTGGCCAACAAGAGCCCTGAAATCGTCCGCATTTACCTCCCACCCGATGGCAACTGCCTCCTCTCCGTCATGGACCACTGTTTCCGCAGCTCCAACTACGTTAACATCGTTGTCGCCGACAAGCAAGAACACCTGCAGTATCTCAGCATGGAAGACGCCGTCGCCCACTGCACGAAGGGCATCGGCATCTGGGACTGGGCAAGCAAAGATGCAGGCGTGGAACCCGATATCGTTATGGCGTCGTGCGGCGACGTGGCGACCATGGAGTCCCTGGCCGCGACTGCACTCCTTCGCCAACATATCCCGGAACTGAGGATCCGCTTCGTGAATGTCGTGGACTTATTCAAACTCACGCCTCGGTGGGCGCATAAGCACGGGATGAACGACTGGGAGTGGAGAGCCATCTTCACCGAAGACAAACCCGTCCTGTTCAACTTCCATTCGTACCCTTGGCTCATTCACCGTCTGGCGTACAAGCGCAAGGGCGGACCTCTTACCGTCCGCGGATACAAAGAGAAGGGCAACATTGACACTCCGCTTGAGCTCGCTATTCGCAATGGCACTGATCGCTTCAGCTTGGCAATCGATGCCATTGACCGGATCGCGAGTCTAGGGAATAAGGGCGCCGCAGTGAGGGAGAGGTTGCTGAATCAGCGGATCAGTGCCGTCAATTATGCTTTCCGCGAGGGTATGGATCCGGAGGAGTTGACGAAGTGGGTGTGGCCTTTCGAGGACGGTAATAAATAGAGAGACAGGGCGAGAAAGCATGGCAATTGGAAAGAACTGAGAATGACTGGACCAATCACCAGTTTATGTATTGGCACAGCTCGGTAATGCAATTTTCTCCAGAACGTGGTTTACTCTCGTTTGTGATCTCGAAGTGTTCGCTTTTTTCTATCACTCGCCAAACCACATGTGTCGTCCACTGCACCCTAATAGCTATAGCGATACTTCCAAACCCTGGTATATACCAATGGCATGTCAGGAGTGAGTTCTCAAAGACATGGAGTATTTAACTCATGTAACGAAGCTCCCGATAGAAGATTTAGGTTCCGTATTGCTTTCTCGGTTTGCGTCGGAACTGCCAAAATAGGATAGACTCTAATAGATACCCCAGTTCAACCTGCTATATTAACTTCCAACATGCCACCCTGCTGCCTTATTCCTTCACCACAACTCCTCAACCACCAATATGCTCGAAATAGCTTGCTTCAACGAAACCTCAGCAATAACAGCAGCCGAAAGTGGAGCGGACAGAATCGAACTCTGCACAGACTACGCCGTCGGCGGCGTGACACCCCCCATCAACTCACTTCATTCACTCCGGAAGAAAATCAGCATACCCGTCAATGTCATGATTCGGCCCCGAGCCGGGGACTTTGTCTACACAGACTCTGAGTTCGAAGCCATGAAAGAAGAAATCCGCTGCTTCAAGCCGTACGCGAGCGGATTCGTGTTCGGCATCCTCGACAAGAATCACCACATTGATAGAAGGAGGAATAGGGAGTTGGTTGAACTTGCGTCTCCGTTGCCATGTACTTTTCATCGGGCGATCAATCAAGTGCAAGACTTATCATTGGCGACGGAACACGTAATTGAATGCGGATTCACCTCTATTTTGACGAGTGGAGGTCCGACTGACGCTGTTGCTGGGGCGGAAACTGTGGGAGAGCTGCATCGGGTGTTTGGGGATAGGGTAACGTTTATTTTGGGAGGCGGTGTTCGGTCGACGAATATTGGGAGTTTGAAGAGCAAGGCTAAGCTTGAGTGGTATCACTCTGCGGCTTTGAAGGGGCCTGGGGAGATGGTGGATGGGGGAGAGGTTGAGCGATTGTGTCGCCTGCTGAAAGCATGATCCTTCCAAGTTACAGACGGGCAGTGGATCTTGCTTAGGACTGAATTTTGGACTGGATGCAAAAGATATTATCAAGATGGATACTGTCGAGTACTTGGAAGGAAATGTTGAGACAAAAATGAGGCAACAGAAGCCTTTGATTACGAGTAGAATTGGATATGTAGGTACGAATGACGAGGAAGAACGCCAAAGGAGAACGCCAAAGGGAAGGTAAAACTCACATATCCTGGATCCAGACCCCATTAACATCTCATTCTCTTGAACATGGTAGCGGGCTCCTCTTTATAAGAAGGACCGAGCGTGGAGGACGAACTTTAGGCGGGTAATCGATCACTACGCCTTAAAAGCATGTATGAAAGTACTGGAAAGTGCTGTAGCGAAAGGCAAGTACGGTATTGCCGTCGTCAAAGGAGCCATCCCACAAGCTGTGGCACCTTCTCGAGGCACATCAGGAGAGGGGAACCATGGTGCTTCAAATCTCCGGGGAAGGCCCTGTCATAAGGAAAGGGAAGCAGAACATAACCAGACCAGATTGAAGAAATTGCTCAAGCATTGGCCCACTGTATGTGAGCAAATGTGAGATGAAGCGGCCCAGAGAAATCTCGGAGCGCGATCAAACAGGTATGCCGTGAAAGCGGTAGAATGGTGAAAGAAGCGCCAATGTTATTGCTGGTAGCAACTGAGGAAAGCTTCTGTGGTACCCTAAGTCCATCAAAACTGCGGCCCGAAGGACTCGGACAGCGTAGCATCGCCATCTGCACCATCGCGAAAGGCCAGTTCACCGAAAGCCACAGTCTGCTCTTCAGACATAGAGTTGTCAATTTGATTATCTATAATGAAAGCGCTATCTCCTTGAAACTTAGAAAGGGCATTGAGGAGCCATCCTTCAAGCATCGTCTGGTCATCATTGTTGGGACCATCGATGATACTTTCTTGCGAGCTGCCATGCACATCTGAATTGAATGTGAAAGATGTAATGTCCTGTATGGCCGCAGTATCATGGGTGATAGGGACATCACCGAGGGCAATCATATCTCCAAATTGAAGAGTATCAGGCATCGTAGTGAATGCTGGAACAATAACTGAGTAACCTATAGAGGTGAAGTTCTGAATGGAACCTGTTCCTGGAACGGCAAGGAAACTCTGAGCAGGAGCCACCTGGGTTGGGATGGGCTAGAGAGCATTGAGAAACTGCATGAAATCAATGTCGTCAAATGATTGCTGTGTAGTCACGGTTCCCGATGGCATGAGTACTGCAGGCTCAGGTGAAGATGAAGTTGAAGCACCTGGAGAATCCCCGATGCCGCACAATTGGGCCAGCCTCAGCTGGAGGTCCAGCGGAGCGCCTTGGTTTATCCTCTTGATACGTTGAAGATGTTTTTTTCTCTCGATTAGCAAGACACTTACTCTCCATGGCATTGACAATCTGGTCCAAAGTCTTCTAACCCGGTTTAAGCGGGACATGGAACGTAGATGAAGTAGCAAGGTCACCATTGAACTTGAATTCCTTCGCGTAGTTGTGTGCCTGGCAATAACAGATGATCTCTTCGACCGACATATTTGTGCCAGACTTTGTTGTGGTATCTTCGGGAGGGTTGGAGATGTGGACGATATATAGATCATTTTGTTCATTTAGATGGAGCTCCCAGTAGAAAGTCTTGAAGTACTCATCAGGTGAAGGTAACAGCATAGCCAGGCACATGAGCTCGAAGTACGGAATGAGAGGCACATTCTCCTTGCCAATCTGATTACAGATATGGGACCATGTCTTCGCTAACAAGGCCCAGACAGGTTTATTTGTGTCTTCATTCCACATTTCAGCTAGCATGTTAGAGAGTTTCTTCATGGGAAACGCCTTAAACTCCAGCATACTAATGTAGTAGCCTGATTGATGTCAGTATATTTTAATACATAGCTAGGAATTAAACTTACAGCGAAAGCCAATGAATGCATTAAGGGCTTTCTTTGGCTTTGTAGGCTTCACTGCCTTGTCTGTAGTATTCGAGATTGCGGGAGTAAAGGAAGTTAGGGTCACAAAAGCTGACATCAATGCACCCTGAGAAGAGCGATCCTGCACTGAATTGAGGAGCTCCGCTATCTGAGCACTGGTGTAAGTCTTGAGAAAGTCCGCGATTTCAGCAGAGGTCAGTGTATACAGGATGAAGGTCGCAGTAGGTTGTTGGGTTGCTATAACAGGGGTGGTAAGGTTCTTTGTTGTAGTAGAGTAAAAGAAGCCATGCACTGAAATCCTCTAAGGATGCAAACAAAGAATTGATCGAAGTAGATAGGAGCAAAAGTAGAACAAAGAAGATACGAAAGAGCTTAAGTAGAAGGCGGGGCAGGTGATAAGTGAGACTGAAGTCGCTTTCACCGTAGGCCTGTGCTTTTCACCTTCACCATAGACTCTTGCCCAGGAGACACCGCCATCTGGGAACAGCTAGTAAGCCCTCAGGTAAGTGAGTGAGTGAGATTTGCAAGAGTTATCTTACCGCCGGCTCCGTTCACACAGACACCAAGTGAGCTAGTTGAGATATGAACTCATGGATGTTTGGGTGCTACGCCGGTCAGAGAAATAATATTCGCTTGGATTTAATCAGGCCAGAAGACAAATAATTAAGATGCTCTTGCTATTGAATGAACATCCTCTAGGTCCGTATTAGTGTGTATATCTCGTATATTTCGTGGCGGTATCTCTACCTCTGGGCGTAGTTCGAGGCTAACAAACTTCGGTGATTTGGTAATAATAGCAGGCGTGCATTCCAAGGATCGAAGCTGTGAACTCAAATTGAGTGCTACTGCAAATAGTCGCATACATCTACGTTAAGGGGGTTAATCAATTTCTGTTTGTCTCAGTTAACTCGATGGAGTAGGACAATGGCTAACGCCACAAGTAAATGAGAAAGTGGCATCGAGTGAAGAAGAGACTTTAGATAGTTGGGCAGAGAAACTAGGTCATATTGGATTTTGACGGTAAGAATCGTCATATTAAATGAGAGGAGAATTAATCAATACTGTGATTTTGCGGTCGGTCGAATGTTCCCAAGAAATTGGGATTGTTAGATCAGAAGGACTTGCAGATAATAGCAGTGAATATGTGCATTGACTGAGAGCGTAAGAGAGAGATACGCTTACTATTCTAAGAGCCCCAGGATACTTCTAAGTTTACATGTAGAGTTTCTAAGCGATGCCAACTGAGCACTATTATCGGAGGTAGAAAGTTCCTACGTGAGGGCGTAGTTCCCAACCGACTGTATGAACTTAACAGAGCCATCTCCAAAAAGGCGAATTCAAGATAAATGCACGTAAGCAACAATGGTCTGATCCTCCCGTCTACAGTTGAGAGAGGTTGCATGAGAATTGCAAAGTATGGTTGAACTAACCTTCTTACCTAAGCACCCATCGTCCCGCCGGCGTTCCCGACTGTCCGCGCGCCTGCGCTGCGTCAACGGGGGCCTTGCGAGGTAGCGGGACGATGGGTGCTTAGGTAAGAAGGTTAGTTCAACCACACCTTCGAATGCACACCTCTCCCCCTTCTTGCAAGGAGACTTAACACGTATGGTGTCTGTATCTCGTCTGTCGCGAGTGTGAGGTATCCTCTCCTCGTCTGCGAGAAGCCGCTAATAGTGGATAATCCGAATATGATCGGTCATCAGCCTAGTTTTCGCCATGCATCATGTTCACGATGCATCTCAACGACCTACCTCGTTAATAGCCGTCAGGTAAGTCCAGATATATATATTTCACGGTCCGAGATCACATAGTTGTTTTTTCCGTCTTTTAGTTGGCTACCTTGAACATGAGCCACAGAGGCGTGACCGGTGGCTTGCGCCTGTCTTACCGTACGCCCAAGACAAGAATGAGCCTTCGTACCCCTGATAAAGTTCAAACCCTCTCAGATTCCCTACACACCTTTCTGACCTCTTCAGTTCTTTCACTCTTCTATTCTACCCTCTCCTCAACGGCAGAATAGACGGCCTACTCATAGGCTCTCAACTTGTTAGCACCTCTAGAGGAGCTGTGAATCAACAGAACTTGATAAAATAGACCTAGTTCGCTGGAGGCTAGGGATTGGTTGCTAAGAGGAACTCCGAGAAATATACGCATCCGATCTTCTCAGTCAAGTGGTCGTGTACGTATTCCACCCCTCGAATCCCTACGTCTTCAGCAACTGAGCTATCACAGGGATCATCCAGCGAACATGTCTTGCGCTGCGACTGTACTTTAGCATGCATTATAATGCGTCATGCTGCTGAATAATCATATGCCAGAGCGCTCCTTGTTCACTTCCCACAACTCTAGAGCTATACTCTATGCTCAGCGATCCACCAGCACTGTACTACTGTCCAGTCTGCTGGCTGCACATGTCCTTCGAGCCGTCCTCCATCAAGAAAGACGGCAATTCGTCAATAAAAGAGACGTAATCATCGAGTCCAGCGCATAGAATTGCAGAAAGCGGAATTCCACGGTGAAGGTGAAAAGCTCTGACCCACGGTGAATACCCTCCAAAAAAGTCTTGGTGCCACCTTTAAAAGCTCACCTTCTCTCTCGACCTTCCATTCTCACGACAACCGACGCAACTGCCTTCCTTGTCTACATTTCAATATCTCGTTGCACACATACTCAGGTTTCTTTTGCCCAAGTCCAAGCGGTCTGCTACCTCACTCGTAGTCAAGATGAGCTTCACCAACCTCAACAACGTCGTCATTCTCACCGAGCCTGCTGCCTCCTGGGACTGGGGTGAGACTCTGCGGAATGCGAAGTATGCACTTCTCAAGCAATTCGGTTTGGTCAGCGCTTCTCAGGTTGCCATCAAGACTTGCGGCGAAAAGAGCGTTATGGATGCACCCATGATCGACCACATTTCTTCGGAGCTTCACCGTATCTTAGGATGCGAGTTCTTGACAGAGTACAATGCTGAGTTGTACATGTACGTGTTCATTGCGACTGCAACTCTACAGATTCAAGACCCAGCCGCTTTTACTTACGTTCCCGATGGCGCCGATCTCTTCCTGAAGACCCCAGAAGTCAAGTCATCTGCCTCTACTACCACCACTGTTGCTGGACGTAAGAAGCCTCCCCGACCCATGAACAGCTGGATGCTCTTCCGCGATGATATGCACAAGAAGCTCAAAGCTGCTAATCCTGATCTTACTGTTCAGGTCATCTGTAAGTACAAGTTTCATTTCTCCTTGCTCCTCTTGTGCGATGTCTTGATGTTGTTTTGCGGTCAAAACAAAACCCTCAGTTCCCCGGCTAACATTACTAGCTACCATCTGCTCCAAGAAGTGGAAGACCCTCCCCGCCGATGAGAAGGACATGTGGCAAGCTAAGGCCCTAAAAGCGAAGGAAGCCCATCAGCGTCTGTATCCGGATTACAAGTACAGCCCCCGCAAGCCTGGTGAAAAGAAGAAGAGGCAATCGCGCAAGAGAGCCAAGACTGCCGCTCGTTCTTCGACCAACAGCGTCTCGCCAGCCTCTACGTCTTCCGCTAGCCCCCAGCTCGACATTTTCGACTTCAATTCATTCCCGGAGTTGGTCCCACTTGCAGCTGATACTGCTCCTACCAGCAGCGCTGCGGAGACAGCTTCAGGTGTCACTTCCGACCTCAGCAACATCTTCTCTTTTGATCCTCCTCAGCTGGACTTTACCATTGATGCTCCGGAGATGAGTCTGCAAGCCACAAACCCTTTCCCCACCATTCAAGCCCCGCTTGCTGCTGAGGATGTATTCTTTGCTGAGACTTTGCGCCAGGAACAGCTTGATCTTGAGTTTGGTCCGCTCTTCGACCTCGACAGCTTCCTGAACACCGGAGACAATCTGGCTTTTAGGGCAACCGCTGGAGAGAACACCATGCTCCCCGATTTCTTCTCTGGCCACTTCTGATCGACTGCTGTCGGCCGCAGTCGAAGTGAGCATGCTAAGTCTCGCGATTATGCATACAAGGCTTACGGGAGTTGCCCAATCTGTCAACACTTTGCGACATCAACTCAGTATCCGCTCTGGCCCGATAAAACGAATTCTTGCATCGATGGCCTCGCTTCTCCCGCCGAGTGAGCCTTTTACTCTGCATTAATGGGCCTGGTATGAAGTTCTGTGTTGGATCTCACTGATGCCTTCGTTACTTTTCGCGCTTTGGTCCTCGAACATTCGCTATCGGTCCATTCGGTCGCGCTCCGAGATTTCTCTGGGCCGTTTGCTCACATACAGTGGGCCAATGCTTGAGCAATTTCTTCAATCTGGTCTGGTTATGTTCTGCTTCCCTTTCCTTATGACAGGGCCTTCTCCGAAGATTTGAAGCACCATGGTTCCCCTCTCCTGATGTGCCTTGAGAAGGTGCCACAGCTTGTGGGATGGCTCCTTTGACGACGGCAAGGACGGGCGTTTGGGTTTTCTTTGGCATCTTCGGACAGATTACACAGCGGCGGGAGAAGTACCTGCTGACCGAGGTGTATGTGGATGGGTTGGCTATGGGAGTCTCGGGCATGGGTACATGGATGTACGTAACAAGGGATATGCAGTAAATGAGAAACATTTCGAAAACTTCTGTTCCTTGCCATCTGTTCTTGTGGAGTTTGGTTCTCGACATTATAGAGCAGAGGGTGTTATGATTCCGGCGTTCGCAAGGCCTTGTTTGCCGTAACCCTTTTATCCTCGTTAGACGAAGGTGCGACGGCACTACGAGATCTACCCCTCATGTCAAGAGGTCACTGCGGGAGTGGGCTCTTCTGGGCATACGCTTGTGATCACCACGCTTCGGAAGTATCATAACAGCAATCGCATATCCCAGCAGGGAATACAGAGACCGGATTAAAGTAACACTACAGCTAGAAGAGAACTCCTGTTGGAAGACGACATGACCTCATGCGACGCAATCAAATGCCACTGGGTACATTAACCGTTTCGATCCATCCCAGGACCCTGACATGTCCTAACCACGGACGTGACGCACTTGGATATGGATGGTTAAGCTCCGTTGACGACGGGCGATTCACCCTCCTCCACTGTCCAATCTCGGACTTGGCCCTTCCAGTCAGCAATCCTCCCGTCTTTGATCTTTACCACAACAACACACACCTCCTCGCCCTCGACATAACACCGTGTGCCACCATCCCCTTCCCGTGATTCCGCATCTCCCGCCTGGCCTAGCCCTCTCCACAATCCGCCGCCGACGGGCGAGGAGGAGTAGGAATCCTCTGAGGGGGCGAATGTGTTGTTCGCAAGGTGCTGTGCTTTGTACCACGCTTCCGCCTCGGACCCACGAGGCACGATCTCGGCAACGCCATTGATGGTGGTGCTGATTCTAGAGAGACTGGCCGTGTTCAAGCCTAGCAGAAGTTCGGCGAGACTGCCTGACCTGGGTCCTGGGCGGGAGGGGGAGGGCGGGCGGCCGGGTTGGGAAAGCGTCGGTGGGCGGTGCGATATCCAGTCGTGGACGAGCAGGGAGACAAGGGGGTTACTGGCGAGATTGAGGGTCTTGCGGCTGGAGGGCGGGGTGGTCATGATGATGGTGGGCGTCGAGGAGTAAGGTGATTGCGCTAGGTAGGTGTAATTCATGAGCGAGATATGGGGGACATTGTTGGCGGCGGTCGCCAGATGAAGCTGCCATGATATGTTGAGTTAGCTGTGGTAAGGCATATAGATAGGAAGAAGGGCCCAGAAGAAGAGCAGGACGACCACAAGGTGACTTACGAAGCGCGCATTTTGAAGACAGGTTATGACCTCTTCGGGGAGATGATTGGAAACGGTCGGTGACGTAGTCGAAGTGGCCGTGGAAGCCATGGCAACAATGGTACGACGGCACAGAGAAGTTTGTATTCTCTATGTGCAAATGCGGCCCCGAGGTGCAGTCAGGGAGAGTATTATGTATAGGCACGCGAGCGGAGCCAGGCGGTTCGGGATGCAGAGGGTGATGAAGTTGTGGTTGCGGGGGGCCATACAAATGGCGGGCATCAATGACCGCACCGTCACCAACCGCGGAAGGAACGGGCGGAGGTCCGTGCCAGCTTAGAAGGTAGATGCATGAGATGTGAGGCATGATGCACAACATCTATCTTATAGAAGGCCGGAGCTTAATCTCACGTACCAGCCTGGCCTGTTACGCTCGCTACATCTCTGCTCGCCTGTTTCCACAGTTGGTGCCCTACGTTGGCGCGCTCCGTGTCCCTCGTTGAACAACCGCTGCGTAGCTCCCACGCCGCCCGGTGATATAAACCCCCTCGCAAGCACCCGGTCTCAACAACACAGATGGCTGCCAGCGCGCCTGTCCTGCCGCCCGTAGAGGGCACCGATACAGGCGTCAACCCCAGGTTCGACTCGCCGGCCCCCAGTGCCAATGTCCAAGCCGAGAGCGCAGCGGCTTCACCCATTGACGGCCTCGCCCAAGCTGGCCCCCCTCCCGACCAGAAAGATGGGCGCACCGCGCAAGATGCAAGAGCGCAAGAGGAGGTTCACCGAGTCCTTTACTCAGACATTGGTGTCAATACTCTGTTGAACCGGCTGAAGGCTAGCATAGCCAGCGCGAGGGTGAGCACACTGCAATCGTCCTGACCCGCCATGTCTGACAGCTGCAGGACTTTTCTAGCTTCCTCAAGCGTCGAGGTGCCATGGAGGAAGAGCACGCCACCAGTCTCAAGAAACTCAGCCGCCTAACCCTCGAGAACCTCAACAAGGCGGAGGCGCGCCACGAGAGTTATCAGCGTCAGTTTGGACTCGTCATGCACGCCAATGAGCGCATGGCGGACAACGGCACTCAATACGGTCTGGCCCTGCATGCCATGCACGAGAATCTCCTGCAGCTGGCCTCGAAAATGGACGCGAGCAGGAAGACGTGGAAACAGCAAGGCCTTGCTGCTGAGAAGAAGGTCCATGACGCTGAGATGCTCGCTGAAAAGGCAAAGGCCAAGTACGATCAGCTAGCCGAAGATCTCGACAAAGTGAAAACAGGCGATACCGGCGCCGGCAGGAAGTTTGGCTTGAAGGGTCCCAAGTCTGCCGCCCAGCACGAAGAAGATCTGAACCGAAAGCTCCAAGCCGCAGATCAGGATTACTTGAGCAAGGTGCAGACGGCGCAAGCGTATCGCAAGGAACTTGTCGCCACTAGTCGGCCCCAAGCAGTGACTGCGCTTCTGGATCTCATAAAGGAGATTGATGCTGCTCTGACAATGGAGATGCAGAAGTATGGTAAGTTTCTCCACAACCACATCTGCGCAGCGCGAGCTTATCCTCTCAGCTTCCTTTACCGAGAAACTTGCCGTGAACAACGGTCAAGTCGTCATACCACAAAGCACCAACGGCAACAGTGCCAGTGCAGCGCCGAGCCTGAACAAGATCATCTACGAGATCAACAATGACCGAGATTTCGACGATTATGTTCTGAAGCACTCGTCCAAGATCCCCTTGATGCGCCCCGAGATCCAATATGTGAAACATCCCACCCTTGGTCCGACACCGTCCCAGCAGAAGCCCCTTCCCACAGCAACTGGTGACCGCCGAACTTCCTTATTGATGCACGGAAGCCAGTTGCCACCGTCTTATCCCACACAAACACCTATGGACTCGGCACAGACTCTTCCTCAGCAGTATACCACCGCCGGGGTTTCTGAACCAATACAACCACCGAGTCATCAAAACTCGATGACATCCTCCCCGATGCCGCAACAGGCGCCGTTGTATCCACAGCAACAACATCCGCAACACTACGACCAACCATACCAGCCATTGCAACAGCCGCAGTCCCAATATGGGGATGCCACCGTGTATCCATCGGTCGCGCAAGATCTGTATGGTCAGTCCGAGTACCGAGGAGTCTCGGCAGGGCATGGCGTTGCTGAACAAACCAGCGGTGTTACCCATCCTAACTCTGCTCATCCAGCCAATCCCGTGTTTGGTGTTCCATTGAGCGAGCTGTTCAGGCGCGATGGCTCGCCCGTTCCTCTCGTTGTTTATCAGTGTATACAGGCAGTAGATCTTTTTGGTCTCGAGGTTGAGGGGATCTACCGTATTCCCGGCACTTCCTCACATATTCAGACATTGAAAAGTTTATTTGACAGTGGTACGTTGCTGCAGTTGTCCATCCGATATTCTAATATTTACTGTTGTCAGGCTCCACTCAGGTTGACTTCCGCAACCCGGAAGCATTCCAACATGACGTGAACAGCGTTGCTGGCTTGCTGAAGCAATTCTTCCGCGAGCTGCCCGATCCGTTATTGACTAGGGAGTTTTATACAAAGTTCATCGACGCTGCTCGGATTGAGGACGATACCATGCGTCGCGACTCCATGCATGCCCTTATCAACGCTTTACCGGATCCTAATTATGCCACTTTGAGAGCTCTCATGCTTCACCTGCATCGTGTCCAGCAGGCTTCAGAGGTCAACCGCATGAGTACTGCAAATCTGGGAATTTGTTGGGCGTAAGTGGGTGATCAAGATCGACTGGTTCGTTGGCTGACTGATCCTAGACCTTCAATCATGGGGCCGCACAAAGGCAACAACATGGCAGACGCCGGTCTGCAAGCCAAAGTAGTCATCACGATCCTAGATAATGTCCTTCAGATTTTCGACGAGGATTGAAATGCGCCCGTAATGGGTGTGGGCACAGTTACCACACGCAGGGTATGCAGCCGAGGTCTTGGACAATGGATCAATTCATAGTATATTGGATGTTTTGGCGGGTCGTTGAGTCTCTGAATCTACCCGAACTTCTTGTGCGATATTATGAGTTTCGGAACCCTAGGCCAGTCCCGCTGCGCCCACCTGTATTCAAATGGAATTGTGCAACTACATTCCTGTTAGCTACATGATCGGTATCCCCACTAGTGTGTTAGTGAGATGCTTCCCAATTCCGAGCTTCAGATATGTCTTTGATAAAGATTTTTAACCTTGTAGGTTAGGTTGACGAAAGATCTGAATCGGCCAGCCGAGCACATATTGTACAGCGGTACAGGGTAAGCCAACGGTGCGTGTTTTCTTTGCTGCTGTGTGCTTTGCACTTACCAGTACTTCTCCCATCGGGTGCACCGCGCAGTGAAATCTCCATCATGTGTTTTGTTGTCCGGCCCGAGCGGACCTTGGCGCAAGTTTGCCCTGGCTCTTGGCGGTCTAGAGCGGGAGAGGCGCTGATTGGCTGGCTCCGTCAGGTTCGCCGCGATTCTGCGAGACTCTCTAGAAGATTCTCGAGCTGTGGGCGGCGGTATATAGCTACCTAGGCCTCAATTTCTCCTTCTGTCCTTTCCCCATCTTTCAGCAGTTTCTTTTCCCAGCATTCCTCAGCTGCAGACGACTTCGTCCGCGTGCTCTCTTAGCTTTATACCCCTCGCTTGAACTGCAGAGCCTTTACGAATACAACTACTCCGTAAGTCTCTCCCCACCTTGGTCCTCAACGCTTTCCTGTTCCTGCCACTGCATTGCTCTGCCTTCCTCGCAGTCTTCCTTTAAAGGACCAGTTTTCTGAGAGGAGGATCTGCCGTGGTGTTTACCAATAATTATTTGTTGCCTCTATTTGTGCCAACGCTCTAACATCCGTGCTTCCAGCTCGCCATACACACCGCCATACCCCCTCGTACACAACTCAGCATGGCTTCAGAGACGTTCGAGTTTCAGGCCGAGATCTCTCAGCTTCTTGGCCTCATCATCAACACTGTCTACTCCAACAAAGAGATCTTCCTACGGGAAATCATCTCCAACGCTTCCGATGCGCTCGACAAGATTCGATATGAGTCCCTGTCAGATCCAAGCAAGCTCGACACGGGCAAGGACCTCCGCATCGACATCATCCCCGACAAGGAGGCGAAGACTCTGACGATCCGTGACACCGGTATCGGCATGACAAAGGCGGATCTCATCAACAACCTTGGCACCATTGCCCGCTCGGGCACGAAGCAATTCATGGAGGCTCTATCCGCTGGTGCGGACATCTCCATGATCGGACAATTCGGTGTTGGCTTCTACTCTGCCTACCTCGTTGCCGACCGTGTTACCGTCGTCTCGAAGAACAACGACGACGAGCAGTACATCTGGGAGTCGAGCGCTGGCGGTACCTTTAAGATCATCGAGGATACTGAGGGTGAGCAACTTGGCCGAGGCACCAAGATCATTCTGCACCTCAAGGATGAGCAGATGGACTATCTGAACGAGAGCAAGATCAAGGAGGTTGTGAAGAAGCACTCCGAGTTCATCTCCTATCCCATCTATCTCCACGTCCGCAAGGAGACTGAGAAGGAGGTGGAGGAAGAAGAGGCTGAGACTACCGAGGAGGGTGAGGAGAAGAAACCCAAGGTAGAGGAGGTTGATGATGAGGAGGAAGAGAAGAAGAAAAAGACCAAGAAGGTCAAGGAGACCAAGATTGAGGAGGAGGAGTTGAACAAGACCAAGCCGATCTGGACCCGGAATCCTCAAGACATCAGCCAGGAGGAGTATGCCGCATTCTACAAGTCTCTGTCGAATGACTGGGAAGATCATCTTGCCGTCAAGCACTTCTCCGTTGAGGGTCAGCTGGAGTTCCGTGCCATCCTCTTCGTTCCCAAGCGCGCGCCTTTCGACTTGTTTGAGAGCAAGAAGACCAAGAACAACATCAAGCTTTACGTCCGCCGTGTCTTCATCACCGACGATGCCACCGATCTCATTCCCGAGTGGCTCGGCTTCATTAAGGGCGTAGTCGACTCCGAGGATCTTCCTCTCAACCTGTCCCGTGAAACTCTCCAGCAGAACAAGATCATGAAGGTCATCCGCAAGAATATCGTCAAGAAGACCCTCGAGCTTTTCAATGAGATTGCTGAGGATCGCGAGCAGTTCGACAAGTTCTACACTGCCTTCAGCAAGAACATCAAGCTTGGTATCCACGAAGACTCTCAAAACCGTCAGGCTTTGGCCAAGCTCCTGCGGTTCAACTCGACCAAGTCAGGCGACGAGACCACTTCGCTCACTGACTACGTCACCCGCATGCCCGAGCACCAGAAGCAGATGTACTACATCACCGGCGAGTCTCTCAAGGCCGTTCAGAAGTCTCCTTTCCTGGATGCTTTGAAGGACAAGGGCTTCGAGGTTCTCTTCCTTGTCGACCCCATTGACGAGTATGCCATGACGCAGCTGAAGGAGTTTGATGGCAAGAAGCTCGTTGACATCACCAAGGATTTCGAGCTTGAGGAGTCGGAGGAGGAGAAGAAGAAGCGCGAGGAGGAGGAGAAGGAGTTTGAGGGCCTTGCCAAGAGCCTCAAGAACGTCCTGGGTGATCGGGTGGAGAAGGTCGTCGTCAGCCACAAGCTTACTGGCTCACCATGTGCTATTCGCACCGGCCAGTTCGGTTGGTCCGCCAACATGGAGCGCATCATGAAAGCTCAAGCCCTCCGCGACACCTCCATGAGCTCGTACATGTCTTCCAAGAAGACTTTCGAGATCTCGCCGAAGTCGCCCATCATCAAGGAGCTCAAGCGCAAGGTTGAGGCCGATGGCGAGGACGACCGCACTGTCAAGTCCATCACTCTTCTGCTCTTCGAGACCTCTCTTCTCGTATCCGGCTTCACCATTGACGAGCCCGTGCAGTATGCGGAGCGCATCCACAAGCTCGTCTCGCTGGGTTTGAACGTGGACGAAGAGGTCGAGACTCAGCAGGAGGCCAAGGCCGAGGAGACACCTGCTGCCGCTGAGACTGGCGAGAGCGCCATGGAGGAAGTGGATTAGATGGCTCTCTACGACTTGGCGGCGCTCTGGTCTCGCTCTCATGTGTCATGTCATTTTCCTTTTTGCCTTGGTCCTTGTGTGACGGGTTTCTCATGGCCGGCGTCTAAAAGAGTGGTGATGGGGTGAATGATTCCATGGATCCCAAAGGGGCATGCATGTACTTTCTGTGGATATGACACTGGGCTTGAGTTATTCAGTATGAAGTAATGCATTTTTGACTTCACATCAATGTTCTCGATTTGTTGGTTGTGGTGAGACTATATGTAAAGTGTGAATAAATCGCTTATACAATTTTGAGGAATGCTTCGACTTCCTCAAGCTTCCTCCCCTTCTCCACAAACCGTCACACCCCTTCATCTTCTAGCTCAAACAGCGAACTTCAAACTTAGCTGACCGACTTCCCGGTGCACTCAACAATGACTCCGGCACAGGAAACGGCCAGGCCCAGATTGTGTTGGGCGATGCTTGTGAGGACTCCAACGACATGTGAAGAAGATTGGGTCGCAGACATGTACTGGGCTGGATTGCAGAAGGCGAGAATTGGGGCTAGTTAAGCGTTTTGATCATGGTCAACGCAGATGGATGCTGGGATACATGCAAAGAGGAGGACGAGGCGGGCGAGTAGGCAGAATGGACGCAAACAGGGGTGTAAACTTCCGGCCCAGAAAGAAAGAGGCTCGATGAGAAACGGTCATCAAGTCAAACATCACTTTCGCAGAAAAAGAAACTTCCGTATGGTTGCACGTCATCATGAATCTGAATGAAGAAGATCAATAACAATATATACCAATGGGAATGGACGCCGCTTCAACCTCCCCGCCAGCCAGCCCTGAACCGAATTCTCACACCACCACATATGGCAACTGCATCGCCTCCTTGACCAACAGGCTATTTCTCATCCCAAACGACATTGTTGACCTGACCGGGCAGACCAACAGCCGACGCGACCCTCTCCCCCAACTTCCCGGACCTCGGATTCCGCCGCCAGATATCCACCGTGAAGCTATTCTGGTTCCCGACAGCAACAAGCGTGCCATCCCTGTTGAAGCTGAAGTGCCTAGGGAACGAGCCGCCCGAGGGCGCCAGCTGGACGAAGCGCACCCTGCCGTCGGCAGCGGGCTTGAAGACAGTCAAGCTATCACTACCGATCTTGGTCGCGTTCTTGGGATCCGGGTTGGCGATGGTGAAGACGGTGGCGTTGCGGTTGCTGGTGACGATGAACTCGTTGTCCGGGGAGACTGCGATCTCTGCGGCGCGGGAGCCCGGGGGGGTGGTGCGGTCGCCGTAGAGGCCGACGTCTTGGAGCTCGGTGAAGCCGAGGCCGCCGGCGCCGTCGCGCGGGTACGTGACGCGGTAGCTGGTGAGGCGGTTGCTGAGCTCGTTGACGACGAAGAGGAAGGTCGTCGTGTTTGTGTTTTTGCGCCCGGGGGACCAGAAGACGGCGTGGCGGGGGCCGTAGGCGGGCTTGGCCTTGAGGGATTCGTGCTCCTTGAGCAGGGACGTCTTGGGGTCGATGCCGTAGACGCGGACGACGTCCGAGCCAAGGTCCGGGAAGATGAGGAACCTGCCCGTCGGGTCGAGGACGGCGTGATGGGGATGAGACGCCTCCTGTTCCGGACGGGGGCCGGGGGGAGTGGAGAATGTGAACACCTCGAGCGGAGTGAAGGTTGTCTTGTCAGCACTCAGTTTGTATGTGGTGATGGCTGAGCCGCCGTAGTGGGCCATGGCAACGGCGGCGCCCTTGTTGTAGAACTGGGTGGACACGGGGCCTTGGACGGTGTCGAGCTGGGCGATGCGCTTGAGACTGCCATCGGGGCTGATTCTCAAGGTGTTGAGGGAAGCTTTGGGAGTCTGCCAGCCCTCGTCGACGCAGTAGATGAGGTCGCCGCCCTGAGTCCGGTCTAACCATGTGGGCGCGCTGCCGCACTCTTGGTTGGCGGATACGGGCTTGAGGGTGGCCGAGTTGTCACCATAGCCCAGACCAGGCGCAAAGTCCAAGGTGGTGATGGATCCCAAAGCACTGTTCGGCGGGGCGTAATTGGTCGCAAAGAGACGCACTGCTGAAGCGGAGCTCGCCAGAGCGGCGAGCAGGAGGTTGTTCATAGCCATTAGAGATTCGAGCCGATCACAGCGGCAGCGTAGTATGAGAAGAAAGAAGGCAAAGGAAAGAAAGAAGTTGCTACCGTTGTCAATGGTGCAAGGGAAGGTATGAGAAAGGGTTCAGGATACGGGGTTATGTAGTAAACCGTGAGGGTCAATGCAGGGGACAATCAAAGCACAGCGGCCTTGTCCATTCCAACAACGTCCATTCACCCAACCGGGCGCTTGGTCCTACATGCCGGGCAGAGATGTCGGACCTAGACCTATTGTGACATATGAAGAATCGGAAACAACACGTTGGGCCAGGCTGTGAATTCACGGGACGTCGATGGAAGCGAACGAAGGGAGGGGCGAAGCATGTCTTCGGCGCAAAAGGGATCGACTTCCGGAGGCTGGTGGGTGTTCATTGGCGGATTTCGCGGTTGGGGGATCTACGACAGGGACTGGTCAATTTGCGGGAAAAGATAGAACCGGGCTGTTCGTGAATGAAGGGCTCGAAAAGGCTCGGTTTCAATATGGCCGCGTGCTGTGTCTGGCTGTGGACTTGCTCGTCGCGTGCGGCGTGGGTGGGGACCCTCAGCGCTGGCGTCGCATGGACGTCTGCTTGGCCTGCATTGATTGATCATGGTTGGTGATGTTTTCCGGCGATGTGAGTCCCCGTCAGGGTTTCAGATTTCCAAAATATCAACAACATGGACGTTGTACGCAGGTTGGCGGCGAGGATTGTGAGGCTTCGTTGTTGCGGAGACGTAGGTTCATACAGTACTGTAGAAATGTGGTGGGACAGCATCGGAAGAAGCTTTGTCCGGCTCCGCCTCAGGCGCTAGCCACCGGCGGCCCGCCTGAAACGGTAAGGCTGTGAGACGCCCGTCCCGAACCCGCCGCTAGCCTCCACGTCCTCTCCACACTGCCCAGGTGGCCCGTCTGTGCAGTCTTCAACACCTGCGCCGAGCCTGCACGGGACCTGCACTCAATCTGACAGCTTCATCTATTTCGAGCACGCCATTCGCTCCATTTGATCGGTTCGCCGCGGGCGACCCAGATGTCAGGCCTGTCCGGGTTCCCCAGCAGCGGCGATGATATCGAAAGTCCCAAGCGCTGGGGACATGGCACTGCAGGAACTGCTTCTCTCCCGCCTTCTCGAACGTCCTTCGAAGCGCCGGACACAAGGGCTAATCTACGTCGACAGATGAACTCCTGATTGCAGTGGGGAATGCCATGCTGTAGAACCTCAGTTCGGGGACGGTTGCCAGCAATGGGATCAGTTGCTGAGCCTTGGCCGTCTGCCGTTCCCTCTCCTCCTTCACATCTTTCACCCCCAGTTTTGTTGGTTACTTTCTTCCGAGTCGTGATCATTTCTCTCTTTCTTCCTGGGCAGGACCTTGGGGCCCTTGAGTACACATGTTACGTTCAGTCGGAATGGGACGGTAAGCCGCTTGACGGACTCCATGCCAGTCGTCGGGTCGAGGTGCAAAAGCAAGCCATTTGGGCGGCTTTCTGTCCGCCCCTCGAATCCAGACAGGGTGGGAAATGTCATGCTATCAGGCGAGAGGCCGGTAGCTATACGTCAGCTGCTCCTCGTTGAGATGGGACGAAAAGCGATTCGGCCGCTTTTACGCCAGTCTCGCCCTCTAAGCAGATCAGAAGATGTTAGCTTGGATGCTTCAGCATGGTGTTCTCACTCCAGTTACCTGCGTGCGTCCCGCCACTCACCCTGAGAACGAGCTGGTGCGAACATAGCTCTCGAACTCGAGGCACACTGACAACCCACTCCATGATAAGCATCACTTCGACAGCATCTTGCTATTAGCGGCCTCTGCGTATCCAATCTGTACCAGATCGGTACATTTCGGTTCCATCTTGATCCTTGACTTACTCTCTCAAGACGTTGGTAACTACCAAGCAGTTTACGCTTACTGACCTGAGGTACACTCCCACGAGTGTCGGAGACACTCACTTGTTCTGGTCTACACTCTCACAAGTATCAGGTAGTAAGAACAATTCTGCCGGATTGAAAGTTACGGAGAGCACAAGTTGCCTTTCTCAATCCGCCCATGCCTGTCCTGGCTTCAAGGATTACTTCTCTCACTCTTCCACCTCATCCCAAGCCCAGAAGAACTCTCCTTACTATCCGGACCCTCTCACTTCTTCCACTCCTTCCCAAACCCAGAAGAGCTCTTCTCACTATCCGGAATCTCTCACTTCTTCCATTTCATCCCAAGCCCAGAAGAGCTCCTCTTACTGTCCGGAATCTGCAGTTTCATCTCCCATTCTCATTTGCTTCAAGGGCACACAAACTCATCGTTCCTACACTCTCATTGCTCCACTTTCTCTTATCTTTCTTGACGCAATCACAAGCCGGTATTCGAATCTGATCACACCGCTTGCAAGAACAATATCTATGCCGCTGCTGGAAGGGCGGAAGCGAAAATGGTACGAGTCCGATACCGATGATGGGAACGACCATGAAACCGGGACAAGGATCTGGACACCAAAGGAGATTGTGGTTATCGACGACGAGGATCATACCGCAGGGCGGGGAACGGTGGAGGATCCCATTCGGTTCCGAGAATTTACGACCGGAAATATCATTCCGGACGCCCAGCATGGAACGATTTTCACTGTCGACGACGACGAAGAAGAGGAAGAAATGGCCACGACGGCGACCAATATGGGACAGGGGTTGAGGGAGAGGAGGGTCTCATCAGTCTTTCCAATCGAGGATGATTGTGAAGTGCAAGAGCGGGTCCGAGGACTGAGCGAAAGAGACTACTCATTATCCCCCAACGACTATGCCTTCTCTAGGGGAAAGAGCTCGCAGAGCAGGGGTGTCTCTACAGACTCCCGGGCTTGTTTCGATAACGCGATCTCCTACCGTGGACACGGTCCTGTTTTCACAGACTCGGAATCTGGCAACGAGTCTGATGCAGATGACGACGATATCCCTGGCGCAAGTTCTTCACAAGACAGTAACGACTCGGAACAAATTGAGACGCCAAGTTCGAGCCAACTGGAGGACGGGATCCCCTTATTAGGTGCCACTGAAGACACTATTCATCAAGAAAGTATTTTCAGGCCAGTAATCAAAGAGTGCGTTGACAAGTCGACTTGCTCAATCGTTCAAACCGAGGTTTTCGACAAAGAGAGCGAGCAGAAAAGGCGGGAAGAAGAGAATATCCAGAAGAAGTCTCTGTTTTTCTCCGCTTGGGCACCCCACAACATAGCTCACTTGGAAAGCAGACTTGCAAAACTTCGACCAGCCGCCATGAATGTAGGAGAATGCTGGCTCTACCCAGGGCCAACGCATGTATGGCAGTCGGCATTGAAGATCTATGTTACCTTCTCGTGTGAAGGCAGGACTTACAAATACACCATCAACGCTGGATTCGTTGCACTTCTGGTGCATGGGCTTCTTACCGAGGCATTCAAGGAAGGCATCATCAAGCATCGCTGGCACGCGAGCCACCTATGTGGAAACTGGCGCTGCACCAACCCAATGCATCTCGTGGCGGAACCTGGTGGAGTTAACAGCAGGCGGAACCTATGCTTCTATGGACATCTGTCCACCTGCGATCATGACCCGCCTTGCTTGAAGCACCTCAAGTTGAAGGAGAGTTTCGTTACCCGAGAGGAGAACCACCAAAGCAGTCAAGAGGTGGGCTTGCCCAGCAACAGTCAACGTCAATGGTAGCCCGCTCTGAAACGAGTCCTTCCGAAGTAACGATAAGCCCAGGAATGTCGATTATGGTCTCATTCCCCGTTTTTCATTGATCTACAGGCTTTGGAGTTTCGTAGGCCTCGCTTACGACCATGTAACGGATATATACGAAGTCAGTGTTAGACCAGGCAGGTCTTTGTCACCTTTTTATTGTCCTCGTGGGACGAGCACTCGTCCGCAAATATCGACAAATCGAATCAACCAACGTGTGGCTATCTCTCGACGATTTCAAATGATACCAGGGATCTGATTATACTTTGACATATATGCATATCTAGGGACAGTACCACAACTTCGAAATAGGGTTTGGTTCTCTTCTTCGCGCGTAGGTAGTGTATTGATATTGCAATAATATGATTTTCTCTCCTCTCATACATGGTGGTCCACTTGTCCAGGTGTGTCCCCTTCTTTCAAGATAGCGCTATCTCGGCAGAGTGTTATGCAGGTGGGTTGTACATTAGCGTCAATGATATCATGCATCTAGTGAACCTTCGATAGTAATGGGAGCGGGGCTTTTCCGAGGTTGGCCGGAATGGTTTCATGGAATTTTACGGATGTCACATGCACTGATCTCATCGTCCTGAACTAGCACTTGAGTATATATGATGACAGTGTAACGCGCATGGTGTTGTGTAAAAGTGTCCATTGTCTGTTATTGCCACTCTAGGACATTCTGAATTGAGTTTCATGAAGAGATTCCGGAAGTGCCCTCTCAGTGCAATGAGGGATTGGTCTCCTCAATGCTATTTCTATCTCCTCGACGAACAATTCTCCCGTCATGACTGCTGAGCAGCCGCCGTCTTCGTCAGTGCCGGACGCAACAGCAAGAAAGAAGCTCCATACCCGAGTTTCCACGGGTGACTGCCTGTGCAAGGCATGAAGCTGACCTCGATGTACGCTCACTTTCCAATGGAGTTCGTATAAGCTGTAGCTTGTGGAATTTTTTTGCATGTCCATTCCATTACTTACGTAGACTGCCATTTTCTGCATCGGTTGGAGAATCCTTGAGTCGGCAGTTTGCGTGTCACTGCTCCAGAGAACTCCCAAAGTACAGGTGCACTGTTGGCTACCGTTAAGAGAAAGGTTGGACCACCAACTAACGTCTTCAAGTTGAACAGAACGGGGTAAAGAAGCAGAATATACTACGTCATAGAGTCCGGCTGCCAAAGTAGGCATCATACCTGGATTATACAAGAGCATCATCAGCCATAGCCTGACAGGATGGTTTACAAGAGATAGCAGACTGACACATATGAGATGAGAGGACATGACCGTTAACTCTGGCGGTCTGAAGAGGGTGCCCAGCCCTCTGCATTCATTACATCATCACCTCACGATCGCTACCAGGCATCTGAAGGCACGGGTTGCCCTCACCCATGCGCCGTCCACCTTTTCTATAACCTCCGGCACACTCATCGAAATGAACAAAACAAGATGAAGGATTGTGATCGCAGTGTGAAAGCCGCAAAAGGTGCTTCCGTTGCTAGGCTATCCCGGGGTGACTCGTAGCGGGCCGCGTAGAAGCTACGTAACTTCCCATCTCAATAGGAAACTGCGGCTTCGCTAGATCCACTGGCCTCCCACTCACTTTCACCACCCCCCCTTTCACAACCGGCACCAGCAGTTTTCTCTCTGCGATATTCCCCGCCCGTCTCTGCTTATCCTTCAAGCTGCCGACTGTCTGCGCGAGCGCCTGATCTCCTCTCCTCGCCCTCTTCGTCCATCCACGCGCCGTTGGATCCGCTGATACGTTGCGCTTCGCAGGTCCGCGAAGTTGTGAAGGATAGGTAAGCGCAAGCCGTCTACTTTTCTGCTCTCGCCGTACCAGATCTGCCTTCCCTCCTTTCGAGTGCCGGCCGTGACCGGCCTAAACGCCGGGTGAAGCCTACAGTCTACAGCGAGACGACTGCGTGGGGAGCTCCATCTCCCCTCAAACTGCTCGCTTCCGCCTCTTCACGATATACGTCATGTCTCTCTAATAGTCTTGAGGTCGCCGTATTGTCAGCAGCTACACCTCGCTTCACCATCCGAGTACCATCAACCAGCTGCTCCCGTCCCCCACACGCACAGATAGCTAGTTCAATCTACTGACAAGAGAGCGAGTAGCTAGGAGAGCGCTCTTTCCTGCGTCTCGGCCGTTTCTGGCTGTGAGCCGCTCCCCCGACTCCCGAAACTCAAGACTTCCAATCAGCTCCTCCGCAGCACAGCCCCCATTACATCTGCAGAATGGCCCGAGGACACGAGAGCGAATATCTAGTCGAAGGCGACAATCTGCCCAATAGCTCTGCAACTCTGGCCCAATATGCTAGACAGCCGTCTAACCGTCCACGGAGCGGCAACAGACACTTCCGTCCGTTGGAACATAGCGATCTTCCTGAGGACGATGACAATACATATGACGAGCCGCATACAGATAGCAGTCCACCCGGTGTTTACGGGGGCACGCACATCTGTCAAGCGGTCACTAATTCTTCTGCCGGTATGTGTACCCTTGGTGTTTATCCTTCGCTCTTGATAAGGGGTTTCTGACATCTCCCGCAGAGATGAATCTCCTAAACGGATATACTGTTTCCGATTATGGTTCCCTTCTATCCGGAGTCCGCCCCAGTATGAACATGTCACCTTTCGCAGAACGAATCACTGTTGCATCCTCGTTGGGCAACAGCTATAATATGAGCAATGAAAACAGCACCCAATCTACGATGCACATCATCGCACGCTACTCAGAGCTCTTCAATGGGCGGCTCGTCAACTCGTATCCTGAAGGACAGCGTGCAGGTTCTTTTGAAGGGGAGATTGCCTTCTACTTACATCCGAACCTGGATCTATCCGCATATCAGTGGTCCCAGAGGGCCTCCCGATGGGACAATATTGGCCTGTATTCTCACAAGGAAGGCATGATCAAAGGCTTATTGTCCTCCATTCATCTACCAGACTCGCCCTTCAGACGCGATTCGGTTGAGTACTTCAAGGCTATCGCCGAACAGAAAGAGAGGGCGCAGCGCTCTATCACAACACCACCAAACTTGAGGAATGCTGGTTCGCCCGGTGTTCTTGCAGAAAGGCCATATTCCACTCCACCTCAAGCATCTGCTTCGCAAGGTGTGGCTTTCAGGACGAACTATCAACCTTTGGCACCAACTAAAAGTGCCACCGAGGATAAGTATTTTTTTGGTCCTTCCTCCAGCGCATATACAAGAATATGTCGTACCTCGCACGCAAGCACGCCCGAAAACGACGTCGGTAGAGGTGGTTCTAGGAATTCTGGCTTCCAGTTTCCGGACCATACAGCGGTAGCAAATGCATCCTTACTCGACCCCGGCTATCCGCAGTCGGATGCAATAGACGGATATAGGCACCCTCATTCCAATTCGAGCAATAACCCTCAGCCAAGTTACGACATGACATCGATAGCTGACGGAGTGGAAGAGAATACCATGCTATCTCAGCTACGTTCTGTAACGGCAGAACTTCCGCAATTTCTTCGGGGGGACGGACAGTCTACTGAGCCCGGAACTGCCACCGTAGAACAGGCCTTTCGACAAGTACCATTAGCCTGTGAGGCTCAAGGATCTCATTCGCCGCCGTCGAGCAATCCGGGAATGGATAGAGGGTCCCCTCGAGGACGAATTGTAGCAAAACCCAGCGAAAGTGTCTCCGCGTTACGGGCGGACGCAGAACCATACGCATACAACAGTACTTCTCACCAGCGGGGTTATTACGAACAGTGCTAACAGTTCATTTAGGGACAGCTTCCGGATCAACGAAGTTGGGTATTTGTGAGCCCGATGCGGCGCCGCTACTTTGTTTCCTGCATCCCAAGCACGAGATTGTCAATGTGACGGGTGATCGCGGACTCACCCCGCAGAATTTCGAAGGCCCATTCTTCACAGGTTGCATGCCCACTATGCAGAATCCAGCCACACACCTCTCGAGCCCTTCGGACGAGAGGAGAAAACTTCAGCAATGCTATACGAACCGACCGTGCCTCGACTTGCAACAAGACATCAGCAATGCTTACATGGACGAGGCCACAAAGCCACGAGGCAAGTACGAGCGTGCCGACGTTGCTAACACGCCTCTCTTCGTGCGTCTGCTCCAAAATCTGGAGGAATACAGAGAGAGCTCACGTCGCGCAAGCGGAAGTTACTTCACAAAGGACTGGCAAACTCCATCTGCGACCAGCAGGAATGTGTAGGCCACGAAATTGGTGAGGATCTGGATCAGGTGGCTGGGGAAATGGGTTGAGCGGAGGAGGCAGGTATGGATTTCATGGTTTCGTGCTATGGGTGCATGTAAGGTACTGCTGATGTTTTGCGCTGCGTTTAGGCCAGCGGAGTACCATAAGGAGAGGTAAATTATTTGCTTATCAGCGGGAGACACGCTGAGGCAGTACTCAATATCCTTTATGCCTCATATCAAGGTGCTTAGTACTTCCCCAAAAGTGCCACTGAGCCATAACGGCCATAAAGGTGCATCTTGATTGACATTGACAACAAGCAAAAACGAACCAAGAACGGTGACAAAGGTGCGATTAGAACCGCGGAGCAAAATAGTGTCAGGCAACCTCCGAGCGATGTTCATTCACAGCAGCTGTTTGTGAAAACGCATACTTTGATGCCGGCGCAGGCTCACAAACCGCTAGATCTTCGAAGGGGGTGGTACCTGTTATAAAGAAGGGATGCTTACATAGCGCATAACGAGCGACGGACAGGAAATGTTTTTTAGTCGGTGACTGCCTAAGTAGGAAGTGGACTTTTTGTTGTCACGTTTCCTTCACCGCCGCCTTATCTGCCTCCCAAGCGTGATCGCTCCTCCCTCCCCTCTAACCTCATCCCAGACAACTGCACAATCAACGAGGCGATCCTCGCTCGCACCGTTTCGTTGCTTAGAGCTCAAGCCCCCATACTTTCTCTACATCGATTTCGCAGCCCTGCTTTCTCACCCTTCGCGACTGCTTTGCAGTGACCCTCTTCACCTTCACCGGATTTCCTTCGATTATGGCTACACATTACGCCGATCATTCTGTAAGACAACGACACTGACCAGCGTTTTTCTCAACAACGGCTGACGACTCCAGATCATGGATAAGCTAGCTGCAGAGTCCTCTCCGAGTAAGCGGTCTGAGAACCCCGACAAGCGCCTGTTGAGGGAGCATAACATGGAACGCTCTCCAACGTATTCGAGTGAATCTCCTCGCCCGCTCGCTTCTACCGAAAACCCAATGATGCCCACGGAGGAGGAACTTCACACTCTGCGTCGTGTCTCGGGAAAGATACCCTGGCTCGTCCTCACCATCGCCTTCGTCGAGCTCGTCGAACGCATGTCCTACTACGGAACCATCGCCGTATTCACTAACTTCATCCAAAAGCCGAACCCGGGCACTGCGACAGGACGCCCGCTCGATCCCAATGACAAGGAAGCGCAGCCTGGAGCTCTGGGAATGGGACAGCAAGCTTCCACCGGTATTAGCAACTTCAACAAGTTCTGGGTATACCTAATGCCGCTTCTGGGGGCCTACATTGCGGATACATATCTCGGCCGCTTCAAGACGATCGTATATGCGTGTATCATTGCGGAGGTGGGCCACATTATCCTCACTGTGTCCGCCGTTCCCGGCGTGATGGCGAGGCCGCATACGTCGCTTGGTGTCTTCATCCTCGGACTGATCTTCATGGGCGTGGGGACCGGGTTCTTCAAACCAAATATATCGCCGCTTATTGCGGAGCAGGTTCCCCAGGAGGTTATGCACGTGAAGACGACGGAAAAGGGAGAGAGGGTTATTGTGGATCCAGCCATTACGACGAGCCGTATCTACAATTACTTCTACCTATTTATCAACATTGGAGCATTGGTTGGCCAGGTGGGGATGGGTGAGTGCCAGAGCCCGCAAGAGTGATATTGTTCTTTGCTTACCGTGTGGCAGTTTATGCAGAGAGATACGTGGGCTTCTATCTCTCATTCCTAATCCCGACCCTCTTCTTCTTGTTGTGTTTTCCAGTCCTCCTGTTCTGCCGTACGAGATACATTCGGCACAAACCCGAAGGAAACGTCCTGCTACCCGCAGTTAAACTACTGTTCCTCGGATTGAAAGGCCGGTGGCATCTTAATCCAGTCCGAATGTGGAGGCATTGGCATGATGGCACGTTCTGGGAGTGTATCAAAGTGGGTAGCTTTCTCGTACCTTGGGATTTCGCTGACGATTCCGAAACCGTAGCCCAGTTACTTTGGATCGACGCGGCCATCCTGGATGGACTTCGACGATGCATGGGTAGATGAGGTGGCGCGTGGCTGGTCCGCTTGCTCGGTCTTCTTGTGGTATCCTCTGTACTGGATCACTTACAACCAGATCGAGAACAATTTGACCAGCCAAGCCTCCACCATGAAGCTGGGCGGTAGGTCTCAACCCGAAAGTTTGCCAATATAGTTGAAGAGACCTGACTTTGTGAAGGCGTTCCGAATGACATTATCAGCAACCTCAATCCTTTCGCCATTATGATTCTCATCCCGCTCATGGATACCGTTGTCTATCCTGCGCTTCGACGAGCTGGGGTCCGCTTCACTCCTATCAAGAGGATCACCTTCGGCTTCTTCTTAGGCACTGCGGCCATGGTATACGCCTGCGTCCTGCAGTTCTATATGTCCGTCACTCTTGGCTCTCCCTGTACTACGCTATCGCGCCCGCTAACCCTCCGCCAGATACAAAACCTCTTCAACGCCGTGCCTTTCCAAAGATGCTCTGAGTTCAGGTCTCGACTGCAAATCCCCCTTGACCATATGGCTCCAAACCCCCATCTACATCCTCATCGCAGCCTCCGAGATCCTCGCGTCCATCACGTCGCTCGAATACGCCTTCACCAAGGCCCCCAAGAATATGCGCTCCCTCGTCCAAGCGTTCGCGCTCTTCATGTCTGCGATTTCGGCCGCGCTGGGGTTTGCCCTCGTGGCGTTGAGCAGGAATCCATTGCTCGTCTGGAATTACGGGACCGCTGCTGTGGCGAGCTTCCTGGGCGGATGCGCGTTTTGGTGGTGTTGTAGGGGGTTGGACGAAGTGGAGGATCGGCTGAATATGCTGCCGAGGGGAAGGATGGGGGTGACGGAGGAGATGGAGATGGAGGTCAGGGGAAGGAAGAGGGAGAAGGGGGGTGGGGAAGGAGAGGGGAGCGCTGCGATGTGAAGAGGTGGCTAGAGTCTTGGGGATGAAAGTGTTCCACCAGAGAGTGTTACTAAAATGGGCGGCGAGGTGTGCCGGCGAAGTGATCTCAGTGAGTTCAAGGGCGTATGTGTGGGTGCCCTACTCGGACCGGGAGATGATGTGAGAATAAGGGGAAAAGGAAATGTGGTACATGTGGCAATCAATGTCAGATGGATTTTCCTTTGCTCGTTGCTTCCACCAAAAAACCGCATGAGGATTGTGATTTGAGAAGGAGTGTATGACAATGACGTCTATTCTATCTAGATGATGGTCCACGACTTGAAAAACACGACACGACAAACCAGGCTCCAGAACCCCCAAGAAAGAAAGATGCGTCAAGCCCGACTGACCCGAGAGAGAACCAATTTCTAGAAAAGCGCCGTCCAGGCAGACAATGATCTAAACATACGCCATAACCACACTCAACGACACCGCAACTCAATGGCAGCAACTCAAGCCTCAGCGCTTAAACCTCAACCCGCTCCTCGTCCTGCCTCTCTGCCCCGCCTCGCTCTGCCTCGACAGATGCGGACTCGTCTTCGTCTTCGTCGTCGTCGTCCTCCCCTGCTTCTGCTTCTTGGCGGGACGAGTCTCCTGCGGCGAACCATCCCCTCTCTCTGCCTCTTCCTCTTCCTCCTCCAGCCTGCTGCGCGCGAAAGCGACCTTCTTCGCCGGACGACGATCCGACGTTGCTGATCGTGAGACAGACGCAGACGCGGAAGCGGAAGCAGGAGCAGAGGTGGAAACAGCGTCATCGGCTTTCCTCTTCGATCCTGCCGCACCAGCACCAGCGCGTCGCGGGGGTGGTGGAGTCACGGGGATCGAGACGCCGACGTTGCTGCTGCTTGTGCGGGGACTGGACGAGGATATGGGTACCGCATGTCGTCGGGCCGGCTTGGTAGTGGACTGCGCGGCTGCTGCGACTTTACCGCGGGAGGATGGACCTGCGCCTGCGCCTGCAGCCTGAGTGGCTCTGGCTCCTCTGGGTCTGGTGCCAGTGCCAGACCCCGAAGCTGCGGTTGTGGTGATGGGACGGTGGAGTCTAGTCGTCGATGCTGGGCCATAGTTAGCACAAAAACCAGGTTGACGAGAACGCGGGAGAAGAAGAGAAAAAGGGACACATACAACCCGACGCACCACCAGCCCCAGTCCTCTGACCCCCCGTACTTCCCCTCCGCGAAAACGTCCTCCTCGGCGCAATCTCCCTCGGAAACCGCACCTCCTCCAGGAACACGCGCGGGACATAATCCTTTTCCTCCTGATGCTCCATATCCCCGCTGTTGAACTCGCCAACCACCTGCTCTAGCAAGTTCCCCTTTCCTCCTCCTGCGTGCCCAACACGCTGTCCGTCCTCAATATCCAAACCGCTCCTCACAGCGCGCACAGCTTCGTCGTCGTCAATCAGTTTGAATCTCGACCCGCTATCATACGGAGTGGCCTTGCTCCCCATACTCTGCCTCACCACGTCGAAGTCCACATGCGTCTCGACGGGACCCTCGCGCATCGGGCCCTGCGCGAGATCGTAGTCGATCATCAGCGACTCGTATTCCTGGAAAGCGAGCGTTTCGCCAAACGGCAGCGAGTCCGGGGCGTTGCGGTGGTAGATCTCCGGGTCGTTGCGGGGCCCGCCGTAGCGCCATTGGATTTCTCGGACGGGCGCGTCGCCGGTGCCGGCTCTGTTGGCGGCTTTCTTTGTGCCGGCGGCTGCGGTTTTTGCGGTGGTAGGTATTGATTTGGTCTGGCGAGAGACTTCTGGGCGTAGCCCGGTCGCTCTGGGGGTAGATGGCGTGCGTGGTGATTGTGTGACAGCCTTCCCTTTCCCCTTGCCTGGCCCTTCACATGCGACTTGGCTGGCAGTAGAACCTGCTGACCGGGGCGTCGACCTCTCCTGACCAACATCGGCCTTCTCCTTCCCTTTTCCCTTGGAAATGCTCTGGGCGCCAGAGATTCGCAGTGCTGGAAGCTTCGAGGGCCCGGCTTCCGTGAAACTGGTGCTTCTCTCAAGACCTCTATGCAGCGCTCGCGGTGAACGCACCTCCTCCATCTCTTGTTCTTGCTCATATTCGTCCTCTTCCCTTGCCACAGCCTCCGCCTCCTCGATTGCGTTCAGCTTCTGCTCCATCAGCTCCTCCAGCCGAGCGTACAAGCCCTCGTCAAAGGCGTAACCCTCGTCTAGGAACTTCTCGAGAATCTCGCTGTCGATCTTGTACAACCGTTCTTTGTAGAGCTGGTCAGAGTCGATGCCGCCGTCAACCTCGAGGTAATGAATCGCTTGGCGGAGACGCCGGTTGTTGGGCTCGGCGCCGGGTTGATGTTCCCCTGCGTCTGAGGAGTAGTCGGAAGAATATTCCTCGGAGACGTCGGAGGGAGCGACGTGGGGCGGGCGCGGCGTATAGCGGTATCTTGAAGTCATCTTGTCTTGTTGAGGATATAACTGATATGGTTTAGCAAACCGCGCAGCACATGTTTGATATAGAGCAAACCAACCTAGACTTTGGGCTCTGGCTGTTACTCCAAATTGACTGAGAGGTAGGAAGATCAGCGCGCGTGTTTTGAGGAATCTGGAAGAACCAGGGAGCCGCGCATGCGAGGTTTAAGATGGGACATGCGTGTTCTTTGATGCGGTGACACACAAAGAGGGCCGGAAGCGAGCAAAGGGCACCATTTCCGCAAACGGACTTGCGATCCGTGAAAGAGGGGGAACCTATAAGGCGCTTCTTTGTTGGCCCCAGGTAGATGCAACAAACGTGCAATGTGACCGAGCTCGTTGTTTTTCCATGGTGAATAATGGGACCTTGAGGAACCATTGTAGTCCGGGTTAGAGGTGTGGCTTCAGACGCCGTGCAACGTTTCACTATCGATACATGTCTTGTCCTCTTGGCAGTGATTGCGGCGACAGCGGAGTCTCATCGTCTTCCGTATAAGCCACAGACGCTGCTGGCGTCACGGAGGCCATTCCTGGAGACTTCTCATGAACGTGGCCCTCGCCCTCCAACTCGACAGGCGTCTTGGCCTCAATGGCTTCCATCTCGTAAATCTCTCGCGGCATCGCCTCCATCTCCAGCGGCTTCTCGTGCTTGCCCACAGCCGACAGCTCGATCCTGTGGGACGAGTCGCCGGTGACTTCGTGGCGCAGGCCGTCGCCGACTTCGTATTTGAGATCTTCGCCTGGGACTTCGTGCGTGGCGGAGTGCTGCATGTCGGTGTCGGCTAGCTCGTGAGTTTCCTCCACTTTCTTTGCTCTCTTGCGGCGAAGCAGGAAGATGATGAGAGCGGCGATGAGCGCTACAACTACGACGGCTCCTACCGCGATGCCTGCGATGGCACCGGTGCTTAATTTACTGCTGCCTCCGGAGTCCGAGTTTTGCCCTCCTGGCGGTTGGGTGTGATTCCTGGGCTCAAAGATGGGGAGCACATTTGCCGACGTCGAGGACGAAGGATACAGTGCCTGGGAGAGATTGAACGAATTCCTCCCATAATCCGCCGACAGGTATGCGCTCTGCAGGAAGGTCCTCCCAAGCACGTACTGCGTCTCATTCGCAGCCCTCTTGAGGGGGAAGTACAGCCCCGACTTGTTCCCCGTCAAGGCAGTCGTGGCAGTCTGGTACCAATTGAAGTAGGGGAGGGAAATGGTGACGGCGTCGCCGGTAAGTTGGGGGCCAACCTTGAACTCCACGGTCGGGTTCTTCTCCAGCAGCGATTCGTGCAGTTCGTCGTTCAGAAGATACAGCTCCGTTTCAGTATCCCAGACGAGACCAAAGGCTTCTTCGAAGAGGGCACAGGTGCGGTTGGGCAGCCAGATATCGGGGACCAGCGTGTCGATGTAGGAGATGATTCCGGTGCTCAAGAGAGGCTTGTCCGTGACGTTGGTCGTGATCTCCTGTATGGCGACCTGAAACTCTAGGGAAATATCCGCGCCAAAGGGAAAGACGACGTTGTTCGGCTCAAACCGCGTCGAGTCGTACCCACCGAGAACAAGACTCCCAAACACTTTCGGCGCCAGGTTATGGGATCCAGCCGTGTACGACCACGAGGAGCTTGGAATAGGCGTACTGGCGTTCCGGAGGAGTCGCATCAAGCTTGGAATCGGGTTGTTGAAGTCGGTGAAATTGTTGGGGCGTGGGCTCAGGGCCAAACTGCCTAGATAGAAGTCGTCGCTCACCATTCCGGCGACGAGCACACCGTCGACGGAGGGCAGTCCATCGCCGGCCCAACCCAGCGTCACCTTCTCATACCCATAGAGACCGTCGCCATTCAAGCCAAGCCGCTGCTGCAGGAAGGTGTTTAGGTTGTAGGAGCCAAACTCTTTCCAAGTGGACGACTCGTTTCTCTTGTACGTCTTCCCACGATGGTCGGTACACTGCGCGTCACGGCTGACGGCGCATGCTTCGGGCAGGACGAGCCATGAGGAAGACTGGCTGGAGGCAGGGAGGACGCGGATCTGTTGTGGGGGATCTCCCACCTCGATGCGGAACGTTGACCATGGGCCGTCCTTGCCGTCCCTATAGGATATCGGTTAGCGGACAAGCTGTGGAGGAGCGATGGGAGGTGGATATACCAGTATTGACTCGGCTGAACATTGATAGGTTTCCCCAGAGGCGTGGTGGTCTCATCTGCAGCCAGAACCAGAGCGGAGAGTGCAAGGACAAGCAGGGCAACCTTGGGTAGCACTCGCAGCCATGGTGAATCCTCCATAGATTCCAGAGGAGGCGGCCGTCGACTACCTTGGAAGTGAATAGGAGGCACACGGCGACATGTTCATGGCAGCGACGTGCTCGCGAAAAGAGGTGGAGACCAGTCGGCGACGAGACAGGACATGAGCGGTGGTCGCAACCGAGCCTTCCCCATAGGAGGAAATGGTTTGGGAAGTTCCGACAAGGGGAAGACGGGGGAATAGATTGCTGGACCGGGGTGGAAAAAACGTGGGTGCTGGCTGATTGGGACTGACGATGAGCTTGCCGTGCGTCAGCCAGGTTGATGGTTCAGCTCTCAATGACAGCTTTCGGCGTGAAACTTTGGAGGAGACAGCGGTTACGTGAAGCCCAACAATTGCATGGATATCCAACTCCACTGTGTACGTAGTCATCATTGTCATGATGCATGGTGGAGGACGTATAATCGGACCCTGGATTGCGCGCACCGTGCTCTCAACTACGCATGCCTTAAAGAACCGGTGAAGCTTGGCAGAGCCCCGTCGCCGGCCTGAAGCACAACGGACCAGTCACAGCTTCCATAGATGCCAATCATCTTTCCAGGCCTCAGCCTCAAGGCCATCATGGACCGTGATGGACGTCGGCGATTATGCTGTCTAGGGCCCGCCTTGGGAGGTGGGAAAGGGTAGACGCGTCTGTTTCACCAGCCCACTTTCCATGGTCCGAGGGCTGTTGAGCGAAGATTCTGAGAGGGGAACGTTGTGCTCTTCTTCCTCCCCTTCTTCTTCTTCTTCCTCCTCCTCTCTATCATTTACCGAACATAGCTCGCGTCCACGACATCCCCAGGCTCGCCATGCGCCCTCAGCATGCACTTCCGCTCGTTACCCTTTCCTTGCTTTCCACTGCAGCGGCCATGCAGCAGCTCCGTATGTATTCCCCCACCATGTCTTGTGGATTCGAGTTTAACCGTTACCAACCTACAGGGCCGCGAGGTGACGCGATAGTCAACGCTACGACCACCGCCACAACGCTGAATCCCCTCCCTACCCTCACCACTGCCACCACAAACCCAGAGAAGACGGAGCACTTGGAACAATCCGCCACTGGGTACGAACCGGAGCCCTCGGCAACCGCGAAGCCGCAAACCTTTACCATAACCGCCTCGCCCATAGCAGAAATCATCCAACCCTCAGCAACAGGGTGGGAAACCCATGACCATTGGGGCAGACCGCCGCCGGCCTCACAGCCAAACCCAGACCCGGGCGATGATCACACAAATCCACCAGTGATCCCACCCCCAGAGGACCATAGAGAGATTCCTGCAGTCCCGCAGGTCACGCCGGGCGGACCGGATGAGCTGCTCGACGACATCGTCTCGCACATCACCGATGCGCCGCAACCGGGCGCCCAACCAAATGCTCAACCTACGCCTCCCACGGTTGTCATCGACAATTCCGCCTCCGTCACGCTGACGCCAGGCCTCTCGACGACGGTGGGGTCGACCGTCGTGGTGATTCAAACTGGCACGGCGGAAAGTGAGACTGTCGTTGTCGTTAGCCCAAGCGGCGGCCGTGCCACGACGACCACCATCACAAGACCGCCGCCCAGCAGGACATCTACTACTTCCGCTGGAAAACCGGGCGTGCTTACTTCTGCGGGGGAAACTCCGATTTCCACGTCGAGCCCTGGCGCGGGTGTGGCGCGGTGGAATCGCAATGGGAAGATGGAATGCCTTTTGGGCATCGTTGCTGGCATCGGCATCCTCTTTTAAGGGGCCATTGAAAGATTGACTGTTTCAAAGGGAAGAGCGAGAAAGTTGGCATTGCATATAGTATGGCGTTTTGGGCGGTGCAGCTCTTTTCGACAAATACCCGGGCTCCAGCACAGGAGATAATCTTGACGTATGTAGCATATGGTAAACAACGAATAATATCCTTGCACAGGCAAGCTCTGTAAATGCGACTCTTACCAACACTCCACTGCCCATGATTCGCGCCCATTGCCTGGGTGTCGCAGCGAGCGAGCTGGAGCTGGACGTCGGAGCAAAAGTGATACTGTTTTGTATGAGGCTGGAAGGAGGGAAGGTGGGGTTGACGGGAGGGAGGAGAGCCGTCGGAAGGAAGGAAGGAACCACACTGCTGGAAAGTCGCCCTCTGAACCATACACTCGGGGAAGATCCCGCTCCCATGGATTCTATCATCGAGATACTATGTATACTGTACTACCGCTCAATCCCCATCCACCCACCCCTCCCCACATACCCTTCCACCCCCTCATCCTCCTCCACGTCCCTCGCCAACCTCCCCGTGACAACGCTCCTCTCAACGTCCCTGCCCCTCACATAAAACGGATCGAACCCTGCATTGCCGTCCCGCCGCCATGTTGCAGCACCAGCGCCCGTGCCAGTACCAGCTACAAACCCACTCGACCGTCGATCAAGCATCAAAAACCATTTCCGCTGGTGCACGGAGCCGATGCTGTTGGTCGAGCCGGGGTATGCGTTGTGCAAGCGCGTATTCAGGTCTTCCGAGGACGTGTCGGTGTCGAGGTTGGCGTCCTCTTCTTCTTCTTCTGCTCCTTCATTCGCGTTATCCGAGTCTCGGGGTGTGGGCGCAAAGTCAGTTTCTTGTATCCCGTCTTCTCCTGCATCTGAGGACGAGGAGTGTGAATTGATGGATGGCTGCGGCGCGGATTTCCGTTTCTTGCCCTGCTGCTGCTGCTGCTGCGGCTGCGGCGCAGGTGGTACGTACCTCCGTCTCCGTCTATGTTTCTGCAAGTGCGTCGTCTTGTGCGGGTTCCCGAAGTCGTTGTTCGACGGCAGACGCAGCGTTATGGTGTAGTTCTTCGGGAGCCGGGTGCCATGTAAGCGGAGACGGATATAGCGCGTTTGGAACGCGTGGATCAGTTTGTCGTTCTCGTGCTTGGCTGTTTTGGAACCTGAAACACTGGATGTCCTTCTTAGCGCTTCGATACCGTCTATTTCGGCTTCAGAAGCCGCAGACGATGTCCCCTCCTCGTCCGTCGTCTGCTGCGTCTGCGCAGTCGACATCTTCCGCGGCAACACCTCATAAGTCCCCGTATCCCAGATCAACAAACTGCCAGACTTCCACGACGCGCTTTCGATCAAATGATTCCAGTAATTGTGCACCCTCGTCTCGATCGCCATGCGCCCCTTGCTCCTCGAATTGGCGTCTCCAGGCAAGCCCTTGGGTATCGCAAACGAGACGGAACTCGTCGCGGAGAATTGGAGACGCAGGTCGTAGTGCACGCCCGCCTGGGGGTGGTTGTGCTGATGGATGACAAAGTGGTGGCCATGCGCGTGCTGGTTTTCCGCGTAGAGGGAGGCAAATGAGGGGACGGGGAGGCGAGGCACCGAGGGAGGTGTAGGGCGGCAGGCAAGGGTGAGGTGCTTGGTGAAGTAGGCGAGATGGTCTTCGATTTTGGCTTGGCCGGCTTCGACGGCGGCGAGTGTGGGCTCGGGACGGGAGAGGGGGCCGGTGGCGGCGTTTGTCTGGGTGGAAGAGGATGTTTTTGATATTGAGTGGGAGTTCACCGTGTCGCTTGGAGGCGTTGAAGGGGTCGAGTTGCTTAGTTTCGAACTGGGAAGAGGTGATTGTCCTAGAGAATGATGGTTGCCTCTACCGGTACCGTTCCCGTTCGGTCGCGGTAATTCCGATGTTTTTCTTCGCTTTGAAGGAGGCGGAGAGACACGCCGGATAAGACTTGAAGGGACTGGTCTCTCCATGATTTACGAGCTCATTCAGGGACCGAGCAAGATATCTCTTTTTCATCTGATCTTTATTCATCCACTCTTAATACCAGCTTGGTGGTTTGAGAAGAGATTCTGGACCTCTTGTTTCTTGTCGGTCAGTCAAATCGTGCCTTGGCTTGGATGCAGTCTTGATGCAGTCTTCAACTATGACGTCTGCACATGGCGCCGAAGCCGTCCAATGCTATCGTTTCTTCAATAAGGCCTTTCAAGGGAGTTCGTCTTCATAGAACAGGAAGATCACTTGGAATGCCGTTCTACATGCCTCATGTGGGCAAAGAGAAGAGAGGATCCATGAAGTTGAGTGATGGAAGCATAGGTGCAGTTGATGGAGAGAAGACGCTAAGCTAGATTCAGCATTAGTACATTCCAGGAAGGGTTAGCGCATATCCATCTATTGTACCTTGCATCTTCTCGCAATTGACATTCACCTGCTAGACAACTCGCCCGAGATACCAATGTAGCACGCAAACCATACTCCAGCCCTCGAGTCCCAGCTGTCTTAAACGGGCTGTCTCAGAAGAGCAATCGATTCCCGGGGCCGTCGAGACCACACGGAATGCAGCACTAACCGTTGTTCGAGCTGTCGTTTAGTGTTGAGATCTCCGACCGGCCTTTGAAGGCTGCATGAGGCATTAACTGCACCTCGTTCACCATCAGTGGCACTACCGCAGCGGTTCAATCATGCTTAGACGAAAATAGAGCTACCGTCGTTGGTTCACTTGCGAGATGGAACGCCATGGACTATTAGGTTTGATATTTCAAGAGCCAGAAGACAGGGTCAGAGGCAGATCGTAATATGGGACCTGTACTGATCCCGTGGCAGAGTTGTAACCTTATACAAGGTAGCTGAGAGGGCGACTAGTCGCCGCATCAGATGAATGCAAGACTCCATGGAACAATAGCCGCAAAAGTACACCCAATGTGTGAAAAGGAGTCGCAGAGAGATACAAGAAGAAACCAATGTCGATATCCGCCATCCACCAAAGATCACCGACCCGTTGTTACCCTTCGTACACACTTGTAGGTAGGTACAGTCAAGACCGTAGATTGTTCGGCCTTAGATTGATTCAGGCAAACTCCATATCCGGAAATGCTTCCTTGCACGGAACCTCGCATTGGCATCGCGGCGGAAACACCTCATCTTCCACGCCCGCATACCGGTAATACTCTTTGCGTCCACGAGGTTTGTGCGACCGGACACTCTGGACATTCCTCAGAAGCATTTCGACATGAGTGTGGACGGGAACACCACCCTCTAGGTCCATGTACATTTCGCGGGCTTCCAAACGTGTAATCTTCAACCTCTCTTTGGCGGACTGTCTTGCCTTCCAGAACATCTCTTCCTCGGTTTCGTCCACAAATCCAGTCACATGAAGTTCCCGGACACTGACTAATTCCTCCGCTATGCTTTCGTAAATGAACCTATGGAGGGCCCGAGGACATGGGTCATCCTCGTGGAACAATCTTGGGCCCGGTTGCGTGTGCGAGCATCTGTCCTTCCACCAACCGCTAGGGAGAACAATGTCAACCCTTCTCAAATTGGGTAGTCTTTCGAAGTATTCCACTGTTGCCAAGTCTCGCCCACGGTACAGGGGAAGAGTCCCGGCGGACACTTTGAAGAAATGGAGACTCTCTAGCCAGTCGAATTGTATGTGGAGGTGCCGTAGTCCATGACTCATCATCGCGAACCGATCCAACTCGGGGAAATACAGAGGAAACCTGCGGTAGATCTGCGCCAGAACCGCACTCCTTTCGGTAGTTGGGACCCCGGCGTCCTTCGACAGTTGGTAGTACCGGGATAGACGGCGAAGGCTTCGTGCAAGTTGTCCGATTGAGCTAGAGTAGACGATGAGGTTTTCGAAGACTACTTCGAGGACGATGGTTCGAATCTCTTGTGATACCTCGAGGAGTGAAGTGGTCTCGGGGAGCATCCGTCGAATCTCGACGATGACGTTCTTCTTGTAGCGCCGCCGGCTGGGGAAATTGTTCGTGTGCATGAAGATCTCGGGATGTGGATTGAGACAGAAGCTGAAGATGTGCTTCTTGATCTCGAAGGGCAGGGTTCGCCATGGTGAGAGTGGGAGGGTCGGTTCAGCATATTCGCAAGGTTGCTTATTCTCTTCCATGGTGAGAGGTGGGCACGAACTTTCAGAAAGTTCAGGTGGGGTGGAAGAGTTTATAACTCTTCCTAAGGAGCGAGAGTGGCTAGGTTGCTATTGTAGGAATAGGGCTCCTGAGAGCGGTGTGCCTGGTTCGCTCTTCCAATTCGGAACTGCCGTGCCACTTTGAGCCGTTGATCTGGGGGCAGTGCAAGAGTGTGTTCACGTCACCGATCATCGTGCTCTACGGACCGGTTGTTTGGTGTTACCGTGAATGAGGCCGTGGAGTGACGTGAATCCCATCAAGGCGCCATTTCGGTCCATTATCGACGATCGTAGCGCATCGCGCTCTGGAGAAAGATGTTGCCCTAACGTCACAGCAATAATTCCCCGCATTTAAACAAGCAAGGCGGAGAGTGGTATTTCGTATCCCTACAGTAAGAGGAAACAGTGAGGTCAAAACAATCAAGAACAACAATACCCATATGTTCTTCTCGAGTCGCCCACATCCGAGCCACCCATGCACTAGGGCACAGTAATAATCCAGTCGTAAACTTGCAGATCAACCACATTGGGCTGGATATTGCGGCATATTTTGCGTATCCAGTCTGTGAACCAACTATTGAATCTTCGGCGTTCGCCCATCTGATCGCGCAGGTGAAGTCCATAATGCTTGGCATTTGCTCCTATTGCACCGCTTTCCAGTCTACCATCACCAGAATACATGCCTTTCATGCGGCGTTTGTCGCTGATCCGCTGCTACTGCCTAGATCGCAGAACAGGGGCTGTTAGCTAGGGACAATATGCATGCAAAGTGGAATCTTGCAGATTACCACATACTTTATGGAGATGAAATGAGTGGTATGGATGTTTGACAGACAGCGAGATAGTCTCCGTCTTCAAAGAAATTGCGAGGTGGCCGTAGGAAGTGAGTGTGGGGGAGGGCATGGGAATATTTGATGTGGAGCGATGCAACGGAAATTCAGTTCAGCACGAGTGCAAAACGATTTGAAGCTTCCAAGACTTGCGCGTCCGACAGAAGCCCCAACCTGGGCAATGTTTTCTCCAACCTGAGGACATGACGTTGAAGTAAACTCAGTGAACTGCAGCGCCAAGCCCAAACACAATCCGGATGAGGTTAGTTTCAAATGAGCACGTCCCGCTTGCGCTTCCAGTGTCGATGTTCCTGTTTCAATGAACAATCTCTCGTCTACCTCCTATCGCAGATATTCCTATAAACCAATCTCTGACCTTTGACTCCATGCAATAACTCGGGTACTCCAGCTCAATTGCCACGATGAGTTTCAATACGGCACTCGATCTCTCGGCGGAGGAGGTCCAGGCTTTGGAGACGCTGCGCACTCGGTTCCATCCGCTTGTATGGAATCTGGGGCATTTACAACAGGAAATGGTTCAACATATGGACACTCCACCCCACTTGTAAGTGAGCTTCTGTCATTTTCACATTACGTGCGGGCGCGCAGCAATATTCCATGTTGGAACTAGAAGCCGTCCAACTGTTGTTCATTTGGATTCAAGTGATGCGGAGAGCGTCCTCTTAAGAATCTCGCATCTCTACCTCCGCTTTCCGGACCATGTCACTGTCTAGTTTGCTAGAAGTCTTGGAACGAGATTCCTATTTCCTTCTCTAACATGCCCAGACCTACTTCACAGCGTTATGCCGCGCTGGTCAAAACACATGTCCGAGCGTTGATGGAGTATTTCGACGAACCAGTGTCCCAAGCTGGCGTTCATCTGAAACGAGACGGGAAAGTCCTCACTGTACGCGACTTGTTGTCAGCATTGCGGCCTCATCCGGTAGCCCCGTTCCCGGCATTCATTCCGGAGACTGGTCCAAACGGGATTATTGACACGCTTCTACGTAGGAACCTCGCACCTGAGGATGAGAGCTGGATCGATGAGCGTGTTTGTCTCGGCGCAGAGTTCTGCGAGGTATCAGAGGAATTCCCATTGGAGGAAATACAGGCGCGACGGCCAGCAGCAAAAGTCGCTAGAGCGGATGGATCTAAGCAACAGTGGTCCGCGGATTCTATCTCAAAGAATGATGAAGACGAGCAGATGAGGCGTACTACTTCACATTTGAATGGCGAGGAAATCTCCAACATCTGGTCGACAGCTGGGGCTACCGTCGGCGAGCTTTTCATCCTGTTTGAGAAGGCCGTCAAGGGAACAGAGGATATGGGCGAAGGAACGAATGACGAGGACCTTGAGCGGATCGACAAGATCAGAGAACAATTGGGCGTAGATGAGGAAGAAGAGACGCCAACCAAGGAGCCAGGGGCAGACGATGGGAAGCCACGAGCCATGCAGGGGGTGCAGTCGGTAGAACAATATCCTCTCAGGATGTCAGAACTGCATAAGATTCTTGGGAAGGGGCGGTGATTACACCAAGGTTAAGGGGACGACTTTGACGCGTGGCTTTCTGCATCCATGACGGCGTTTCAGAAGAGATACCAGGTTTGTCTAACGGTTCAACTTGCGTTCTGCTATCCCAAATTACTGGATTAGTTCTGTGGGCTCTTGATGTATGCCGGAGGCAAGGTTATCTGGAAACCTTGAAGACAACCAATCCTCAGTTGAGTATATGCAACACTCTTGCCATTTTGCCCTCGTCAAACGGCAAATATTCGCCCCAATCAGGTACAAAAATATTCGTACGAGACTCACTGTGGTTTCAGAGCATATAGCCTTACAGGATACAGTTTCTTCGGGAATCCCTTTTGCAGCTCTGTCGCAACAACTCTCAAGCCAGCCGCTTCGAACAATGCTCTATACTTCTTGTCTGACCGCGTGACGCACGAGTCCACCTCGTCGAACCTATCGTTGCCCCAAGCATCTGTCGAGAGATTCTCCTTGACGACTATCCAACTGCCCGGCGTTGTCTTCTGCCCCGCAGCTCCGTCTCCCGCCGCCTCTGCTCCAGGCTTGCGCAACCCCTCTTTACACCGCTCGAGATAGGCAACGAGTTGTGCGTCCGTCAAGTGTCCCAAACACCACTGATTCCATATCAAATCATAGGCGCCCTTCTCCGGCACCCAATCCTGCAACCCGAGATTGATCACCTCCCCCAACTTCTCCATTTCCGTCCCGCCCTCCAGCGAGGCAACCAACTCATCCGTGAACTTCTTTACCGGCTCCACGACATCCACCCTCTCCGCCACCCGCATCAAAAGCCCCTTCGTTATCCGCCCTATGCCCGCGCCGCAATCGGCAACCCGTCGCAAAGGCGGTAACGGCTGTTTTGTGTTGCGCTGGGTCCCGCGCCGACGCAGCTTCGTGAGGAAGTTGGAGGAGCCTTGGAGGTCGACGCGCGAGGTTTCCGGCAAGCCGCCGAGCATGCCGTTTAGGTCGGAGGAGACGGAGTTCCAATAGCTGAGGGAGTGGGCATGGTTGATGAAGGCGTCTGGGGTCGAGATCGTCGGGTGTGGGTCGATCGTCATATCTATCATGGTGGCGAGATTGTAGGAAGCGTTGAAGGGCAGCAAGAGTGAGCGGCGCGTGGATTGAGACATGAGAGCACTTTTTCCAAGGAAGGTGAGGATTTTTGGTTGCTGATGTGATGTTCTGACCCTTGGCGCTGGCTATATTTATTAAATAAGCCGGAGAGCTTGACGCTTAGTGAGGTGGGGCAGCCTGCAGTGTGTACGGCGGGTGAGAACTTGTTGGTTCAACAATTGATGGATAACAAGAATTATACAGGTTCCGTCCGAAGAGGAGTTCGTGGTCGGTCTACCATGATCATGTCGTCTAGAGTAGTCTTAAGGTGTAGAAAAGAGAAAATGACGAATGGACCCGATATCGATAACCAACACCGTGCTGTTGCGGGGTTCCACACCATCGACGAATTCCAGCGGGTCCCTGCATAGATGAACCAGCCATGAACCAGCCATGAACCAGTCCAACCACGTTGAGGTCCGCTGATAGCTCCGCTTTCCCCTCTCCATACCATTGAGGCGATGTTCTCGTGCTCCTCCGGAGTTCGTAGAGCTCTGTCCTCTCGATCCTTTCCAAGTTCTCGCCGTCGGCTTGACACCCGTTGCTCGTCACCTTTCCCGTCACTCCTCAGGTTCACTCATCGGCCAGCTACCATGTCTGACCTATTCGTGGAGTTGACGGCCCCGAATGGACGCAAATATACGCAACCGAGGGGTCTATTCATCAACAATGAATTCGTAAAGTCGAAATCTGGAGAGACCATCACCTCCATTAATCCTAGGTATATCTCTGCTATCGTATCACTGCGTCCATTGATATCATACCTGACACGTCTTAGTGACGAGACTGAAATCGCGTCTGTCTACGCTGCGGGCCCAGAAGACGTCGACATTGCCGTAGCCGCAGCCCGCAAAGCCTTCAAAGATCCCTCATGGCGCGACATGGACACCAACGCCCGCGCCGATCTGCTGTGGAAGTTTGCAGAGCTCATTGAACAGCATAGGGAAACGCTAGCGACCATTGAGACGTGGGACAACGGGAAGCCGTATTCCGTGTCCTACAATGACGATCTCTCCGAAGTCATCAACTGTATCAAGTACTACGCTGGATGTATATCATCGCCCCCTTGAAGCTCAATGTGCAGTACTGACGGAAGGTAGGGGCCAACAAGATACACGGTCAGGTGATTGATACATCTCCTGCGAAGCTTGCCTATACCATCCTTGAACCCTTGGGCGTTGTGGGACAGATCATCCCTTGGAATTTCCCTCTCGCAATGGCAGCATGGAAGCTAGGCCCCGCCCTTTGCACAGGTAACACGGTTGTTCTCAAGGCAGCGGAGCAGACGCCCCTTTCGATCCTTTACCTAGGAACCCTCGTTAAGGAGGCTGGATTCCCTCCTGGTGTGGTCAACCTCATCAATGGTGAGGGTAGGAAAGCTGGTGCTGCGTTGGCTTCGCATCTTGATGTTGACAAGGTTGCCTTCACTGGCTCAACTGCGACTGGAAAAGAGATTATGAAGCTAGCGGCAGTCAACATGAAGAATGTGACGCTGGAGACGGGTGGCAAGTCCCCTCTGCTCATGTTCGAGGATGCGGATTTGGACCAGGCTGTCAAATGGTCTCATGTAGTAAGTGTTGTACCTCCAAATCCTTGGCCATGATTCTGATGATTCATTGAGGGCATCATGTATAACCAAGGTCAAGTCTGCACGGCAACCTCTCGGATCCTCGTCCACGAGAGCGTATACGACAAATTCGTCTCCTCCTTCAAAGACTACGTCTCCAAAGCCAGCGTCGTAGGCGATCCTTTTGCCGACGAGACCTTCCAAGGCCCCCAAGTCACCAAAACCCAGTACGAACGCATCCTCTCGTACATTGAGTCCGGCAAGTCCGAAGGCGCAGAACTCATTGCCGGCGGGAAACCTTACAAGGATGTCAACGGTAAAGGCTTCTTCATCGCACCGACCATCTTCACGAATGTGAAGGACAATATGAAGATTTACCGCGAAGAAGTGTTTGGTCCGTTCGTCGTCATCTCTTCGTTCAAGACGGAGGAGGAAGCGGTCGAGCGTGCGAACGACACCACGTACGGTTTAGGTGCGGCTGTGTTTACACAAGATATCACGCGGGGTCATCGGGTGGCGAGGCGCATTGAAGCGGGCATGGTGTGGATCAATTCGTCGAATGATAGTGATGTTCGGGTTCCGTTTGGCGGTGTGAAGCAGAGCGGCATCGGGAGGGAGCTGGGTGAGGCGGGATTGGAGGCATATACTAATAGGAAGGTATGTGTTTGAAAGTTGTTCCTCTTCCGGGAAATTCTCTTGCTAACGAGGAATAGGCAATCCACGTGAATCTGGGCAACAGATTGTAGGATGACTAGCGTAGGAGGGTATTGGGAGCAAATTGGTGAAGGGAAGCATGGTCGACGTGAATTTGTAAATGATGGGTCGTGTAATGATACTACCCTACTGTGTACAAAGAAATCTTCATAGATACTTATATGAGCGGCTTCCCGAGCACATGTGGATTCTGGTTCGGAGTTGGCGATGCAGTTCATTGAGTCGTTGCATCTGCTATCTATTATGTGCGTTAATCGGTGGGTTCCTTAGCATTTCGCGTCGCGTCTCACCCTCCCGCGTTTTTTGTATAAGACCCTAGACAGAAATAAATCTGCAGTAAAGCTCTATAATAACCTGTTGTTCCTAGGTTAAATTTAAAGCTGTACGTTTATATAGCAAATAGCCTATACTTACTAATATATAGTGTTGCAGATGCCTCTAAAACGCGCACGAAAGCTATCTTCTAGGGCTGTAGCCTAAAATCCTACGTTAGCACCTCTACTAGCGTTTCTAGCAGCTCCTAAACCTACTAGAAAGAAGATATTAAACCCTACTATCTAGATAAAGCCCTTGCAGCTAATACTATCTAATAAAAGGATGACTCTAAGGGTCTATATAGAGTTAGCGTATATGCATGTATAGTAAGCAGAGACTATTAATGGTAGAGATAATAGAAATACTAGAGATAGAGGTTCTATACTCTTATCCCTTCCTATACCTACTCTTTTAGCTGCTCCTTTACCTAGTCCTTAGTATATACCTAGTTCTTCTCCCTCTTCTCTAGAGCTAGTATACAACCTTAAGATCTAGTATCTTCTTTAGGTAAATAAGAAGCGTAAGCTTTAGGACCTTAATAGTATAACCTAGCATAACTTTTTAATAACAGCAATTAAAAATAAGGTTAAATAGTTAATTATAAGCAACACGTGCTCTATACAAGGGCAGGAGTTTAACTAGGTAGAAAGAGTTGTACAGATTTAGGCAGACTATCTAAAGGGCACCTAGGTTACAATAAGCCTTAGCAACTATAGTTTCTCTAAAGGACTACAATTTATATAGGCAATTAACTCTTACCTAGATTACTTTAAAAGGCTTTTTTTTTGGTCAAAATATGTGTATTGAGTCTAAGACTATGACACAGCTATACTAACTAATATACATCCTCTCTCAAGGCTCTCATATATGTTAGGCTTAAGTGAGAGCAGTGAGACTGCTTGTTAAGGCAGAAAAAAGGAAGGAAAAGGGGTAGGTAAAGGAGT